CAAGCTGTTGAGGCTGATTTCTCAGCAGGCAAATTGGGCCATATTTTTCTTATGAACAAAGGATAACTTGTTAAAAAAACTTACTAAACCGATATACTTACATATGAGGTAAATTTTCTGTTCCAAAGGGTTTTCTTACAAATCAATATTACATCCGATCTGGGTTGCTAATCAAATCGAAAAAGTGCGATTTGCGCGAGTTTCAGTTACTTTCACCGCGCTAACACTCACTGTTTCGCGTATTTTAGCCTTATTTCTCACTTGTAGAGCACATCAGGGATATTATGATGTGACTTCCCGTCGTTTTCAAATTTCTACAGCATTACGCACAGAAATAGAAGAAACTAGCGAAGAACCTCCCAAATTGCTCTTTTTCGTGTACATTCAAAGTTTACAAAAATGAAGCAGGCAGAACAAGCACGTAAGGTTTCAATTGAATTTGCCCCGTTGGTGCCTCTTTGTATGAAAGAAATTGATTCTGCGTGCAACAGTGTTTACAAAGAGTTATGGGTTCACTAAAGAAGTTTTGAGAGCCCTCAAGAGGCAGCTCTGAGTATGCTTCTCTAATCTCTATGGTGCTCTCCAAACTTCCTCGGCCTACATCCATAAATCCCATAACTCGATATACGCACGCAAAGCATGAACTATCTCTCACCAAGCATCCCACGTGGGTACTTGAAACGTTCTAAATCAAAGCCAACAGCATGTCCTATTTAAGAAATGCTCGAGCGTGGCGTCTTCATCATAGCGTATCTCCTGGTTTCTAACGTCTCTTTTGGCCTAACGGTAGTTCCGAGGGTCTAAAGGCCAGCACATAAGATTGTAATTGGCGATATCGTTTTACATCTGTGTCAAATAAGCAAGTAGTAGAGATAGATTCCTACTTAGCTGAATGCTTAAGTTGGACTTTGGCATTATGTTAAGCGCGGTATGAAAAACATTGATAAAGGACTTTGCATCACCGCGGTGGCTTTCCTCTTTCTAAATCATAAGTGAAGGAGCTGAGAGGGGATGACGCATGATAGAGGACTAAAAAAAAAAAAGAAGAGTTACCGCCACCTATGCATTCGCCCCCTTCTGCACGCAGGTATGCGAGTCGGATTACGCTGTGCCAGCAGTTTAGTTTTCTTTTTGCAACGAGTGAGGTAAATTACATCGTGTTCTGGCATAAATGTTCAGGTATGAGTGATGAACTAAATCAGTTGGATAGCTCTTCGGATGGGCGTAAATTTTAAGTATTGCTTCCACGTCTGAACAATAATCATAGTTCTCTAAATATTAGCGAGTGCCAACCAATGTGACTTCAGGAAGATATTTTCGTTTTCGCAATGATAATCTCCTTCGTCTTCTCATCACTAAGTTGTCAGAAGAACAAAATACGCGGGAAAACATTATAATATAATGACTGTTAATAAAAACAATATTATGTCGAAAGCCACACTCGCCTATGGTTAACGACATACTTGCTCCAATAACACGTTTTCTATGCTGTATTAGTTGATTGATTGAAATTTTTAAGGTAACACAGAAATAACAGTAACACATAAAGATTAAACTTTGCTCTGGTGGCAAACAAATACTTGGTGTAAAGTTTGCAAAAGAACGAGTCGACAACTGACAAGAAATTTGGACAAAATCAGGCATTTCTTTCGTGGGGTCCTCACACTGTGAGTCAAGTGGCTGAAATTGCCAGCTTGCAAGCAGTACACGACTGCCAAAGTAAAGCCGATCACATCCATGCATTTTACTGGATAAAATCAGTGTAGCGAATAAATTATTTCACGATGCGCATCGAAGGGAAGAAAGCATAGTTATAAGATTTTAGGCCATGTCTGACTTTTTACAGAGTAAGACATTTTTAACTGCATTTAACTTTCGTACGAAAAATTAGTTCAAGATAGGTCTGGTCAGTGATAAAAATAAAATGTATGACAATTTTGAAATGACTTAAAAAAACACCCTATCCATTTACTCAAAATGCTAAACAACATCATGTACATTATGTCAACGATATTTTCGATACCGTTCTTTCTAAAAGACTGTCCTAAACTCATGCAGCGGCGGAATTGACTAATACAGGTTTCCTTAATTCAAGCTTCATTCTTTCGTGCGAAGAACTGACCGCGGTACCTGAAATGAACACAGTAATTCTTTGGGAGGCATTAGTCTCTGTATAGATTGCGCTACATGTGGCGGTATACTTTTCGCAAAGTTGCTCAAGCCTAAGCCAGAGAGAAAAAATAATTATGCTTAACTCCGTCACTTTTCTTTTGCGCATTGTAGTTTATAGTAATGCTACGTTTACAAATAAACACAAAACTGGCCAGGCGATCACTTTGTTTCAAACCATACATTTTTTTATTCTTATGGTATAAAGGCCGAGTCAAAGTTAGGATCCTCTGATAATGAAACATAACGCTGTTGTTTCTCACTCACTTACAAAGAACTATTGAAAGATGTTACATTCGTTTCTCGCAAACTTCAATGGAAGCAGTAATGTTTGTATGATAAAGGAGACAAGATCATAAGTTAATCCCTTATGGTTGCGTGAGTTCGCAACCATAGGGTTTCAATTAGTCTTAATTGTTTTTTTAGTTGGGTAACCCGCATGGTTACTCAAGCAATTAAGAAAAAGTTCCGTGTTGCATAACAAAGTCAAATACATAAAATTCCCATAAGAACGGATTGATAATAAAATTGAACGTTTTTTAGTGATCTACTAACGATTAAGTCAAACAACAGTACGACTGAAAATCAATCAAACTGATGCGAAACCTGCATGCTGTGTCCTCCAGGAATTAATTAAACTCGTCATTCAAGAGTATGCTTATTCTTTATGAACCGATAGGAGTTGCCATTTAAGTCGAAAAAGTTCAGCTCTCACAAGCTTGTTGTTCTTTTCACCGTAAAAATATTTACTGTCGCCGGCATATTACGCACTAATGGGAAACGTAGTGGGCTAATGAACTAAAGGCATGCAATGTCTCTTCTATGATGAAGACAACCGCGCGTTAGAACTTGATCTCAGTCGCAAGAAAAGTTGTCAAGTAACTTATAACCCACCTTCAACGAAAAACTTGACATGATATCGTCAAATGCGCTCCTACCTACATCGTGTGACAAAGAGAATACTTACAGGCCAAAAGAATTCACCGGGCCAATATGCGTTATGGTTCATCTATAACCTCCGCTTTCAGATGGAAAATATCAATTTACCCGGCTTTAAGGCGTTAAAATGCAGCCTCAGTCCTAGTACTTCCCACAACGAGACCAGGCCCTCCACAAGAACACTTAGGTCTCTTGGGACAATTTTTTTATGTATGTTTTTTTAATTCGCACAAAGGCGACCGCTTCAGAAGTTCTGTGTGCTGATTAAAATGTCATTAAACCAGATTAAACTTTTCAATTTGTTCTTTTAAAGCTAATTGTTCACCTCTTGAGACATCATTCAACCGTGTCGGGTTTTGCAAAGTTGTGATCGCAGAGGTGGTACGGAACTAGGTGCGAGCAAAAATTCAGAAACGGAAACGTCATGTAAAGATCTCTTGCTGTGGAAAACCTTAACCTGTTGCATACTAATAATCCACAAGATGTTTTTTTATGTTTCGCAATTCTTTGTGAAGATTTATGTCAGTCACATCACTTTGCTTGTCGGCGTACTTTGTCATGTTGGAGTCAATGAAAATCGTGTTTATACGGCGGAAAGTTGCACTTGATTATCGCCCCACGCGATGAAAACACTGCGAAAGCAGGACTCATGAAGATTCTTTGTTTCAATTAAGTAAAATATACCGTAAGTATACCATATATGGCCAATTATAAATACAACTGCAACTTTAAAGATTAAAAATTGCAGAGTTGAGGAATATTAGTTCTCTAAGGGCGAGTTAGACATTAGATTACTACTGCAGCTTATAAAAAGCGCGAAACTATCCAGGCCCCTAGTGTACTAGAAAAGGATTACACATACTAGAGAAGGACTTTATATTTCTTACAAGAAAAATGAACTTTAATCTTAAATCACTGAAAACCGAGCAGATCAGTTTTCTATTTGGTATGCTTTGAAGAATTTCTATCGTCCACAAAATCTATTGCTTGTTTCTCGTAAGGAAAGCATGACTTAAAATCAGCTAAAGGCAACAATATTCACGGGAAGTTATAATTCCTTTAAGAGCATCAGGATGTTTTCTTGTTTACTTTTTGTAACTAATTAAGGAGGCTTTGTAATTTTATCATAAATGAGGCTTTGTGTATTTGCTTTGCTATTAAACCGGTAAAGGTCCGAAAAAACCGCTATTTACTTCGTATTCATGTGTCGCAACAATATACTGCCGACACTCAGAAAAAAGCTTAGTCCAACCAACGACGTACTTTTCGCACTTGCCTTAAAAAAATTATCGTAAAAACTCAAAAAATAATTTGTGTTGCATCAAAACACTTGGTGAAAAGAAACCTTTTTGTGCATTGCGTTGGCCAAGTTTTGTTTCTGTAAGGAAAATTCAAAAGCGTGTTCAGGTTTCTTACCCAAGAAATGTCTGATCGTGAGTCGACTCGAAGAGGAAAAACTTACCACAGGATGAGGTAACAATGAAATTTGCGTCAAAGAAACCGCCCAACTGATGCCTATTCTCTTTTATTAATTAAAACTAAGTACAATTTATTTGTTGAGTTGATTAAATCAATACTAAACCCATTATTGACGGAAGTAATCAAAACTAAAAATGTAAACAAAAGAAACTTAGTTGTAGATGGATTCTTGAAAAGAAAGAGTATTTTTTCAGTAGAATATATAGTCCTCTCTACTTCTGTCTGAGCGAATTTTTTCTTTCCAAGACCAAAAAGAAGTCAGGCGGATAGAAAACGGAGCAAGGCGAATTAAAAAGGAAAAGCATAACTCGAAAGATGACGCGAATTTCGGCGGAGTGTCTTCTCACTCATGCCCCCCTATTATGACGCCTTGATTTTTTTACTACATTGTCAGTTACTACATCTTCCAAAGTTTGTTTTCCCCCCTGAGTTGTGTGCAGTTTGTACGCTTTCAGGACCCAAAGTTCAGCTCAATTATGTACTGGTCAGCGTACAGCCTTGTTCCTATTATGGCGGCAGTTCTCGTTCGAGGAGGGAACCTTACAAGTATCTGTCTCTTTAACCTTCCGATTTTAAGAAGTAGGTACTGGTTTCGTTCTTGCGTCGAGAGTAACAAAGCAGCTATTTTTAAGGCTGATCCATTTCGGAAATTTTGGAAAACAGTTCGCTTTTCCTCCTCTTTGGCCATGAGCTCTCTCGATTTGAGTGGAATTTTCCCCCCGATTGTAACGCCATTTGGAGACAACGAAGGAGTGAACTATGACAAGTTAAAATATAATTTCAGCAAGTGGAACGATATACCATTCAGTGGTAAGAGGGTGTTTTCCTTAATAAGTAGAGATAAGGAGCTTTAAAATCTCTGAAAATTAAGGTTTCTCATTTGAGAAAAAATTGTAAAAACAAAATTATCCGAGGCCAATTTAGATCGCACGCGAAGCTCTTTTCTGATCTCATAAGAAAGATAAGTTCTCGACCTTATGTTTGTTTTGATTTTCTTACATTGATTAATGAGGTTGATTAAGCTCATTCCCTCACGGCAGTTTAAAACATGACGCAGAGTTTGTCAAACTTCCGGAGTCGATTTTGTTAAGACTCTTATTTTACTAAACGAGTGGTCCGTAGTTAACAATTAGGTGGCTTTACTTAAATCACTTCACACACTTTAATTTGATCAACCTCATGGAAAAGTTTCATGTTCTTCTGAGACGGTGAACCTCAAATGTTAACTCTTTATGGCGAGTTCTTATTGCTTTGCTCTTAAAGTAGTGTTATAGTGATGAGGTGAATTGATCAAATGCATTAGTCACTGAGCAAGTAACTTAGACCAATTGTAATCCTGTTACAAATCATGGCTTTTGCCAATTCACTGGATGTTTTATTTTTACAATGAATGTAAAACTGTTTTTTTGGCAGCATATAAAACCAGTTAACCAAACTATTAGATTTTGAAAAAAATGTAAAATTTCTGTAACTAAAAATGAAAATGAAATTATTTAACAAGAAAGGCTAAACTTTCTCTTATTAATTAACAATATGCTTTTAGGCCTGATGGTGGTTCATTTAAAGTCGACAAGATTAGAAGAAAGATAGCTATAGACATGGTTTTCTCTTTATACTTATTATCAGAGAAACTGACAGGGAGAGGAGGGCTGCTTTCTTTCTAGAAAGACATTACTTATTTTGGTGAAAATGATTATTGATAGTGTGTACAGTAGCACTCTTAGTTGTATGAATTAGGTTAGGTATACATCCAAACATCTATTCTGTATTAAAACTAGGAGGATGAAATTGATGATTACTCTTGTATGGAAAGTGCTCAAGAAACATTTGCATCCGTGAAAAGCTAATCTGCCAACAATTTGCAGGTGTGCCAAATTGTGAGTCTTAGTATAAAGGTATCTTTTTATGAGATTCCAATTATCTCAGGAGTAAAACCTAGATGTGGTCTTTAATCTGGCTTCAGTTTCATTGAACATATTAAGCGACAGTTAAAACTCAACGACTTTATACTTTTTACTTGTACCAGTACATGCACAGCTGCTGGATTGATTAATTGTTCATTACATAAACAATTAATTCTTCCAATAATGTTACATTTGGATTTTTAGTTTTTTTAGTAGCATGTACATTTTGATAATTTGACTGTTTAGAAAAAATTTTTATGGATAGTACAAATTTAAGAAAGTCTGTACTAAATCAGAATAAGTACTGTTTCATAAGTCAAAGAACAAATAGGTGACATACCCAAGCAAGCAAACGGGATACTACACAGCACACAGCAAACAATTGCACTTTGGTACATATCAGTGAAGTCTTCAACAGCCCTTAAACAAAAGTGAGATAGAAATGAAATGAAGGAAACAGCTTTCTAAAGTCATCGCAGTATAAAGTTAATGTGATAAAATACAGATATCTGTAGGCACTTTTTGCATCTGAAAACTTACCAATTACTGTAGTTTTCATTTTAGCACTTTAACACGCTCAGCATATATTTTGCTTTGTTAAAATTCTTGTCTATTTTCAACATCCAGTGAAATCGCCACTTTTTGTGATATAGAGATTTAAAATTCTGGATTGCCTCTTCAGCTACATATAGCGACCTCTAGTGATTCACATTTAAGTTTTAGTGCAAAGCTTTTTGAATTATATGAAAATTTGTTTCACATAACTTTTCAATTATGCTAGAAAGGTACCGTTTGAAGTGGCTTTACAATTTGGCCACATCACCAATTTATTGTACTACTAAATTGGTCATTTCCTCAAAGACACGTCAATAAGCATGTCTGTAGACTTGGTGTCTCAACTGCAGTCTTTGTGTCTTATCTTCTTGGGCACAGCACTTAGCACTATACGCTGTTTCTTGCCATAGATATATGCATATAGAAAACTAGTCTTTTTTCACACCAAACAAATAAAGAAGAGCATTTGGAGGCCTTTGGAAATTAGAATTCTATATTAAGAGTTAAATGCTCTTTATGAGGTATATTATGTGTAAATGTAACATGTAATATATATATCAGGTCCATTAGAATTGATGCACCCAAATAGACCTGCTAATGTTTGGTGGATTCTCCAGTCTGCAATGATAAGTACAGAGAATGTTGTAAGGACCAAGTTCTTTAAAGGTGCAAAATCAACTTACATACATTTTTACTAGATACTTCTTTAACTTTTCAGGTTTCTGTTTGAAAAATTAAAAAAATTTACTGACAGATATCAGAACTTCAATCTCAACACCATGCAAAGAATGCATGTTATCTTAATCTCTGGTTGAAATATTTAGCACGTTGTGTGGTAATGTGTGGAAGTACATTTGATATTCTTCAAGTTGTATTTGCCAATTTTAATGCAGTGGTTACCTTTGTAGGAAAATTATTAACTGTATTTTCTCCCATTAGTATTTTTTTTCTGAAAGTTTAGTACTGTGTCTATCCTAGAAAACATCCTAGGGAACTGCACCATCATCTTCTGAAATAAAACCATCACTTTTTTTTATTATAATTTGAGAACATTTTCATTACATCATTACTAAAAAGTTGTCCATGTAATTATTAACCCATGTCATCTTCCTAACATTATGCCAAAAGTTGCAGTTGATCACTTGCTGTTAGAGCAGTTGTTGTTGTATACTTGACTTGTCAACTTCTTTTAGTTAAAGGAGTTAGATGGTAATTCCTAGGGAATTATCATTTTTTTGGAGAACCTGATGATGCGAAAATATGTCCAAAAATTTAAAGCTGTTCTAAATCTTTAAGGTTGTCTTTAAGAGTTTGCACATAACAGTCATTAGTGCTTTTCCTTCCTCAAAAGAGGCTTTCTCTAATTTACTACAAATTTGTGTTATTTTCTTCTTTTAAATTTTAAAATATATTTCAATGGAGGCTGTATCAGATTTTTTTTGCTGGGTTTGAGAAATTGGTTAACGGTGAAAGTTTAAATTAAATGGGATTTTTAAACTGCAGGAACCCTGCATGGTCAAGTTGTAAAAGATGGAAGGGATATTGTAAGTGTCAGCTATCACTATGTGAGGGTGTTATTAATTGCTTCTGAATTTGAGACAATTCACTTTCAGTCACTCAGTCTGGTATTGTGTTGTTTCTTTTATTTGTTCTGTGATTTGCTTCAGAATTATTACTGATTTCATACTGTTCAAAACAGCTATCCATAGTAGTAAGGTTCAAGTTTTAACTGATATTGAATTCTTTATTAGTCAAGAAGTGTAGATATTGGCCATTTTGTTTCATTTGGCTGCTTATGGAGCTGATCTGCATATTGGTATGTAAATGTACAAATAAAGTAATATGAAAGTGGCTGACATCCATCCATCTTACCATGTGGTAAGTCTTTGACAAATATTTTCTCTATACCCAGTGTAGGGTATTGAAAAACATACGTCAGTTACAAAAAGATCAAGGCCAACAGAAGAGATTTATGTACAAATTATTTTATTTCATGTGTTAGTTTAAAGTAGGTTTTTATGCTATACTGGCACAGTGTAAAGAATATCATCCTTTTAACTGCCAGACAGTAGTCAATAGTGATGAAAAGCCGATTTTCAGTCATGATGGGAATTACTGACACTATATTGAAATATACAGTTTCTGATTCTTTATGATCAAAATACCTCTACAGCACTATGCTTGTACTCTGAAAGTTTTTAAGTGCTCCCTCTTAAATTTAAGACCCTACTATGAGACAAGGGCTAATTGTTTAAGTGGCAGTGCATTCCATTTATGTGACCCAACATTTTTTGAACTCTTTACCTTGGCAACTGCCAATAGTGCCCAATATTTGCTGACAAGCAAACCTTGATGATCATGAAATTACAAATTTAAGTCATCAGCCTTAAATTTTTAATTTTCCTGTACAGATGTTGTATGTCTCTATTTTTACCTCACATAGGCATGCTTATATGTTATTATGTTGTTAATGATTACACATGTGTAGACGGATGTTAAATAAAAGCAAGGTTCTATGGTCATTAATTAAAGTTTGACAAGAACATCTTAACTGAAAATTGTGACTGAATAAATGAATGAATATTATTTATATGGGTAAGTCCCCCACCAAATAAAGACTCTCTACAGGAACTAAAACATGTATTTGCTAGAAATATCTTATACTAAAAAGTTCAGTGTTATTCCTTTCCCCTTACAAATCCTCTCTTTCTCCCTCTTTCCCCCCCCCTTTTTTTGATGGGAAGATATGCTTTATTCCTCCCACATCCCTCATCTTAACAGTGAACAAATATTTTTCAACTAGTGTGCAAGAAAAGCACAATTCCTAGTGTGGCATGATTAACCATATGGAAATTTGACTACCCACAAGAAGTGCCCTAATAAGTAAATATTGAAAAAATTGTTCTTGCATATTATTTTAACAACAAAAACAAATCACTTACAGCAATTATAGTATTATTTTGCTAAATGAAGAGCATTGAGGGTGGTTTTAGGAGCATGTGAAGGCAGAAAACATAAAAACATCAAGGTCAAAAACTCTAGCCCTGAGTACCAAACATGCTTGTTTTAAGATACTACAAAACCTTGAGAAAATATTTGAAGTTAATTTTACTTCTTTTTCATTGGAGATCCAGCTATTAATTGTTCTGTAATCACCTTATGATGGGAAAAGATTCTTGTGGGATTGATATCATTAAATGGTTTTGTGTTGCAGGGTATGTTGTTCAAGGATCCAATGGTGAATATGCATATATGAGAGCTGAAGAAAAGATTGATTTAGTTCATAAAGTGAGAGAACTAGCACCCAAAGGCAAACTTATTTTGGCAGGATCAGGTTGTGAAGGTAACAGAGATAGGAAGCAAAACTTAACAATAAGACTTAAAGCAGTCAATCCTAAACTTAGCTTGTGGAAAAAAAACATGTTCACTTTGACCTTCTGGCATCCCATAAAAAAACCTGTGCAGATAGGAAATTTTGCTAACGAGGAACCATTATCTGTGAGAACAGTTACAAAAACTGGAAAAGTAGTAAGCAAATTTCTACACTTGCAATTTGTGCTTCCTGTTATTAAATCACACTTCAGGCAGTTTTGGGAGGTTTCAGAGAGAGTGACACCTTTATGCTACAAGCAAGCTCCTCTGCTTAAATTTCTGTATTGTGCTTTTGTTTTAGACAAATAAGAGACTATTGATTTTACAGTCTGCACTGAAACTCATAAAGTTTAATTTTAGTTTTGGTTTGTTACTCCTTCACTTGTACTGCTGGTTGGGGGTATCTCTGGTATCTCTTTGATCATTTTTGGTCTCTATGCATTTTTCCAATAAAGCTACAAGGGATACCATAGAGATGACAAATAAAATGGCTGAGGCAGGTGCTGATGCAGCACTTGTTGTGACACCTTGTTTCTATAAGAGTGGTATGACTGCAGAAGCTCTTGAGAAACACTTCACTAAGGTAAAGCATTGATATTAAAGTGAACTAAATTGTATTGACAAGAATTTTCCCAAATTATATTTCCGAGTCGAGGTGAATTCTGGCGGTTGAGCAAAGGCATCTGTTCCCATTTACAGATCTGTTGGTACAGCCAACCAGTTTTAGTTCTGGCTGTTTCCATACTTGATTATGATTAAGTTATTAATAAGAACTGAAAATGGATTCTAACATGATTTTTTATATCTGATTTGAAAAAGATTATGTCAACTGCTTTTTTTTTTTGTCACAAGATCACTTGTAGTTCTAAAACCATTGCAAAACGATTTAATACATAAATTGATAATACTATTTAATGACAGTTCACTTAGAATTTGAATGACTTGAAAAAAGTCAGATTAAGATCTCAATAAGGGATTATTGTTGAACAATCAAATGACATTACATGAACAATTTTATTTACCAGGTCGCAGACAGTTCACCAATACCAGTTATACTGTACAGTGTGCCAGCAAACACAGGAATTGACTTACCCTCCGAATGCATTATTAAGTTATCATCTCACCCAAACATTATTGCTCTAAAGGACAGTGGAGGAGATGTATGTAAGAGGGCACTGAAATTAGGGATGAAAGAGAGTCCTTCTTTACCCCCTTTCCACCGAAAAAAATTGTCAGGCGTCACTGGCTAATTTAAAAACGCAACCAGAAATGGCAACTGATACAAAAATGTCCAATGAAACTGTTATTCCACAATTTAAGCTTCTTAGAAATATTTTAAAGTGCGTTTTCGCGTAATATGTTATTTGCCTTAATGCACTCGCATAGCTCCTGCTACGTTTACTCGACTCAGCCCATTCAAATTTAAAATTTAAAATCCATTTGGAGCAACTTTAGAATACTCGGACACTCATTTACATGTCATTGAATAAGAATAGCGTCTATTGTGTTATGCCTCGATCTTCAAGGCTAAAACAAAATAAGTTGTCGCAATGCTCACTGTGTATTCGTTGCACGAAAATTGTTCCTTTCCTTAAAGAATGTCAGATTTTTCTAACTGAATAAGTAAAAACAAGTGGTTCAACTTTCAAACGAGTGTAAATAACTCACCTTTCAACTCTTTGACATTTGTTTGACAACACTATTTTCACAGCCTTGCTTTATAAGATCAACTTTGTGCGAAAGCACTGGCCTTTTGAGCGCGCGTAACTTCTTGGTGGGAAACTTGCACTCGTCGTGGATGGTTGCGCACGCCTGCTTTTTCCCGCCCTTTACCATTCTCTTCTTCAGAGCCCCTCACCGTCACGCAAAGTTTTAGCACAGAACAATCTCATTCAAGAGTCACGCCTGAGTCCTACTTCCGGGCTTGTTACTAGTGATGATTTGAGTTCAAAACAAACAAAGCCAGGTTAAGGGAAAGTTAAGACTTCATTAGTATTTGATTTAATTTCCACTGTTATGTTGCTTAATTGTTGAAATGTTTTGAAATTTCCCGATCATATGGCGAGCAGGTTGCGGAACGGAGAGGGGACTGAAATTACTTATTGTAGCCTAAGTAGTGTTTACTTGACTAATATTCTTTAAATTATGATTTATTTATCGTTTTATTTTTCCCTTTTTTCTTCTTCTAGATCACCAAGATTGGTTACGTGATCCACAAGACTGCTGGAAACAATTTTCAAGTATTGGCTGGATCAGCCAGCTTTCTTTTGGCTTCCTATTGTCTTGGTAAGCCAGTTCTTTTTATTAACACCAGAAAAAGAGTTGATGTAATTTTGGGTTAGGCAGGGAGAAGGTGAAGATAGCTTGGCAAATGAACGAACAAGTGTGTCAAACTTGAAATGTTTTGAAAGCAAATATTTGATTTAAGTGGCTGTGTTACCTTTGTTGGGACCCATTGGGTTGATGCGTGTTTTTGGTTTGCAATAAACGTTTTCCATATATATTTTAAGGTGCCGTTGGAGGCGTGTGTGCTCTCGCAAACGTTTTGGGAAGAGAAGTTTGCAAGCTACATGAAATGCACAAACATGGAAAAATGGAAGAAGCTAAGCTTCTGCAGCACAAATTAATTCTCCCAAACACAGCGGTATGAGCAAATATTTTGAGTACTTTTTGTTCGTATGTGTTCCTGACTCGTGTAGCTCCGTTCTGTTTACTAATCCTGTTAACCCTCTAACTCACACGAATGACCAAGACAAAATTCTACTGACAATACCGATACAATATCAAGCAGAAAAGTGATGTGAATAAATAATGGTAATTGAACTGAGTGGAGTGCAATTTGGGCTGAAATTATACGCGTGATTTGAATCACAAGTATGATTTTAGACCAAAATTGCACGACACTAGGTTCAATTACCACTTTATTACATCCATTTTGAAATTGCCCAAATACAGGACTTGGTCAATTCAAATATTTTACTGATGCAGTACTGAGCCGGTTTGAAATTAAATTCATTCATTTTTTTTTTTTTTTTTTGGGGGTAATAGGCGTTTTGTAAATAAAAGTTGCAAAATTTGCCACATGATACTCTTTTTCTTTCATTTTCTTGCAATTTTATTGGTTACTTTAAAAAAGCCTTGAAATCTGATTGGTTGTTTTGTTTTTAGTGTAGCCTCATTGGCTGGAAAAAAGATGCGATTTAAGGCAAAAAATGTTGCGATTCGTGAATAAATCGCACCAATCAGAGCCAATCAGATTACAGGGACCACTAGTGATTTCAAAATGGGTATAATAAAGAAAAATATTATTAAATGGATTATTAGTTGATCTAATACCAAATTCTCCGAACTAACATTATAAGAATTGTATGGTTGATAGTAACGAGAATTACTAATGAGATCTAGAGATCTAGAGATCTATTACTACATTGTGTGTCATCGCTTAGCATGGTTAACCAAAAGTTTATAAGATTTATAGTCCTTGACAACATAACTCGATTTTTTTCTTCTACCACCACATTAGTCTATGGCATTTTGACCTTGTGGAAGGAATAAAGATAATGTCTAATATTTTATCTTTTCTCGTTTTTTCAGGTAACCAAGACATATGGTGTTCCAGGACTGAAGAAATCCATGGAGTTTTTTGGCCTCTACGGAGGACCCACGAGATCTCCGCTCCTACCTCTGAAAGAGTCTCAAGAAGCTGAACTAAGAGACATTTTCAAACTGTTTGGAGGATACCAGGCATAGAGAAGAATTTATTAACCTTCAAACCCCTAAGAGTGATTAGAATCTTATTTCTCCTTACACTATCAACGTTGAATCAAACATTAAGGCCATGAGAACAAGGAAATGATCACCCACCAGTGAAGCTCTTGATTTTTGAACAAATTTTCCATGTCAGTGCCATAGGAAATGTAAAGAGAACAGTATGGAGGATATGGATACCTATCCTAGGGTTTTAGGGTCGAAGACAATTTCCATACACTGAATATAAATGAATCTTAATGGTAGTCAGTTTATTTTTATAAGTATTGAGACCTGTAATAGAGAAATTCGGCTGAACCCTTTTATATGGGGAAATTTGACAAAGTGAAATAATATATTTTTAAAAGTGAGGTGCTTTCATGATTAAGATAGTATAGTCGACGTTGACTTCGCTGACGTTATGGCTTCCGCTACAAATAATCTTTACAAACTCTTTGCTACAGTTTGCACAGCCTACCTAACAGAAGTATTCTTTGGGTTTGTGAGGGGATCGAAGGCGTGTGCGTATAGCTTGCGAGAGGTTTTCGTTCTTAGCGCTGTGGCACGAGCGTTTCTCCATCGGCGAGAATGTTTTAGGCTTTAAGCAAATCAAGTAAGTGACAGAGGACAGCGGTGACACTGATGCCAGACCCTTCGCAGACCTACAGCTACCTCGCTCGGCTCATACCCTCAGATTTTCTCGCAGGCGAAGAAATTCTCATGTGTCAGCCTTCAGGGCCTTCTCGCAGGGTGCGCCTCGACTAAAATTTGAGCACTGGAACAGCTTTAGTATAGCGTACTTGAAGACAATCTTATTTGCATGATTGGCATGTAATCGTAGCTACATAGCTACGATATTTAGTGAAACTAGAAATAAGTTCACCAGCGTGATCTCAGTCGCTGATATGGGTAAAATCTTGGCATGGTAGCAACACGATTTTCACACTAATTATCTTAATTGTATTTTCCATAAGCATGTGAAAAACTCCTGGAAAGTATTCCAAAAGCTTGTGTTAAATGTCATCCCTTTCACACACTTTCCACGCGGTCTTCACTTAGATATTGAAGGAGACAAATGGAAAACTTGCACTCACATATGCGTGAATCTCACCTTGACGGCGGTTTGAAAGTGGACCTACCTCTAATGTGAACTCAGGCCTTCTATGGAGTGCATGAGTAAAAACGGGAAACTGAATGTAACAGAAATTATGATTAAGGGAAATAAAACCATCGAAGTTGTATTGACGTCTGTTACATCGTGAATTACAGCAGAGGTATACTCGATTGTATTATGACTACGTCTTGTCGGTGTCCATGTCAAGAGTGAAGTAACAACAATTTGAAATTTGCGCTGACGCACTTGCAGCCCCACAGGTCTGCGAAGGAGACTGAAGATCTTTGTATACTGCTCATATTAAACGGTTGGATATCCTTGATCGAACGCCCTGCAAAATCTACTCGAGTAATTCCTGGATTCCTTAGCGATACGGAAACCATATTTGAAGCGTAAATTTAGTACGTTCTATCCAGACGATCATGGTCGTCTTGATGGCCTTAACATTTTCTGGGGCCTCCCGGACTATCATAGGGAAGTAAGGCTCAAAATATGGCGTCGACCCTGACCCTTGAATGAGGAGATGCTCCTCTATGCTCAGCAGTTTTATTTTCTTGCTCTCTTCGACCTAGACTTGTCAAATGAAGAAATAGCTTTGACAATTCGACCTTTAATCAAGATTATGGTCCGATCGTGGTCATGGTGTAATTACTTTTCGGGGGCACAGCACACAATGGAATTCGTGAAACCCGCAGTATGTAAATAACTAATTTTGGGTAAAACTTTCTTGGTGTCATAAATGAGACTCTTTCCGCTAAATACCATTATGCGCACACTCTTAATTACTGTAAGAAGCCGCATCGGATTCTGCCCTCATTTGGTACATTAACAATAAGCAATTGTCATCAAATAGCAGCCAGTCAAGTTTTATTACCAAGGCAATTAGATTATAGGTTTACTTTTGTTATTTGCAAGCACTTTCTATAGACAAACAAAAGGTAAACAGTTAAAGATCCTTTTTCCAACTCTTTGCATGAATTGGCGGATATTTAATTTGTTGGCACTTCACATGCAAAAAACTTCCTACGAGCTCTGTATATGAGTTGGGACTGAACATTATGTTTAACTAAAATTGTATGCATTGTTGTCTTCATCACATTGACCAGATTCAATGTCAACTTGTCTTTCTGTTCCGTGTTTCTTATCTTAAGTTCTCAAAGTTGTTTCAAATACAGTCTGGTCCAGCACCACGGTTCTTCCTTACTTTTACGTGGTGTACTTTATCTACATATACTCTTACGAATTCACTTGTTACTGTGAGTGGGTTTCTCTACCAAATCTACACTTTCGGGTCTTTGCTGAATTTCACTTCCCCTTTGCGACACGCATCCAGGTTTTACAACGGGCATATGCTCCATCGATTTGGTCTTTCTTACTGGGTAAGCACGAGGAACATCTAATCTTGAACTTCTTAACGGTGTTAAACACTGCTGTTTTAAAGCACTCTGAATATTTTCTATTGGGGACTTCGATTCGTCATAATGTCCCGTATAACCTCGTCGAACTTTCTTCAAGTCGTCCAAAATTTCCTTGCGCTGTTGCTGAATTTGGAATCGTTCTCGTTTCTCTTTCTTCGACAACCCCGTGAACTCTTTGTAATGACGCCGATCCTCCACTTTTGCGTTTCCTTTCAAAGCTCTCTTGTCCAAATCTGCGGCTAACAGCGTGTGCTGCCGGTCAATTTCTTGTTGTGTTTTGCTATCCCGGGCTGGGATCTTTTTACGTGTGCTCTGCTGAGCCATGTTACTAGACATCGGCATCAAACAAACTTGCATAAATTACTCTTTCTTTTGTTTCTTTAGACAATGGTGGTGTGATGATTTTGTTAAGAGATGACCTGAGGTTATAAACTCGTTTGAATTTCTGTTGAAACTTTAACATTCCTTTAGCTAGCGTGCACAACACTGCTGTTACCTCCAAGCTTTCCGTGCGTACGTCCTTGAAAAGCTTTTCGGTAATCTAATGGGAACTGGTACATTCTTCTTTTGTTTGAAGATGATATTGACGTGATTTGTAACTTAAAGTTGTTCATTGTTGCCATAGAAACCATCTTTGACGACTGCCTCTAAATCGCGGGTGAACAACTGATGACGTTATTTGCATGAAGGTGTGAACTTGACCGAGGTTTAATGAGAGCCTAGTCTAAGGTTATTCGTATTTTAAGGCATTAAGTGAGAAATTTCATTTTTTCTTGGCGTGCAAGTTTTGGAAGTATGCAAGCATTTTCACGGCTTGTTGGCTTAAGGAGCCGTACCTAAAAATTAACGTTGTATAACTTAGTCTCGACTCTGCGCCATGAATTCAAGAGCCGACTAGAGACCAAACTTTTTACGATTGCGTAGAATGTGTAGCCAGACAGAATACAGGTACGGTATGCAGGAAACTCGGCGTTATATTTCCATCGAGATTGCATAAAGCATTCCCATCACGCCCTTTGTTTGCGACATCATTTCCACTCTATATCAAGCATTTGACCACTATAAGAATCTGTTAAGATGCCGAGTATTTCATGAGCCGAACTTAATTCAGATGGGGACTGATCCAATTTCGAAAAAGTTTACCTGTTGATTCAGACGCCGAACTTAACAAGTCATCCTTATGTAGGTCAGCACGCGGAAGCAACATGTCAAAAAAAAAAAAATGATCACAAATTAATCGATGGAGCTTATGTTTTCTTTTAGCATAGTTATTTTTTTCAAATTCTAGGCCAACTCTGATGACGTATTCTTCATTGAGTTTCTAACCGAAAAGCATAAGGTGAGAGGAGTCGGAAAAAAGGTGAGTCCTCTGTCATTCCCATAATTCCTAGTAGCCTCTCGCTTTTCTGCCGCGCGGATGAGATGCTCCGCTGGAAGACCAAAACGGGTATTAAGAAATGGGACGAGTTTGTATCCCTCAGGGTCAGGTCGCGCACAGCTTGCAAATCAAACTGCGTCTTGCGAACACACAATTACAACCACTTAAAAACGGGAACTTTATTTACTCTTCAAGTTACGTTTCATTTTTGTGTGGAAGGTAATATTTACAATGTCCGTCTTCGTTAGGTTAGCATCATAAAATAATCTGACTGACTGCTAATAGTTGACAAAAACAAGATGTACAGTGATATATGTGCGGAAAACAACGTAGATCTACTAAGCCAACTACAGAATAAGGTGTTTATGACTCTGAATGCGGCGATGGAAGAAACTTTAACGAAAACAACTCGTTTAAGTACAAAACTAGTGGTTTTACATTTTCACCAAAAAATAAGATCAATGTTCATATATTTAGCACGATTTAAAAGTTTCTTTGCATATTTTTCAAGCTAATTTAAGTTCAATAACTTTTTACAAACTCCTTGCTTTACGATTATAATCAACTTTTGCTGGTAACCCTTTTACTCCCAAGATCTCATAAGTAATTCTCCTTACAGCCTGTCATACAACTCTTATGATGTTAGTTCTGAGAACTCGGCATTGGATCAACCAATAATCCCTAGATTGATGTTTTTCTTTATCCCCATTACTGTTGTGCTCGATGTTGTACTGATAACGGTGAGAGGAAATTCAATCTTGTTCACCCATGGGAGTTAAAGAGTTATCTAAGTCATACCACTCTCAAAACTAACTTTACAATAAATACAAAGTGAAACAAATTCAATCCGATAACGTTTTCTGACTGTTCATTCAAACCATTTTCACCCAAAACAAAGCTAATAATAAAACAACCAAAATAAAAATTGTTGCTTCTGCATTGTGCAGCACACACAAACATCTCTGTGTTATCCCCAGGCTACAAAGAACTTGAATATACTATTCTATAACTGTACATGCACTACGACCTAAATTACTAACTAAATATCATTTGAAATCGAGGGTTGCTATTCTCACAAGCGAAAAAAAAAATTGTGGATAAAATATGTAGACCATTCAAGTATGGACTTTTGGAGTAGTTCTTGTGGCGGGCAACTTAATTCTCTCATGTAGAGCTCCAAACAACATATAGAGGAAAGCTAAGAGGTTGATATTTTTTTAATTTTTGATGAATATCTTTACCAAGAAACATAGAATAAGTTAAGAACTGGATGTTTCTGCTCTTTTGGTTAGGGAAAATTGGTTTGATGGAAAAGCAGTAAACACACAGAATCAGATAAGTGTTATAAAGAGAAGTGCTGAGTTTGTCTAAAACTTTAACATTAATAACTTAAGCTCAGGTTGGAAGAACGTACGTGTTAAACGTGATGACAAAACAGTAAATGTTAAAGAGTGGAATTAGATTTCCGAAGTTAAAAGTCAACTAGGCAAAAAAATTAAGGAGGTGCAATTTCTGGAAACATTTTTTTGGTGTTGCATGGTCAACAAACTTGGGGACATAACTCAACTGATGAACCACCACAAGATCATTCTAAAATACATCTGTCTCTACAATGATAACTTTACTTTAGACAAAAGTAGTCATAGGGTAAATTTTGAAGTCAAATTGGATGAACTTTCTGCTATGTGGAATTCACAAGTTTAACATGTTTGATTAGAAATTTTTCATTGAATCTAATTATTCAGGCAGCATGGATATTATAACTAAGACTAGGTCTACTTAGTTTCCACAGCTTTAGTCGTGATATACTTGTTAAGCCCGCTTGGCATGGTTCAATTTTAAGAGTAGGGAAAATGAAGTCAGACTTCAACATGTTCTGTTTGTTTTTGGTGAAGGATAGGTTCAAAGAAACTGAGTACAAAACAGTATTTAATTCATTACCAACACTAGTTTCTCAAAGCTATCTTTAAATAATAGGACACTTGCTATAAAATGTTAGAAGTTACAAAAGAAATTAACTTAACAGGATTGCTATGAAGGTATACATTACTTTTGTAAAGTGAATTAAAGGTGATACTGTATCACTCATGGATCCAAATGCTACCGCTTGTGTACAATTTATCTACTCATCACTGAATCACTCATTCCCACTTTTCCTTCATTTTAAAATGAGATGTTTTTTCAGTTTAGAAATTCAAATGCAAATTAATGATGTGCACCTATCTTCTTTCTGAAAGAAAAAAAGAAAAACATTTTTCCTTTCAGTCAAGAATCCTGAAGAAGTCGACTTATATTTTCAAATGAAGGAGTTTGGACTACATTTTTTAACTTTCAAATGCCAATAACACTCATTTGCAACTTTTTCAAAAGATTTACTAGGTTACAAAAAGAAATGAATAAAACACTGGGTGGGGGTACTTGGGTCAATTTTTGTTAGGTGTGCTGGCCTTTCAGAACCCCATCTGCAGTATAGTCTATACTGTGGCCAATTATAGATCCAATATTGGTCATTTTTAGGCCAGTGTAATTGTTGTGATCCCGATGGTAACAACCTTATAATTAATTTAATTTTTTTTAATTTCTAAATCCCTCCTAACCAGAATTTTCCAGAATTTTCTATCCTCAAAAATCCTAAAAATGTCTTTTAACTCTATTAAAAGTGTAACCCTGTGATAGTCAATCTAGGTGTGAAAATGTGGCCCATCCCTGCCCATCCCCATTAGGCTTTTTCTTGGAAGCACCCCCCTCCCCCCTGCTGCACTTGAGAGACTAATCACTGACCATAATACTCACGTTGTGTGCGTTGTTTATGTCTTGCACTGGTTGTTTGTGGTGGGGCTGTTCCTGGTAGAGCTGTAGCCCCTGCACTCATTGGAACAGCAGATTGTTGGCCTACATTCTGTTTCAGAAGTGTCCAATCAAATGTGTAGTCATACTGGTGGTTCAATGTCCTGAACAGAATTCTGTACAGTTGGCGAAGATACATGTAATCTGGTGCCTCTTCAAATTTTAATCCTCTGCAATAGTTTAAATACATGGCAAACTCTGCAGGAAAACCCTGCAAAACAACAACAACAACAACCATTGTAAGCTTATGTGAAAAAAAAGTAATCTACTTGCCACACCTTTAACTCCTAAGATCTGATTATTTATCCTCCCCTTTTGCTACACACATTTCCTTGACATCTCCATGTAATTACAGGAATTTAGTACCTGATAAGTTTGAATATTCTCATTACCTGTTTGCTGAATAATGTATGGATACTATGGGCAAGTTACATGTTAATCACTTCTACAAGTTTAAGGGTTAGGAAGTCTCTCCTGTCTTCTACCACTTGGGGTGACTTGTGGATTTACTACTCTTCCTGAATGAGATACTTTTTTATCACTTGCAGCCCATTTTCCCCCAAAACCCTTTTTTGGAGAAGAACTGTTTTTGTCAGTAATGTTTTACAAATGCACCATTTTAGCCCCACCAGTAACCACTGTAGACTTAAAAAATAAAAGTGGTACCACATCCCTAAAAATGTTAGGACACTTTCTCTTAGTTTTATAGGTGTCATATTTTTCTCTTAAAAATTCAAATATTGGACCTAAGAAAAGACAAAACATAACAACTCACTTTACAAAGAACTTCAACTGGTGTGGACATCTTTTTTTCACTTATTCTTTCATACTTCTGTTTCTTTGTAGCAGCCTGGACAGAAGATAAATCATGAAAAGTTGTCATGACTATAATATACCACTAGATGTAACTTGGTTAAAACATCTAAGTATATAAAATTTTTATGGCCTGTTTTGCACATTCTTCCCTTCTTCCCTATTGCCCTGTAGATAAAAACAAAAAAACAAAAACCAAAAAAAAAAAGAAACAATGTTGACAACCTTAAGTCCTTGCCAAGGAAGGCTGCTCCTGGCAAAGTACATTAATACATATCCTAGTGATTCCATGTCATCTCGGCGTCTGTTGTGGAGAGAAAACAGTTATAGAAACACTTGTTAATAATTTTGTATAAGTGAAGATTAAACTACTGACAGACTGATGTCTGCTTAACCAAACTAAACTAGACTAAATTGATAGAAGAATGAACATACAGGTAACCAAGACAACCCTGAAATCAAGGGTCAAGTAAGTTTAAAATATGGCAGTTGCATGTTATAATAAAAAGAATACGGTTCATGTTCACAGGCATAAATACATTTTGGATGTGACTTAGAGTCAGATAAGCCCAGGCTGTAAGGCATGGGTTAAATGACTCTGAGAAGGCCCCAAAACACAGGTATACCCAAAAACATAAGCTCTGTTACTATATTACTGTCACTTTAGAGGGGGTTGATAAAATGAGAACCGTAAAATGATGGCAAAACTGTCTGAACAAAATGCATCACCATGCCTGATAAAGTGATATTAATACATAAAGTAATTCCCTTTTTAGGGGCTGTGTACATCTGGGAAACTATCAAATGAATAACATTTATTGTCAACAATATTAAGAAGTAATAGTCTGTTATCAAGCATGTCGAAGAGATATGAAGTTTGAATCTATCAATAACCAATTAAAGTCAGTATTTGAGTCATATGACCCTATTTGACAAAGCTTGTCCTGATTTTCATAGAATAAAGAAACTAAGAGTAGTATCACTGAACTCTGAAATGCCATTAACCCTTTAAATCCCAAGATCTCACAAGTAATTCTCCTTACTGTCTACTAATACAGTTCTTGTGATATTAGTTTGGAGAATTTGGTATTGGATCAACTTATAATCCCCTAATTAACATTTTTCTTTCTTCTCATCACTTGTCTGCTTGATATTGTATTGATATTGTAAGGAGAAACTCTGTCTTGGTCACTGGTCACTCATTGAAGTTAAAGAGTTAAATTGCATGTCAACCCTTCCTTTCCCACCCTCCCCCCCCCCTCCCAAGCATTTCTTAAGATTTCCCTGACAGATTGCCAATACAAATGTTCTCTCCCGGGTGTAGAGAGGCACTACAAAATAGTCCAAGCAAATATCAGAATGACCTGGCTAGGACTAATACCAGAACTTTATAACATGAAATCTGGTGATCTAATCACTTCTCCCCTGCATCTACGACCCAATAAAAAAATCACATTTACTCACGATTGCTCAATTCCAAGGTGTGCATTTATGCTGGCATATCTAGCAGTGCCTGTGAGATTCTTGTCTTCCCTGTATGGTATATGCTGCTTGGTTTTACTGTCCCGAAACTTCTTTGCTAAGCCAAAGTCAATGATGTACAGCTATCGAAATACATAAAATTTAAAAAAGATCATTAATTTGCTAAATACTACAAATTATTGACAGATACGAGAGCAAGGAGCAAGAAAAGTAAAAAAAGAGAAAAGAAAAGGAAAGAAAAACGGACAAAAAGTTAATGTTTTTAAATGTTTTTTCATGTTCACCTTGTTACAGCATCTGCTTGTGCCCATTAGAAAATTGTCTGGCTTAATATCTCGGTGAATGAAATTCTTGTTGTGGAAATATTCAATGCGACCTATCATCTGGAAGGAAAGATTTCGACAAAGATGACAAATTGTTTGCAAACACAATGTGGAGCAAATTACACAGTAACAGTGGCTTCAAAAAGTTTTAAGGATAACCTCCCCTAGGTGTTGATATATAATCTTGAATCAGTGTGAGTATCAGTTGACACCTTATCATTAGTATATATTTTCTCTCTAATGATCTCTATACATTTCCTAGGTACTGACAAGGAGAGTTTCCTTAAAAATTGTGAACTTTTGAAGTTTGTGATTGTTTCCTTTATTCCCATGACCTTGATGTATGATTAAGGGGTGATATTGTAAGGAGAAATTAGATGTTTATTACTCCTAGGGTTTAAGGGTTAATAGTATAACTGCTTTGGTGATTATAGAGATGCATATGCTCTGATTGGTTGAGGATTGTGTTATATCACTTCCTCTGTAACACTAACAAAACACAAAGCAGTCATTTTGAAATTTAGGCCTCCTGTTACAATCACCTCCTGCAAGATGATTAGAGCAGAGCATAGCCCCATAATTATACAAAATAGTAGTAACCCATCAAGCTGAAAAAGTTTGGATGTACGACCGTACAAGGTGCTACTTTTAACATGCGTGGTCACCTGTACCGCAGGCATGCCAGCGCCACGGCTTTGTTCAGCAGTCCAGTGGTCTGTGCACTGGACTCAGAGTCGGACAACCCAGGAACTAGTCCTGGCCAGGGCAAGGCGTTGTGCCCTTGAGATGTGCAGGAAAAAAAATGCAAGCTCTGCTTTTAGGCTTGGCTAAATCTATAGATTAGCAGGAGCACTAAATTTCAAAATGACTGCCTCACACTTTGTTAGTGTTACCGAGGAAGTGATGAATGCGATAAAGAAAAGTCAGTTCAGAAGAGCACAAAAGATGCTCTTAATTTTGGAGTAACACTTTTTAAAAGAGAGATACGAAATTTTGGCTGATTGAATTAAATGAACCTATCAAATTCAAGTGAAACTGGCTCTTTATCTTGATACAAGTAATCAAAACAATTGAAACAGAAAAGATTCAACAAAATGAATATTTACTACAGAATTTGAAAGCACTGAACTATTACACTAAAACAATTATTTGCCTAAGGCTTTGGGAATATTATTAAACTGTCCCCTTGACATCACTTCCAAACAATATTTACTTTGCCTTAGATGAATAGTTGTTAAATATGGTAGGAAATGTCTTGTAAGACCAACCTGGTCAGCTAACATGAGAACTGTTTTCATTGTAAACTTCCTATTGCAGAAATTAAAAAGGTCTTCTAAGCTGGGTCCTAACAAATCCATCACTAACACATTGTAATCTCTCTCTTGACCATACCATCTGCAAAAATGAAACAACACAATCACAATCCAGTGGACAGCCAAATCTAAGTAAGAGGCTTGTTTCACAAGCCATTACATTATGTGTTCCTTTCAAGTAAAATACCACATTTCCTCAAACAAGGGCCCACACCCTTATCTAAAATGTTTGCTAAAAGGGGGGGCCCTTATTGAAAGGACAGCACTCAATCGAGGGGGGGCACTTATTAACTTAGTGCAGCAATAGGACAAAAATCCAAAGAAAAGATAATGCACATAAATGAACACTGCAAGCACATGGAGATAGAAATATCTGGAAGGAAAACCAAACTATTCACTTTTACTGATTCTGCTGTAGTTGAAGCTTAAAAATTCGTTTTCTCTTCACTGTTTTCTTTACATGTTCTTTGGTAATGACGAAGAGAATTTGTCTCAAAATCAGCTTCTTGAATTGCTGATCATTTCTATTATTCTCATAACCTGCACATTTGATTTAAGGTTTATACTGTAAGGAGAAATTAGAAGCAATTTAACTGTACCATACCTAAATTTAGGAATACCATTTCCTCCTTGTAATATCTTATAGAGCTTAGACTCATACAACAGTTGTGGATGTCTTGCTTTTTGGGATTCAAGTTTAACTGCCACATCCTGTAAAAAAGGATGTCTCAATGATGTTACAGTGAACATTGAATTTGTTTATTTGCTGTCAGTTCTTAGCCACTGGAAGCCACTCTGGGGCTATGGAGTTTCAAATTTTTTCTGTGACAATACACAGCTCCATTTCACTTTCAACAAATATTTATTACTGCAAAAATATCCTCATATGAACAAGATGGAAATCTTTGGGATTGTAAGTTGTAACTTAAAGAAAATCAGTCAGCTCAGGCATTGAACTAAAACAATTGTGCATAGATGAATGAATATCACATTAATTTTAACATAATTACTACAGGGAGTGTTGGTTCAGAAAATTAACAACATGTCATCACTGTTTTCTGTGGTAAACAAGTCAGTAAAATCCACTTCAAGTTCCAATTGTTATGCATACACTGTATACATTGTTCTCCAGAAGTAAAAGCAGCTGGCTTTTCACCAGCTACTTGATTCTGAGGCAGCCACTATTTCAGTAGGACAAAAGAGTTAAATACCTGTCTTCATCTGAAATTGATTTTAAACCTTTGTTTCACATTAGTATATACCCAAAAAGATTGATTAGTACTAACTGACAACAATATGGAATAGATACTAGGGAAATAGATATTCAATCCCTCTATACACTTTCCGATTTTCCCTGTGCTACTGTAGTTTTTATGGCTACTGAAAAACCTGTGGGAAAAAACACTGATATAGAAATGACTTGTGATGAAAGTTTGCTTGCATTGTTGTTTGCCTAGGCAACAATTGAAAGCACATTGAACATCTGAAAGGAAGATAAAACAGCTAAGGCTATACATAATTTTAATGCCCACATTTACTTATTGTGTCTTCAACTGGTTGTCATTCAAATGACACCTTTAGAATTCACTGTTTGGGCTCTTACACCTGATTGAATGATTTGATGGAAAATCACCCCAAACAACAACATTTTCCTCAAATCTTTACCATCTCCTTGCTGTTTTTACGTCTGCCTTCTTTTGATTTCAGTGTTATGGAAATATTTTCCCATCAAATTTCACCAATCTTCACTTTTAGAGTGAGGCTTGTGGGGAAAATTATGTACTACAATGCAAAAATGCATAAGGCCTATCCACAAAATTCACAGAACTAGCAAATTATGTACTATCTGGACACAAGATGGAATATCAAATGTATTAAGGATGTTTTTATTTCAAATTGTTTTTAGTTTCAATTCCTTTTTTGCTGTTATAAAAACTGTAATTTCATATTTAACTCTGTCAGTGTTGGCTAATAAAAATGCCTACTAGAATATCATTTTGTAATTAAATTCAACCCCCCTAAAATGGAACTGATGAGTCAAGAGATCAGTTGCATGAAAAATTTCAATGTTTTTTTAATTTTTCACTTTGGACAATTCTCAGTCTTTTCAGTTACCTTCTCCACACCTGTTGGTGTCATTTATAGCATACCCCAGAAAATCCCTTTAAAATGATATATCACACCTGGTCCAATGGTTCATCATTCTCATTTCAGAAAGAAATTGGTATTTCCCTTGGGCAGTAAAGGGATAAGAAAGGATATGCAATTCAACTCTAAACCAGTGCTCAGTTGATGCGGAACAAATTACAGTTTTTCAGCCGTGACAGAGATGAATTTCTTAAAACATAACACAGACTCACACATTTTATGGCTTTTCAGCCTAAAAATCACTGGGATATCTATTAATTGTTTAAAATCTAAAGTATAACTTTTATACAGAAGTGTCTTATCACCAGAATTTGACAAGGTTGTATCATTGATGGCAGAGTTCAATAAACACATAGTAAGTTGCTTTCATAACCTTTGCAGAGATACTATAACAACAGTTCTTCCAAGAATAAAATTTGGTGAACATGGGGACATTCAAGAAACACAGTCTAAATGTAATAGCTACAGTACACCTTTGAATTTTGTATCTATAATTGACCTAGAACTTATTGGCTATGACAGAAATATGTTCTATTTTGTTTATTTCTAAGCTATTTTAAGTAGTTTCAACATACAAATGTAAGGTCATGCTGAAAATGAGATTTCTTTTCCAATTTTTTTTTTCTAGAATTCTAGAGGAAGGAAAAACAACAACAACCAAGTTTGCCATAACCCAAGGAAGGATAGTGATATTGCTCCATACAAACCTCGCCATTTGTAATATTCAATCCTTTGTAGATATCACCAAAAGACCCGCTGCCTATTTTCTGCTGCAATTTATATTTCCCTCCAACGATAAACTCCGAGCGAGCGCTGGTAGGTTTCTGCATTTTAGAAACCTTATAATCACACTAAAACAAAATACACAGAAATATACGGAATAAGGAGTGAGGTGAGAAAAACTGAGAATAAATAACACAGTACATAGCTGAGGATCGTTGCGAATAACCGCATTACGCTTTAGAAAAAAATTTGCATCAAGTCGCTAAAAAATGTATCTAATACAAAAAGTACTGTTTACTTGAAGACGTGCGTACTCTTATGAAGCAATAATTATATAACTGAGGGGTAGCGCTCTGAGAAATTGCTCAACACAGAGCGCAACAGATTTCAAGTTACACAAAATTTCGAAACAAAGGAATTTCTTTTTTTGTATCCCGCAAGAATAATTGTTGACATCTATAAGGTTGAAAGTTCATCCCTGATTCTTATTCGCGTACCTCAGAGGCTATATTTTGACATCTCCTGTTGTGGTTAATATTTCATAAATTATTCAACCCATCGACATGGTCAGAACTACAAAACATACATCAATATATTTATATACATGCATTTATATTCCTTCTTGTATCCATTCTCTGAAAAATTCCACTCTAGCCTACTCCTTTTTAGATGAAAGTGCAAATGAACTAATCTATTACTTGTAAGAAAATGACATCCAATTCCAATTCAACAAATCATAACGTGCCTCTTTCCTTAAGAACATTCATTGCCGGAGCGTTTCTCCTTTGTTTGGCAATGTTACTTACCTTATGAAGAAGAAAAAGAATGACTAATTATCTCTGACATTGGCTTTATCGGAAAAAAAGAGATCGAAGACTGCGCTTCCCTCATAAACTGACAGAAACTGAGATTACATCCTTAATCTCCATATTTCATCGAATGTCCTCCATGTTTTTCCTTACTTGAAACAAAGAGTATTATGGGATGCTACGTAACTAGGGGCATCATCAGGGGTAATCGATATTTTTATATCGATTACTTGTGACTTGAAGATGGCGGCTGCTGCTTCGAAATCTAGAGTTGTCTTATTGAGTTGCGGCTCTTTTAATCCTATCACTTTCCTACACCTGAGGATGTTTGGTAAAGATGCAATTTTTGAGGAATATAATATTTTCTTATTTTCAGTTATTTGTCATACATTTTCCGTTCGCTAGTTCGTCATAGCTCTTTGGAGATTCTTGCTTTTGGTCTGATTTTTCAGAAATTGCTCGTGATGCTCTGCTCAAAACGGGTATTTATACAGTGGTACAAGGAATATTTTCTCCAGTGAATGATGGATACAAGAAAAAGGCTAGTAAATTGGAAACCGCAATTTAATCTTTTGTCAACAAGTTTCAGGTTTTGATTGGGATTTATTGACACATTGTTTTCTAAATATTTGGCAAAGACACCTTTGATTTCAGCTGGCTCCTGTCTCTGAATAAACAATTATTACCTTATTTAAATAAATCTTTGGAACCAAAAGGCAGACCACCGTTTTGATACAAAAATTCTCAAAATTCACACGTAAATTAACTGATTGGCATCTGCATCCCATTACAAATAAATTGTTTTTTTGTATAACGAGAGATGGCTCAAGTGCACCTGTATAATCAGGAGTCGGAATTTACTCTCATTAGCCTTTTACACTCTAACATTAGCATTCATATTCATTCCACTATTCTCTTTATAATTCCTATGGTGCTGACAGGAGAATTTGTTTGACAATCAGGAGCTTCTTACATTGGTGATCATTTCCTTTATTCTCATGACCTAGAATTTTGATTCAAGAGTAATACTGTGAAGGGAAATTTGAAGCCAGACACTCTCAGAGGTTAAGGGTTAAAAGAAACTGTAAGGTTGGATTTTCTTTCAAACTGCCTTGTAGAGTGGTTTGGGTAGTAATGAACTGAGTGGACCCTTTACCTTCTTGTCCTTCCCCTCCGCCCCCTTCTTCATTTCCATTCAGTTCCCGCCAAGTTCAAAATTTGTATTTTCTCTGTCTCTTTGCCCGATTCCCTTTGACCATCAGTAGTCTTCATACTATTGGTCATGTTCCCACATACCAACAATGAACATGTGTGAGACATTTGGTCACAAGGGGGGGGGGAAAACAACTGAAAGAAGGAACTTTATGGTTTTGCACTCACCAGCTTTCTGACTGTGTCCATCTGAAGAGAGCCTAGTAGAGGCTAACTCAAAATGTACTTCATGCAACTTTTTCTCAGATCTAGTCTGATTTTCTGAATTCAATCCCATTAGGACCTAATTGAATCTGAACACAGAATAAAAATGTGTAGACTTGGAGTTCAAACATCTGATTGGATAAGGTAACATCTTTGACTTTGATTCAGCTTTCTAAGTTGTTTTGTTACATCATGACTTTTCCTGATAATTTTTTTGTGCAGTGTGGATGACTGGGAGAGTAAGCAGGCTGGTTGGACACAGACAGCCAAAGTTTTGAAACATTTTGCTGAAGATGTTGTTACTAAATTTCCAGGTAATTTACAGTGTGCTGTCATATAGTATACTGACCTGGTAGAGAGAAAATTGACACTGATAACTAGCAAATGAAAGAAAACTTTTTTTGCACTTTCTCTGGTACTTAAATCAGTACTCTGAGCCACAGGTTTTAATGTTTGGGTAGAATTTATTAATTAAGGTGATGAGGAGGAAATGATTGAAAGCCACTGTAAATTGCTGGCTGGTTTTTTTTTCTCATGGGAACAGAGTTTGCTCATAGATCTTATCGAACTCAGCCATTGCTTGAGATTTGAATCCAAGGGAAAGAAGCAATAGCTGTAAAACTTTGTAGAATGAAGCTTCTAGTGTACTAGGAGTATGGCTGGTTGTCCTTGCAATGGTAGTCCTTCACAGGTTCCCTGCCAGTATTTTATAAGGTTTCCTTGATGATTCCTTTGTGATTCCATTGTACCCTTGGGTGGATAGAGCACAGTAAGGGTAAATAGTCTTGACTAAGAATACAATGATCCTGGCTAGGTTTTGAACTCAGATATTTTGGTTCAGAGTTTAGTGTGTTACTCATTAGATGTACATCATGTCTTCAGCTTCCTACGCAGACACTTAATGGGTCTTGTCACACTTTTTGTAAACTAAGAGAGGAATCATGAAAAAGCCCCTAAGAATGTCAGTGTGAGAGGCTTCTTTATCTCTCACACGAGTTTAAACAACCAGGTTAATTAAACAATAGAACAAGACTACTTTTCTAAACTTCCAAATCTCAGACCACTCAAAATAATTTTTATTTTTGTGAAAAAGATTTTTTTTCCCTCTAGGGTCCAGTCCCCCTACGGTGAAGTTACTTTGTGGAGCTGATCTGTTGGAATCATTTGCTGTACCCAATCTTTGGGCAGATGAAGATGTAAGTAGTAGAAATCCACATTAAGTATTTGATTTGGTTTAGGGAACCATAGTGCAAATAATTTTTCATAATAAGCTGAATAGAATTTTGAAAATTATAGCATTGTTATTGAAACAAACTTTTCAGAGATAAGACTGTTTTTACAATGTTGAACTCAACCATTTAATCTGTTGATTCAGAGGCACTCTTTCAGGTGTTCTCATTTTTCTGTTCTGTTCGTAAAGAAACATCCTAGAGAAGGCTGTTTTGAGTGGTAATTAATACACTTGGCACCCAAGTGAGATTGGGTAGATATTTCTTATGCAGGTAATTGTGAATGGGGTAATTATTGAACCTTTTCCATTGAATTGGAAGGATGACTCTGAGGCAAAAGGTGGTGGATGGCCAAGCAACTTCAATATTTCCTATTTTTGTGAACATTTTAAACCTTCCTTGATTGATAATTTGACAAGTGATAGTTACTATTATATAAATAAATGTCTAGACATATGTTTTGCTTCTCATGGTGAGCAGATAGAAGAAATTGTGGGGAAACATGGTCTTGTTGTCATATCACGAGTGGGATCCAACCCGGAATCTTTTATCTATGAGTCAGATGTCCTGACAAAATACATTGTAAGTTTATATCAACTTTGTCAATTTCAGTGATATAAATATTTCAGTCTAGAAGGTAATTTTTCACTCATTATAGCATTAACCAAAGAAAAGATGTGCATATGCTTTGTGGTTATAGAACTTTTCATTATTGATTTCCGTAATTAGTGGATATGTTACTTGTGGCAGAAATCTGTGAAAGGGGCTTCTTATTTATGATTTCTTGTCTGGTATATAAACAGAAAGTGTGATATACTTTAATATTCTTTTTCATGCTCAATAGAATAATATTCACATTGTCACCGAGTGGATATCAAATGATGTTAGTGCAACAAAAATAAGGTAAAATTAATTTATTGATTCTGTTAACTTAGTGAGGCAAGGATGGCTTTGTGACTAGTTTACTTGACTAGTAAAATAACATGAATTGTGGCAACTTCAAGGCTGACATTTAAAATCTGTAATCCAACATCATTACAGCATTAAGCACACAGAGGCAAATCTTTTTTTCTGAGTGAAATCCAGTTTTGGCAATTATTCTGATTCTCTTGGGAAAATGTTTACCCTCAAAAACTAGTCTTTTTATTCCAGTTAACTAAGGCAACCACTGAAAAAATAGTTGAAGTATATTTTTTTCATGTAAACTCATTAACCTCAATCTTATGCAGATATGAAAATAGTCATTTCCTACTTCTGCAACTGTAAATTCATGAAAAGAAATTATTTAATCCTCTACATCCTGATGTCAGTATGCGTATTCTGCACACTGTTTCCTTTCATTTGCTAAGGAGCTGAAAAGGGGAATTTGTTTAACAGTCAACAACTTCTGTTGGTGATCATTTCCTTTGATTTCATGACCTTCATGTTTCATTCTGGGATGACATTTTAGGGAGAAATTAGATGTTTGTCACTCTTAGGGGGAAAATAACTTAAGGGTTGATAAAAACAATACATGCTTATTAAAATAATTGTTGTTCCTCTCAGGAGAGCTTTAAGAAGAAGTGAAAGTGTCAAGTATTTGATTCCAGATCCTGTTATTGACTACATAAAGGAAAACAAGCTGTATTTTCCAACAAAGTAGCAAGAAGATTGAAGATAGGAGTTAGTAACATTACTTTCAACTCAACAGAGATCAGTGAGTCAGAGCATCAAAAAAATTAATACTTGTATTTTATTTAGGATAGGATGTACAGTGAAATGCATGTGGATTTTTTCTTCAATGGAAGTACAAACAAATTAGATACCAGGAAGCCTGATGTAGTAGCACACATCAGCTCCAAGAAATGTCAGTTATATTCATGAAATCAGAGTCAGTCAGTGGAGTAGAGCAAATAAGTATAACCTTGGGTTCCAGCATTTTTTCTGAATGTAAAAACTGGGACAGAGATTGAATCATTTTACATGAGATATGAGATAGGTGTACTTCTTTATTAAAATAATATTTGTAAACAAGACTTTTTAATTTATTTTTGGTTTCTCCAGGGTAAATAGAGAAAAGAGCTTAGTTTGAGCTGGGGGGGGCAGGGAGTCCCTCAGCCTAAGCTTATCATAGTTTCTGTTGCATGAAACACAACTAGGAGTATTCCATCTGCCCCTGAATGTGATACTATTCCATTGCAGATATTTCCCCCTCCCCCTGCATCAAGCTTACTTCACAGTTCCACAGTAGCCATTTACACTCCTTGGTAAGGGGGGGATACTGAGGAGTGGCCCACAGAAGTATACAGCATAGTGACCTAAGCAGGTCTCAAACCCAGATTTCTTTTCCCCAGAGTCCAGAAATCATGCCATTATGTCTCAATGTTTTTCAGGGTACTGAAATGTTACTGGTGCAAGATGGATCCTCTAATCAGTGCATGCATTCCATTTTTTTCCCAATTGACCAAGCAAGAATAAACATCAAGGATGGAAAATTTAAGATTTGCTGACCTCAAGGGAAAAATTTCACTGCAGTTTGAAAAACCAAAATTAATGATACCAAGACCAGATTCTTATGTTCCAAACATTTCCTGAAAAAGTCCAAACTTTTTTAATATTTAATTAATATAAACTGCTGAAAATCTGTTTGGTATCCTTTATAAAGCCACTGCTTTCTTTGTTGAAATTTGTTTTGTTCAAACTGGTTGAATCATGGTTTCCTAAAAGGATTCAAGACAACCAGCCAAATCCCTGTAAAATATCACGACATCCATTGATATTTTTTTTTGTGATAAGCAGTGTAACCAGATTAGTTTACCAAATGATTACAATTAATTACAGTCAATTGATAACAAGCTAGGGTTAGTGTTGGGTGAGGGGAGGGGTAGGTGGGCAGTTGCCCAGATACTGATATAGATCCAGAAGGGCTGGGTGTTAACTGCCTGCCATTTTATGATCCATCAGGCAGTTGCTTATTAATTTAGCCTTCCAAAGTTGAAATTTCCCATGCCAATTAACCCATGGAGATAACTGTATTTCAAGCCCTAGGGTTCCAATGATTTTTCTTACTATTTTCCCAACAAATATCCCACATCCACGAACACACTAACTGTTACATTTTTAAAAGTTTATTCTTAGTAGAAGCAGAGTCTTTTCTTTCAAATGTAACAAAGAGGTCTTGTGTTACTTTCTCCATGTCCCAGTTTAAGAATTAATTTCAAGCTAAAATAATGGAATGGCCTGCACTTAGCTGGCAACAAAATGTGAAAGTACACTCTAGGTTTGCATTAGCCTGTTCCCCTATACTGACAAAACTTGATTGCAACTCACTGTAAATATCAGGTAGAAGTGATTAAGAAAGACTGTACATTTGATTTAAATTATCACCATTTCAAATCACCATTTCAAACCTCACATGGGAACTACAAGTTTTAAATATATCCAAGGAAACATCAGAATGAACTGACTGGGGCTGGTACCAGAACTTCATGACATGAAATCTGGTGATCTAATCACTTCCTCCCTGCATCTACCAACAAAACAAATCACATTCACTCAGTATTGCTCAATTGCAAGTTGTGCATTTATTTCTCTTGACCATACTATTGACAATTAAAATTGAGGGGACAGCTAAATCTAAGTAAAGAGGCTTGTTTTGCAAGCTATTACATTCAGTGTTCCTTTTCAGGTAAAATACCATATTTCCTCGAATAAATGCACTGGCATTTATCCAAAATTTTGGTGAAAAGGGGGGGCCCTTATTGGAAGGAGGGCACTCAATTGAGGGGGGCACTTATTAAGTTAGCACAGCAATTGGACAAAAATCAAAAGAAAAGATAATGCACACAAATGATTTCTGCAAGCACATGGAGATAGAAATGTCAGGAAGGGAAAACGAAACTATTCACTTTTACTGATTCTGCAGTAGTTGAAGCTAAGAAATTCGTCTTCTCCTCACTATTTTCTCTACATTTTCTTTGGTAGTGAAAAAGAGAATTTGTTTGAAAATCAGCTTCTTGAATTGGTAATCAGTTCTTTTATTTTCCTGACCTGCACATTTGATACCGAAAGGAGGGTCTCCAATAGGTTTTTTGGGATCCGGGATTGGGCTTATTTAAAGGTCGGGATCCGGGAATTTAAATAAAGAAGGGAGCGAGATGCGGGATTGCTATTATGAAAGGGACACGGGAATCTGTGATTCTGAGGAGCAGGATTCGGGAAATAATCACTTAAATGAACCGAGTACCGGGATGTCCGTTGACGAGAATTTATGAAGAAATTGATCTTCTCAGTCATGAAAAGCACCAGGCGTACAGGCTCTCTAGCATTCAAGAGGCGGTCGGGCTGCTCTTCAGTTATTGCACAGGAATGAAAATTACATCAGAGGCAAAGTTGCCTATTTATCAAAAATCCTCGGTGGCCCACAGGATAATGTGGCATCTAAGACTGCTCCATCAATTGAAATGCTTAACGGCCTTGAAAAACCTCCAGCAAGTCTCAGAATTATACCGATATGATGCTCTTAACCTGTTGAGTTACATGACATTAGATGTGTAGAATATTCACTCAGTTGTGCATCACAAAGTTAAACTTTTACATTATTAGAATACCCAAGAAACTTTGAAAATGCAGCCAAAGAAGGCTTAATGAGGACAACCCATTGGGTAGTGTACTATTTTACAAATCCAAATTCTTGGTATCCTGTGCTAGAACGTGCCAGGATCCTGTTAGCCATACCAGAAATTCAACTGTTAACACACGTGTGCCAATGACGCCACAAGGCATACGGAAGATGACGGACTAGGTGTAAACATTTGTCGCAGCAGTGCGTCAGCTCTATGTCAGACAGGAAACAACGATGGCAAGAGCCGGAACTTCCTGTCGTACCTCTATCAGAGAGAAGTTCAGCCGGTCGAACCGGTCACCTCGAACGCTCTGACTGCAAGGAGCACCAAGAAAACAGTGGGAAACAAGACGAAGAGGAAGATGGAATATTGGAGTACAATTCCCCGAGTGATGATGACGACATTCCATCTTTGGAATGAGAGGCTGATTTTTACCTTGGAAGAGGTTCCCGCTTTGGAAGAAGTGTTCACTTCAACAGCAGAATTGTGTTTAGTTAATTTTTTCTCCGTTGTTATGGAACTACGAGATTGCCGTGACTTTTTATGTTTTAGGCACTTGTTGAAATTGTCATTTGTTTCTTTGATACTGATCTGCCTGTACCTACACGTTCATCCATGATCGAAGTTTAATGAGAGGAGTCGTTACTGTGACTAGCATACTTTATTCGTGCAAGACTTTGAAAACTAAAATGAACGATATCATCAATTTGGTGAAAAGAGATAAACTTATGCCTTACGGTGTCTATAGACTTCGACGGATCAATGCTGGTTAAGAAAATCATCGCCCAACGGTAAAGCCCTTCTAAGTTTAGGAAACGGGCTAAGACAAAATTGAATGATTGGGATCGGGATTGACTGGTATAAACCGTCGGGATTACGGGATTGAGAGACAATTTTAGACAGGATTGCGGGATTGAAGAACCCTATTAGGGACCCTTTGTAAGGAAAAATTAGAAGCTACTCAACTGTACCATACTTTGATTTAGGAATACCATTTCCTCCTTGTAATATCTTATAGAGCTTAGACTTACACAACAGTTGAGGATGTCTTGTTTTTTGGGACTCAGGTTTAACTGCCACATCTTGCAAAAAAGATGTCACAACGATTATACAATGAACATTGTATTTGTTTATTTGCTGTCAGTTTTTAGCCACTCAGGAAGCCATTCTTGCACTGTGGAGCCCCAAATTTTCTTTTTGGCAATGCACAGCTCCATTTCACTTTTAAAAAAAATTTATTACTGCAAAAATATCCTCAAATGAACAAGATGGAAATCTTTGGGACTGTAAGTAGTAACTTAAAGAAAATCAATCAGCTCAGGCATTGAACTAAAACAAATGTGCACAGATGAATGAATATCATGTTAAGCAATTAATATTCTGATGGCACGTTGAAGAGGTTCGCGTATGGCACGCGGTTCGCGAAATCTGTCAGAAGGAGGTCATCTCGGTTAGATTACGAAAACTACGATTACGATTACGAAATCCGAGCTTGCCCGATGTTGTCTTCGTGATGAAGGCCCTATTTAGCATTTTAGACCCGCAAAACAGAGTAGAAACGAACACGTGCTTCGTTTTCGCTCATGAATTCGTATTAGCCGTAAGATATTTGCTTTTTTTTTCGTTGCTTACCTATATTACAGACTCCACAAAATTTTTGCGATGCCTCTTTTTCATGGATGGCCGATCACAACTATAACATAGTGAGGTACGATTACCTGGACTGAATCAAACAAATGAATGAGTAGAAAGATGTTTTATAGTTTTAATAAATTTTAACGGACAGTTAAATAGTCTAATGAAACAATGGGAAAAGAAAGCTATATATCGATATGAGAGTGACTAAGCGGAAGGCGAGACAGTCTATAAAGGCTTGATACAAATACCATTACCATGGAGTAAAAAGGAACATTCCAATGGCCTTTTTGTCTCTCAGGTATGTGGAATTGAATACAAAACTTCAGGCAAGTTTTTGACGCTACAACTCTGCCATCCCCTCCTATTTAAGAGAACGACCGCACCACATCATAAAACATTCCATGGACAGGCTATCTCTTGAGGAGTCTATCCCAAGTAACCATGTCACAGTTATCGACATGGAGAATGGCGAGTTTTTGGTGAAAAGCCAAAGTAGCCTCGAAGAGAAGAAGATTTGTTTGGGACCAAGCAGCTAAGCTGTTAGTGCTTTGATTGGGAGAGGCAACGGCTGCCATGAAAACATTTTTTTGCCGTATTCCAGCACGTCCCGTCATGGTCGTTCGATAGACTTCCAAAAGAATATCGTGATTCCCCATTCTTCAGCGTCGATAGAGATTTGCTCTTAGCTGGTGAAAAGGAAGAAGGCGATAGCATTGCCGATGGAAAAGTAGTCGACTCACCTCCATGTGTGCATGACGAGGTTCACGATCTTCAGATGCAATCGTCGCAGTTTGAAAATATACCTCAATTGACTTCACGACCCTGAACCCATGCTGCAAAATGTCGTGAACTATTGGGTCTGATAAAAAAACGTGACCTACATTGCAGAGGCGTGGGCAGTTGGTGGGAGTTTAAAGCAAGTTCAGGAAAAGCTTGAAGTGTGTCTCGACCTTCTACAAAAAACAGCCCCCATGGAGAACGGTGTCATTCTGGAAGCTCCTCTCCTGAAGTCTTCTATTAAAAAGAATTCGCGCAGGATGAAAAAAAAGAAAGTAGACTATAAAAGGCTGTCAGTGTCTCAGAAGAAAAATCCTTTCACTGGACGTGTGGGTCATGAGCGAAAACGAAGTAAACGTTCCTTTCTACTCTATTTTGCGGCTCTAAAATGCTAACTAGGGCCTTCATCACAAAAGCAACATAGGGCGAGCTCGGATTTCGTCATCAGAAATCTACCCGAGATGACTTCTAGCGTTTTAACATCCTCCTTTAGACAGATTTCGTGGAGGTGTCACTCAGGCGCGTAGCTTCCTGTACGCATATACGCACGTGCGTACTTGAAGGGACCAGAAAAGTTTGAAATTTTTAGCAATTATTTCTATTTTTAACATTTTACTTGTACGCAACCAAGATTTCGTGATGAAAACACCACTTTGATTAATTTCTTAAGACCAAAACAAAAGCTATACCATGTTCTAACTTAGTTTTGCATTGTACTTTTTCTTCAGTAACCAATGCAGTGTTGTTTGGCCAGCGTGCAACAAAAAGGCGAGGTTGCAAAGGATCGACGTTCCAAAAACGCTCTTGACAAAGGAGCGACGTTCTGACAATGTTGTTGACAATTCCAGTCACGCTAGCTCTGGCTATAAAACAGATTCGAACACATCGATCTTTCCGGTTTGCTTTTATGTGATACATAATATGTCAAAAAGATCCATCAAAGATTTTTTTAATGTCATCCAAGACGAAAATATTGGATCTAACGATGAAGAATGTAAGCGCTCGACTGTATTGCCTGGCCGTGCCGTCAAACCTCTACTCAGAAATATTGTATATGATGATTTTACAGAAAATTCTCAAGAAGTGACGGCACCCCCACAAGATATTTTCCCAGAAGAATCTATTACAAGTCAATTCAGACAGAATGGCCCTCTCTATCCTGAGAGTTTCACTGAAAGTGGCTAAGTGAAGGCACTCACTGACAGCGAGAAGGTTGCACTCTTGGAAGGAAGATGGGATAGCGCTGATTTGTTTGCATACAGCTTTCCTTTAAGGTTTGAATACAAGTTTTGAATGAAAGCATTTTGTATTGCTCCACGATTTGCCATGGTATGAATTAGAATTCTTTAATGAAAACTGATAAGCTAATAACGTCACTAAGCATGCCTAGAAAAATTTAGTAATTGGCCTTACTTGTATATTTTTAGAAACATTTCCGGAAAGAATAGAAAGATAAACCCCGACATCATTGCAAGAACACCCTGGTTGAGATACAGCCCTTCGACAGACACCCTCTATTGTTGTTACTGTTTATTATTCATCACCCATGATCGTTCTTTTCGTACTCGTGATTGGTCCAATATTTCTAAACTAGTGATGAAGCATGTCTGTGGAAAAAGTGCTCATCACACTGCAGTAGCTCGCGGGGAAGCTTTTCTGCACACACAGTGAGGTGGTACACCTAACATCTGTCAAAAGCTTCACTCTCAAAGAGTGAAACAAGTTAGAAGGAATAGAATTATTTTCAAGTGTATAACAGAGGTCCTAGTTATGATGGGGAAGCAAAACATAGTTATCAGAGGTCACCAAGACAAAGATAGCAATTTTATGGTGATGCTGTCTCTATTGGCGAAAGAAAACTCAGTTCTGCATGACCACCTAGAAAATACACCTCAGAGTATACATGTCTGGATGTCCAGAATGAGATCATCTTTTTTTCAGCAAAGCAGATTCTCAATGGCATAATTGACAATTACAAGAGATCTGTCATTTATGCATTAATTGCTGATGAGTCGACTGATGTTACAAATAAAGAGCAAATTTCTATTTGTATATGTTTTGTTGGCAGGAAAGAGGACGGAAAACATCTCATACGTGAAGAATTCTTTACTTTTGTACATGCAGATAAAGGAACCAATGCTGAGGAACTCACAACAAAATTTCTAGAGACCATCCAGAGCATTGGTCTTTCAGTGAATGATATGAGAGCCCAAAGATATGATGGCGCCAGTGTGATGAGTGGGCACAAGAGTGGTGTAAACGCAGATTCGTCAAGTAAATCCAAATGCTGTTTATGTCCATTGTCGACCTCACATCTTAAACCTCTGTATTGTCCATGCATCAAAGCTTCCTCTTGTGAGAAATATCATGGATACCATGCAAGAAGTTAAGTTGGCCTTTAAGTTCTCTGCAAAACATTTGTTGGTATTTAAAGAACAACTTGGAGACAATCCTGTTGCTAGAGAAGAAATGGGAAGACACTCAAAAGCTGAAGGTGCTTTGTGAAACGCGCTGGGCCTCCAGAGCAGATTGGCTGGCAGTTTTCGTCAATGCTTTCAAGGTATTAATTGATATTAATAATCTGAATCATAGCCCATCTTTTATGAGCTAAATACAATGGAACATTTTGCTTATCCATCAATGTTTATTTTTAGGTTATAATCGACACGTTAGACCAGCTAAGCAAAGAAGGTGAGTGCAAGACCAGAGTGCTCCAACTGTCTATTCTGAAATGGAACTTCATTATTACTCTTGTTGTGCTTCAGCATATTTTTGAATATACTAACAAACTGTTGGTGTACTTTTGAGTGAGTAACCAAATGATAATATATTTTTGATTTTTACATTTACCACATTACAAAGAATCCAAACCATTTTTGTGCATCCAGAGCCCTGATCTCAACTTGATTCAAGCCTCTGAAGAAGCAGAAACCTGCTCCTCTGTTCTGAATGCCAAGTGAAATGACTATGCTGTTTGGACGGCCTTGATGGAAAAGGCTATTGAAATCACCTTGGATAACTGCATTGATCCATCATCACCAAGAACGGCAGGAAGGCAACAACGTCACAAAAACATTCCAGCGGATACTCCATCAGCATATTGGAAAAGGGCAATATATTTGCCATTTCAAGATCACCTCGTTACAGAGGTCAATGAAAAGCTCATGGTGCCACTACCAGGCCTCCAGGCTCAGCTCCTTATCCCAGGTAAATGACATTGCATTAGTTACAAGAATTTTGTGGATCATGTTTATTTGACCACTCAGTTGTTTAGCACATAGATCACAAATTACTGTTCTTGCTTATGGGAAAGCTTGGCAAGTTGACGAAGGAAAAATTGAAGTCAATCCATGCACACTACGGTGGTGACATGGCCATCGATTTGGAAGAGTTCAAACTTGAAGTGAACAGATGGAGGTACCGCTGGTCTATCAGGGAGCCAACCGATCCTCTCCCACAGATGTTGGTAGAAACTCTAGATGTAGCTAATGCTGCATTCTACCCCGAAATCTATGTAGCAGTAAAAATGCTCTTGATGTATCCTGTGTCGGCATGTGCTGCTGAGCGCAGCTTTAGTTCGATGTAAAGGTTGGAGATACCACTACAAAACACGATGACCAACCATTGCCTTTCATCGTTAGCAATATTGTGCATCCACAAGGAAAAGGAAATCAATGTTGAGAGTGTGCTCAACCAGTTTGCACAGCACAAAGAAAGACACCTCGCTCTTTGCTTATAAATGATATCTGTACTATAAAACGAAAAATGCTGCTGAGCACATGCTTGAGGATCCACAACCAAAACAATGTTATGTTTGCACCAAGTTTGCTCAAAATAAGGGCAAGTCACTTTGTTCTTTGCTTTTATTCACACAACTATTTCGAACAAGAAATAAAGAATGCAGTCTTTTTCGCTCAGTTTACTTAGGTTTCTAAATCATATGTACTTGTGCGTACTTCAAAAAATGACCATGCTACGCACCTGTCACTATGTTGTAGTTGTGATCAGCCATCTGTGAAAAGGAGGCATTGCAAAAATTTTGTGCAGTCTGTAACAGGTTAGCAACGGAAAAAATACAAATATCTTAACGCTAATACGAGCATGAGCAAAAACGAAGGACATGTTTGTTTCTACTCTATTGTGCGGGTCAAAAATGCTAAAGAGCACTACATTGGGGGAGCTCGGATTTTGTAATCAAAAATCTACCCAAGATGACCTCCTTTTGACAGATTTCGGAGTACGATTTCTGATCTGTGGGGTGACCATAGGGTCCTTTTGTTTATATTGTGACTTATGATGCATCTCACACTGGCATTATTGAGCCCTTTGTGGATTTGTTGTGTGAGCAAATTTTGCGGGTTCTGGCTTTTAATTGCAAGATATGTTTAACTCTCGAAGCACCTGTAACAGCCAAGATGCTGTCTTTTTTGCGGCCAGTGTGATGGATAGTTCGTCCTTATTGGAGATTCATCACATCTTGCTGTCAAGCTCTTTGCAACCCGTAGCTGGTTCCACGCACAGTGCATCAACTGTTGTTGCAGGTAACGTACCTCTTCACCCTGGCAAGTGTGTGGGGCCTACTCTAGTGCTTGCTGTCCTGGGCATCGAGTTAGATTCCCTTGCTCAGGTGGCACGTCTCCCTTAAGGAAAGCTGCAGGCTTTGAAAGAGCTGATTCATTTGTGGCTGCTTAGGAAATGGTGCTTTAGGTCCAAACTGAATCACTCATTGGCCATTTGCATCATGCGGCTAAAGTGGTATGGCCAGGCAGGACATTCCTCCACCATATGATTGACCTCTTAAGTTGTTTTTGCAATAAGGATCATCCCATTTAGTTAAACAAAGAATTCCAGTTGTTAACACTAAATTACCTGCTATACTCTCCCACTGACGCAGCACCACAGTTTCTTTAGAAACTTACCCCTCGAACCAATATGTAAATTGGTCCCCTTACGGAAAGGGTCAGTCTTTGACACCTTGATGGTGACACGCATACAAGAAGGTGACAAGGCTCCATCCAATTCAATATCCTGCACAGTCAAGTGAATTGAAGAAGAGAAGCTTGCAAGATGGGCACTGTAAACTCAGCAGCACGGACAAAACCAAAGTACCCCAGTGTGCACGCTGCTCAAGACATGCAATGATCCTGGAGGTGCATGTTCAAGGACTTCCAGATTAACAGCATGTGGCTATCCATGATGGGCAGACGATTAGACAACAAAGAACCCTAGGATTGCTTAATCCCACAAATGACCTGTTGCAAGCGCAGACAGTTCTGTAGAGGATCTGGTAACCCCTGCTCAACATGAAGCGCACAGACACCAGACATATAGACCTTGATAGTCAAATGGTGTATGAATCTCACCAGAAAAGTTGCAAACAGACACAGAGTCTATTCATCAGTGGGACAAGGCGACCCAGAGGGATGAAGCTTGCCTAGCTGAAGACAAAATTTGAAGAACTTCCTTTGAGCGGTTGCATAAGTCTTGCCAGTGGATAGGGCTAGGCCATGCATAAGGAAAGTGTGACACTGCTGTTCTAGAGAAAACTGATCAATTCCAACAGAAGCTGGGGAGAGACTGGTGTTGGGGTTGACTGAACACCTGCAGCCAACTGTCAAAATTCCTGCCAATGGAAACAAGAAAGAGCATCAGTGATTTGACTGTGGACACCTGGGATGTGTTGAGCTGAAAAGAAGAGGCTATAGTGTGTGACAGAGAGTAACAAATTGTGGAGGAGTTGCATGAGGGATGGAATCTTTGAGGTCATTGAATTCAGCATTTGGACCATTGCCTCATTGTCTAAGCAAAACAAGACATGCTTTTTGCACCACTGTAGCCCCCAGACGTGGCTGCCACTACCACTGGAAATAGTTCCTTAACAGCAATGGATTGCTCTGACGAAGGGCTAACACTCGAAACGTCAGCTTTTTTACCCTTTACGGTGGCTAATTTACATTTTCAACCCAGTTGTTAACACTAAATTAGCTACATATTGGTTCAGGTAGCCATCTGCTCTGTGCAGTGTAGGCTATGTTGGCTTATCTCTCTGTTCAGGGGAGCACCCCAGGTCCTCTTTTCATACTTCAAGATGGTCATCCTCTATTTTGCACACTTCTCACAGACTGGCTTTGGCAGATCTTCTCTGCTGTTGGCATATCTGGAAACTTTTTCACCTATAGTTTCTGCATAGGCGTAGCAACAGTCGCTGCTCATAATGGGGTTCCAGATTGCCTAATTCAGTCTTTAGGGCAGTGGTCAAATAATGCCTACCAGTTATATACAAGGACACTGGCTGAGGCCCTGGTATCCCTTTCTCAGAAACTGACCTAACTGGTTCATCACCCTCTCAGCATGGAGAAACCCAGTGGTGGATCATTGGTACCAGTGAGGTATGTCTTATTCTAAGACTGGGCTCACCTTTTAGAATCTGTGATGTTTGGGGTTGTTGGGGAAGTTTGGAGGTCCCCTGGGCCCCCTCCTGTTTGTGGGTTCCTCCTCTCTCCATGCACCTTGGAGGGCTGTGTATTTTGGGTGGTTCCCACTCACAAGGTTGCCATGGATACCTCCTTGGTATGCATGAGGCATTCAGGCTCCCGTCCAACCTTTAAGGCACCAGTTCTCAAGCTCATCTATTGGTGATGGGTTTAATAGATTTTCAAGCCCTTTACACACTTTCTGATTTTCCCTGTGCTACTGTAGTTTTTATGGCTGGCTACTAAAAAATACGTGAAGAACACTGATGAAGAAATGAAATGTGATGAAAGTTTGCTTGCATTGTTGTTTCGGCTAGGCAACAATTGAAAGCAAATTGGACATCTGAAAGGAAGATAAAATAGCTAAGGCTATCTATAATATTAATGCATATTTCCTCAAATCTTTGCCATCCTCTTGCTATTTTCATGTCTGTCTTCTTTTCATTTCAGTGTTAGAGAAATATTTTCCTATCAAATTTCACCAATCTTCACCTTTAAAGTGAGGCTTGTAGGGAAAATTATGTACTACTATGCAATAATGCATAAGACCTACCCATAAAATTCACAGAACTAGCAAATTATGTACTACCTGGACTCAAGATGGAGTATCAAATGTATTAAGAATGTTTGGATTTCAATTGTTTCTGGTTTCAATTCCTTTTTTTGCTGTTATAATAACTGTTATTTTACCTTTAATTCTGTCAGTATTGGCTGATGGAAATGCACACAGTAGAATATCAATTTGTGAAGAAATTCAAACCCCCCTAAAATGGAACTGATGAGTCAAGAGATCAGTTGCATGAAAAATTTCAATGTTTTTTTATTTTTCTCTTTGGACAATTCTCAGTCTTTTCAGTTACCTTCTCCACACCTGTTGGTGTCATTTATAGCATACCCTAGAAAATCCCTTTAAAATAATATATCATACCTGGTCCAATGGTTCATCATTCTCATTTCAGAAAAAATTTGGCATTTCCCTCATGCAGTAAAGGTTTAAGAAAGGATATGAAATTCAATGCTAAAAGTTGATCTTTTAAGATAGAAAAAAATCAGCCCAAAAAATCTCCCTCGACTTATACATGAATCATACACAAAGACCTGACCCATGCAATCCAAGAAATAAGCATAAGAATTGCCTGAAGTCTGTTATGAAAACCAAGTTTACAAAACCAGTTTTAATTGTGTTTGAGTTTCGTCGGGCAGCGCATTCTTTGTCAACAAAAATGCTTGAAATAATACATTCTAAGAGGCTTAAACCCATTATTTAACCCATCTACATGGTCAGAACTACAAAAGATATATCAATATATTTATACACATGCATTTTTTTATTTTTATATTCCTTCTTGTATCCATTCTCCGAAAAATTCCACTCTAGCCTCCTCCTCTTTAGATGAAAACTTGTCAGGAAATGACATTCAATTTCAATTCAACAAATCATAACTTGCCTCTTTCCTTGGGGACATTCATTGCCAGAGCATTTCTCATTTGTTTGGCAATGTTACTTACCTAACTAAGAAGAAAAAGAACGACTAATTATCTCTGACATTGGCTTTATTAGAAAAAGAGAGATCGAAAACTGCGCTTCCCTCATAAACTGACAGAAACTGAGATTACACCCTTAATCCCCCTATTTCATCAAATGTCCTCCATGTTTTTCCTTACTTAAAACAAAGAATATTATGGGATGCTACGTAACTAGGGACATCATTAGGGGTTATCAATATTTTTATATCAATTACTTGTGAATTGAAGATGGCAGCTGCTGCTTCGGAATCTAGAGTTGTATTATTGAATTGTGGCTCTTTCAATCCTATCACTTTCCTACACCTGAGGATGTTTGGTAAAGATGCAATGTTTGAGGAGTATAATATTTTTTATTTTCAGTTATTTGTCGATCATTTTCCATTCCCCAGTTCATCCAGCTCTTTGAAGATTCTTGCTTTTGGTTTGACTTTTCAGAAATTGCTCGTGATGCTCTGCTCAAAACAGGTATTTATACAGTGGTACAAGGAATATTGTCTCCGGTTAATGATGGATATAAGAAGAAGGTTAGTAAATTGGAAACTGCAATTTAATCTTTTGTCAACAAGTTTCAGGTTTTTATTGGGATTTATTGACGTATTGTTTTCTAAAAGTTTGCCAAAGACACCTGATTTCAGCTGGCTCCTGTCTCTGAATAAACTATTATTACTAGTATTTAAATAAATCTTTTGAACCAAAAGACAGACCACCATTTTAATACAAAAAATCTTAAAATTCACACATAAATTAACTGATCGACATTTGCATCCTATCACAAATAAATGGTTTTTTGTATAACAATAGATTTGTACCTACCAGCTTACTGACTGTGTCCATCTGAGGAGAGCCAAGTATAAGATAACTCAAAATGACTACTTTAAGCAACTTTTTCTCAGATCTAGTCTGATTTTTCGAATTCAATCCCACTAGGGCCTAATTGAATCTGAACACAGAATACAAATGTGTAGACTAGGAGTTCAAACGTCTGATTGGATAAGGTAACATCTTTGACTTTGGTTCAACTTTCTATGTTGTTCTGTCACATTGTGACATTTCCTGATAATTTTTTTTGTGCAGTGTGGATAACTGGGAGAGTGAGCAGGCTGGTTGGACACGAACAGCAAAAGTTGTAAAGCATGTTGCTGAAGATGTTGTTACTAAATTTCCAGGTAATTTACAGTATACTGTCGTGTAGTATATTTGACCAAGTAGAGAGAAGGTTGACATGGATAACTAACAAATAAAAGGAAACCTTTTGCTTTCTCTGGTACTTAAATCAGTTTAGATAGAATTTATTAATTAAGTTGATGGAGAGAAAATGATTAAAAGCCCCAGCCTGTAAATTTCTGGCTGGTTATTTTCATAGGAACAGAGTATGCTCATCGATCTTATGGAACTTAGCCATTGCTTGAGATTTGAGGGAAAGAAGGGACAGTTGTAAAACTTTGTAGCATGAAGTTACTAGGAGTCTAACTGCTCCTCCTTCCACTGATAGTCCTTCACAGGTTACCCTCTAGTATTTTGTAAGGTTTCCTTGATGATTCCTTTGTGATTCCTTTCTAATTCCATTGCACCCTTGGGTGGATAGAACACAGTGAGGGTTAAAACAGTCTTGACCAAGAAAACAATGATCCTGGCTAGGTTTTGAACTCAGACAATTCTGCTCAGAGTTAAGTGTGTTACTCATTAGACAAGCATCATGTGTCTAGCTTCTCACACAGACACTATGTGGGTATTGTCATATTTTTGTAATGAGTTTAAACAGCCAGGTTAATTAAACAATAGAACAAGACTATGTTGTTTAATAAATATATGTTATTTGCTGGCTCGGAGGTCTGTATGGTGAAAAGTTTTTCACCATACGGATTGACCCTTAGCTGGTAAATAACATATTTATTTTTTTTAAACTTGACGAAATTCTTCCCGAAAGAACCTGAATGATTTAGGGCTGTAAATACGGCAAGGTCTTCCATAAACTGAACAATTTTTGAGCGAGTAAATGGTAGTTGAAATAGAGGTGATGCAAGTTAAAGAGAGATACCTCACCAAAACATTTTCATTTCTGTAATGATAAAGGTGATTTAAAAGGCTTCCAAACAAACTTTGAATCATTATTTTTACAAGTATCTGTCACAATCTGACACTTGTCAATTAGGGAGCGTGTTAGAAAAAAAAGCACTAGAACATCTAAAAAACAATGGAACTAGTTTGGCAAGGACTGTCACAACAATGTTTTCTTCAAAAACAGTCATTGATGTAATGGAAAGTATTGTTCACTCTCATCGACGATTCATTTGTGTACGAAGATTTACCTCTGTTCATTAAGTAAATGGCAAGGAAAGTAATTGTGTGTAAATTCAAATTTTTTATTTTGAAGTTGTGAGAGTTTGTTCATTTGTTTGTTGCAATGGCACATGTAAATCTGCTCTTTCCTCCACAAAAACTAAATTTGAATGGCACACTCCAACGAAACAGACAGGGATTTAATGTGGCCTTTTCTCATTAAATTCCTTCAGTTTCTGTTGTGCAATTTACGGTACAAATGTCTAAATTGAACAGACTTGGAAAGACTCACAGAGAGCATAAATTTGTTGTAGAACTTAAATTGAAACTTTGCTTGCTCTTTCACTATGAACAAATTGTTTGAGAAAATTCAGATATTAAATGAATGAAAGTTCCATTGTTCAGTTAAACTGTAACCAAATACTTCACATTTTAACTTTCTATGTACTTTTTGTGAACAATTGAAATTAATTGCAGATGGTTTTTAGGCCACTTGTCAACCAACGTAATGACACTATTGCTTATACAAATTCATTCTGAAACCAATATTTTTCTGTCAACCAAAGTGATTTGAGACAGGGAAAAGAGAGGATTCATAAGTTATTTATCAGCTTGAGGTAGTGATGATGTGTTTGCTTAAAAATACTGCCCAGCCGGAAAAAAGTGATATATTTATGAAAAATGGCAATGAAAGTTGGGATGTACTAAGCAACTCACAAAAGCATTACCATGGCCCGTGGGCAGAGATAGGAAAATACTGACCGTGTAAAGAACCAATCAGATCGCAGGGTTTGTTACCATGGCCTCTTAAAAAAATAATAGTCATGGTGATATTTCCTACTTTTCTAAACCTCAAAATCTCAGACTGCTCCAAGTAATTTTTATTTTTGTGAAATATTTTTTCCCACTAGGGTCCAGTCCCCCTACAGTGAAGTTACTTTGTGGAGCTGATTGGCTGGAAGCACTTGCTGAACCCAATATTTGGGCAGATGAAGATGTAAGTAGTAGAAATCTACAGTATTTGATCAAAGATTGAGCTTCTGGAATTATATCTTTTACATTAGTGTACAGCCTTGCAAAGAAAGTGTTAATTTGGCTTGAACTTGAACTGAAATTTATTGAACTGAAGTGCAAATGATTTTTCATAATAAGCTGAATAGAATGTGAAAATTGTAGCATTGTTACTGAAATAAACTTTTCAGAGATAAGACTGTTCTTACAAAGTTTTCTTTGAATTATTTTAACGCCTTGCAAAGAAAATATAAATTTTGCTTGAAATGAAATTTAGTGAATTGAAGTGCAAATGATTTTTCATAATAAGCTGAATAGAATTTGAAAATTGTAGCATTGTTACTGAAATAAACTTTTCAGAGATAAGACTGTTCTTACAAAGTTTTCTTTGAATTATTTTAACACCTTGCAAAGAAAATATAAATTTTGCTTGAAATGAAATTTAGTGAATTGAAGTGCAAATGATTTTTCATAAGAAGCTGAATAGAATTGAGAATTATAGCATTGTTACTGAAATAAGCTTTTCAGAGAGAAGACAGTTTTTACAATGTTGAACTCAACCATTTAATCTGTTGATTCAGAGGCACTCTTAAGGTGTTCTCATTTTGCTGTTTTGTTTTTGCAAAGAAACATCCTAGAAAATGCTGTTTTGGGTGGCAATTGTTACACTTGGCATTCAAGTGAGATTGGGTAAATATTTCTTCTGCAGGGAATAGTGAGTGGGGTAATTATTGAGCCTTTTCTTGTGAATTGGAAGGATGACTCAGGGGTGATAGGTGGTGGATGGCCAAGCAACTTCAATGTTTCCTATTTTTGTTATAAAACAATTGGTTCATACATCAGCTGTGCATTCATTGGGATATAAAGCACTTGGAAAGTTTAGAGAGCAATCAAGAAGCTAGAGTTGCTCTTGGCTACACCTGGAGCAACTGTTACGTATCTTTCTTGCTCTCCAAACTTCCTGCGTGCTTCATATCTTGATAAACACACACTGACATATGAACCAACTGTCAATTAAAGTAATGTCTTGACATATGTTTGGCTTCTCGTGGTGAGTAGATTGAAGAAATTGTAGGGAAACATGGTCTTGTTGTCATATCACGAGTGGGATTCAACCCGGAATCTTTCATCTATGAGTCAGATGTCCTGACAAAATACATTGTAAGTTTATATCAACTTTGTCAATTTCAGTGATATAAGTATGTTAGTCTAGAAGGTAATTTTTCACTCATTATAGCATTCACCTGAGGAAAGATGTGCATGTTTCCTTTGGTTTTCAGGTATGTTTTGTGGTCATAGAACTTTTTACTATTGATTGCAGTAATTGTTTAGAGTTAATGGTAGTGGATATGTTACTTGTGGTAGAAATCTGTTAAAGTGTCTTCTTATTTATGATTTCTTGTCTAGTACATATCCAAGAAGTTTGATATATTTTAATTTTCTTTTTGATTTCATGCTCAATAGAATAATATTCACATTGTCACCGATTGGATATCAAATGATGTTAGTTCAACAAAAGTAAGGTAAAATTAATTTATTGATTCTGTTAACTTAGGGAGGCAAGGGAGGCAAGGAAGGCTTTCAAAGTCCTCTGCTTTTGACTAGTAAAACGACATGACTTGTTCCAACTTCAACACTGACATTTAGAATCTGTAATACAATATCATAACAACATTAAGTCTTTTCAGCAGTGCATACAGGGGCAACTTTTTTTTCTGGGTGCAACCCAGTTTGGTTTATTCTGATCCCCTTGGGAGAATGTTTACCCTCACAAACAACTCTTTTTTATTCCAGGTAATTAAGGCAACAACTGAAAAAAAAAGTTGAAGTATATTTTTTTCATGTAGCCCCATTAACCTCAATCTTATGCAGATATGAAAATATCCATTTCCTACTTCTGCAACTGCAAATTCATGAGAAGAAATTATTTAATCCTCCACATCCTGATGTCAGTATGCATATTCTGCACACTGTTTCCTATTTATTTTCTAAGGAGCTGAAAAGGGGAATTTGTTTAACAATCAACAACTTCTTCTGTTGGTGATCATTTCCTTTATTTTCCATGACCTTCATGTTTGATTCTGGAATGGCACTGTACAGAGAAATTAGATGTTTGTCACTCTTATGGGAAGAATAACTTAAGGATTGATAAAAGCAATACAAACTTATTATAATATAATAATTGTTTTTCCTCTCAGGAGAGCTTTAAGAAGAAGTGAAAGTGTCAAGTATTTGATTCCAGATCCTGTTATTGACTACATAAAGGAAAACAAGCTGTATTTTCCAACAAAGTAGCAAGAAGATTGAAGATAGGAGTTAGTAACATTACTTTCAACTCAACAATGATCAGTGAGTCAGAGCAAAAAAAAAAAAAATACTTGTATTTTATTTAGGATAGGATGTACAGTGAAATGCATGTGGATATTTAAAATCTTTTCAATGGAGGTACAAGAAAATTAGCTACAAGGAAGCCCGATGTAGTAGCACACATCAGCTCCAAGAAATGTCAGTTATATTCATGAAATCAGAGTCAGTCAGTGGAGTAGAGCAAATAAGTATAACCTTGGGTTCCAGCATTTTTTCTGAAATATGTAAAAACTGGGACAGAGATTGAATCATTTTACATGAGGTGTGAGATAGGTGCACTTCTTTATTGAGTAACATTTGTAAACAAAACTTTTTAATTTATAGTTGGTTTCTCCAGGGTAAATAGAGAAAAGGGCTTAGTTTGTGCTCTTGGGGGGGGGGGGGGAGGGCAGGGTGTCCCTCAGCCTAAGCCTATCACAGTTTTTGTTGCATGAAACACAAGAAGGAGTATTCCATCCCCCTGAGTGTGATACTATTCCATAGTTGGTATTTTTACCCTCCTTCCCTCATCAAGCTTACTTCACAGTTCCACAGTAGCCATTTAAACTCCTTGGTAAGGAGGGGCATACTGAGAGTGGCCCACAGAAGTATACAGCACAATGACCTAGGCAGGTCTTTAACCCAGATTTCTTTTCCCAAGAGTACAGCAGTCACACCACTATGTCTCAGTGCCTTTCAGAGTACTGAAATGTTACTGGTGCAAGATGGATCCTCTAATCAGTGCATGCATTTCATTTGTTTCCCAATTGACCAAGCAAGAATAAACATCAAGGATGGAAAATTTAATATTTGCTGACCTCAAGGGAAAAATTTCACTTCAGTTTGAAAAACCGAAATCAATGACACCAAGATCAGATTCATTTATTTTTAACATTTCCTGAAAAAGTTCTAACTTCCTTAATATTTAATTAATATAAACCACTGAAAATCTGTTTGGTATCCTTTATAAAGCCAATGCTTTCTTTGTTGAATTTGTTTTGTTCAAACTGGTTGAATCATGGTTTCCTAAGGTTTCAAGACAACTAGTTTGAAAAGACCTTTTATTTGTGAACATGTTCTCAACCCCAAACACAGCAAGGGACCTAAGATACCATGCTAAACTACGTAATAAAAGCACATTCCACAACACCCCCAGATATCTAACAAAAGGGTTTAACATAAATGGAAACTTCCTGTGACATTGGGATTCATGATCAGAGGGTTAAGTGTTAATTGCCTGCCATTTTATGATTCATCAGGCAGTCGCTTATTAATTTAGCCTTCCAAAGTTGAAATTTCCCATGCCAATTAACCCATGGAGAGCACTGTATTTCAAGCTCTTGGGTTCCAATAACTTTCCTTACCATTTTCGCAACAAATATCCCACATCCACAAGCACATTAATTGATGTTTTAAAAAGGTTATTCTTAGCAGAAGCAGTGTCTTTTATTTCAAATGTAACAAAGAGGTCTTGTGTTATTTCCTCCATGTCCCAGATTAAGAATTAATTTCAAAGCTAAAAATAATGGGATGACCTGCACTTAGCTGGCAATAAAATAGAAAAGTAACCGTTAAGTTTGCATTAGCCTGTTCTCATATACTGACAAGACTTGATTATAACTCGTTGTAAATGTGAGGTGGAAGTAATTAAGAGAAAGAATGTACATTTGATTGAAATTGTCACCATTTCAAGTCGAGGTAGAATTCTTCCTCACCTGGGAACTAACGTTTTAAATATTTCCTTTGCATTTACATAAAAAACAATTTCCATGGAACATGTACAGAAACTTTCCATCAGTACTCTATTAGCAATTCTTTTAAACAAAATTAAATTTTCTCTAGTATTTTTCACTAGTGTTACTCTACGAATAATGAATTAATTCACAATTATTTGCCAAAGAGGAAGTGAATATTTTTAAAACATGTTCACTGAGCTTGAAGCATAATTGCTCAGGTCCTTTCAGACTGTTGTAAATTCTGTAAATAAAGAAACTGATGCTCACAATTGGTTATAATTTTGATTAACTGTATTTATGTTTCTCTGAAACATTAACAAAACATGAGGTAGCCATTTTGAAATTCAGCACCTATGCTAGAATCACCTCGAACAAGGTGATAATAGTGAGATATGATGAAATCCTCCAACAAACACAGCCCATGCATTTCTATAATCACGAACACAATTATAGAATATATACAGTAATAAACTAAATTCTCTAGATATGCATCTCTATACATAAACTGTTAATAAATTACCTTACAATAATAATAAATTATAAAAAGTATAATGATGAAGTACTGTATTGATGTGGGTTTCTCGATACCCTTTCCTTTATCACTACACCCAAAATGTGCTTTTAACTTTGATTGTATTCAAACAAACCAACAAACCTCAACTAATCTTTGCTGGTTAAAATAAATAACTGAAAATAACATTTCAATGTAAAACCCTTTGTCTCTTTATAACATGCCTTGCAGATAAACATCACAGACCAAATTATTGTAAAAAAAAAACCGAAAACCAAAAAAAACAATCAAACTCATGCTTCAGAGTCATCTGTACATTGTGTACATGAAAGAGCTGTTTTCTGCAGAGCTTGACAGATACCCTGAAGAAGTGCTAAAGCTATCAGAGAGAAGTCTGTCAGAGTTGACTTCATATGACCCACAATGAGTTGAAGCATTGTCTGTAGAAGGAATGTCCCAGTTGGAGGAAGTCAACAAAGTACAGTCTTCATTTGAGCATTCATATAAAGTTTTTTTGTCTTCATTTAAATTGGAAAGAGTTGTAGGGTGTATTAAGTCTTCAACAGAGGCATTCTCTCCATATTTTCCTTCTAGAAAGCCTTCAATTTCTTGTATTGGGAGCTGTGTTTGTAGGAATAGGTGAAGACCAGCAAATGATAGATAATTATTTACCTTGACGATTCTGAAAAACAAAACATTTCAAAGAGGTTAACCATTTATCAACAAAACTTTCACATCCTGCTCTAGTCAAATAGTTGAGTCAATTTCACATTCTTATGCAATTTGTGACAAGTCTTATAATATTACACAATTATGTCATAACTAGGTGTTAAGCACATGTTAATTGCATCATGATGTAGTGTGATGTTAATCCCATAGTGAGATGTGATGTAACTCTCTTGAAGTTTAATAACAGCAGTATCATCATTTTAACCCCTGTAAGTTGACTAACTATCTTAATCATGGTCTTAAAATAATGCCTCATTCTTGAAATTAAAAGCTTTTGTTCTGCTGTACAAATTTAAGTTAATTCCATGCCAGAGATATTGGTTTCAGAATTGAACACACAAAGGAGAAAACATGCACATATTCTACTCTAAATTTTGCATATTTTCAAGATGAAAAATAGTTTGGGTTATTAGGTACTAAGCAACCTCCAAAGATTGCCATTTTATAAGATGAACTATCTTAAATTTGTTTGCTCTTAACATGTCCTGCATGTATTCTACCCAAAATTTTGCATATTTTCAAGAAGATGACAAACAGTTTGGGCTATTAGGTACTAAGCAACCTCCAAAGTTTGCCATTTTAAAAGATGAACCCTCTCCAAATTGTCTTGCTTCCAACATGTTGCTTGGTAGCTCAATTTGTATTACACTCCAACTATTACCAAGGATACATGGGTTTGAATCTCATCAAAGCCTAAAATTTTTCAGACTTCTTGTCTGTAATTGCTAAATTGCAGGACATCTGCCAGGATCATTGCTCAGATTGCCCATTTTCTTTCTTTTAGCTCTAGAATATCTTACTCAGACTTATTCATTCCTTTAAGACAAGTGAGAACATAGAATCACAGCATGATTTCCACGCACAAAACAATAAATACTCACTCGCTTAAGAAATGTTGAAATCCTTCCCGCCTAGAATCAATCACTCCTTTATCAAATCTGCTAAAATAACTCTTTGGAGGTAGGGTTGGAATACTTGTTTCCCTAATGAGAGAAGACTATATATTAGAGAAAGAAGAGAAAAGCACTGAAAGAAACTGGTAAAGATCAGGGGGTAAATGAAAGAAAAACGCTTAGAAAAACGCAACGGCAACAGACAACATATATTTACAAAAATCGTTTCTTGCTGGTTACAAAGATGGAGAAAAGAAAATTAATAAGAAGACTGAGCAAGATGGCACACCAAAAGTAGTAAAAACTCATATTCAATCATCACGAGATCTACAAAACGTACCCTCCTAATCCGCTGATATCTGTGCTGGAAAGCTTTGCTCTAAGCCAGCAAAAATCAGAATATCTTCTTCTAACACTAGAGCGTTTGCTGAAGAAGGCCTTGTTGTTAGTCTAAAACAAAAACAAGAAGCCATGTCAACAATGTCAGCCGCTTGTGCTAGAAATACGATACATCTGATAAGGCTAGAACGAAAGTAATAATATCGTTAACCTGTTAACCAAATAAAACCTACCTCTATGTTAATCTCATAGTCAACAAACTTGCTGCGGGAGCAGCTATGAAGTTTTGGGTTGCTCACGAGAACCTTCACGGTCTGAAGAACAAACAAATCAACACCAAAATTTATCAGTTTACTCAGAGGACACTGCTTCAGTTACATTACAGGTCGCAACGTTAAAATCATTTCGAGTAAAAATCAATTAAAAAATATACGATAACAAAACATTTTCTAGATAAAGGTAAAGGAAGATGTGGGTATCGAAACGACGATCTAAAAATTAACGGCTCGTTAGTGTGAACATATACGCGCCAAAAAGGGAACTTGCTCTTCGACCGTCATACTGTAAGCACAAAATGAGACGTTTCCGAAACACAACTTACTTCACGGTCCTTTTTAGATATAGTCATTTTCTTTCGTTACTATGGAGTGATGGACAAATCAAAGTGCATTCTATAATCTACAAAACATCCAAAAACAAAGAGCGTTGCTTTTGTAGCCGGCACAATCAGGAAGGATCGCCTGACGCAAGAGTAGTACACAAGATAAGCACATGACTTGTCATGTGATTCAACCTGCTGCGAACGAAGGTCATTTCATACGTCACGCCTCACACTTTCCTGTGATTGGTCAGTTGAAAGTTTTTTGTAATGCAATGAATAACGCAATCTTCACTCACGTTTTACCTGCACGTGACTTCAACCATGAGTGAAGTGAAGGAATGTGTGAAGTGTTTTGATTTTTAAAATTTGAAGACATGTAAAAGCCTGCCCCGACAACGTCACGATATTTTCCTTTACTTTCGAAAATGATTTTTAAAGCGCAACTATTTCGTGGAAGGTTTGCTTTGAGCGAAGGTCAATTAACGACATGCAACAAGCTTTTCCAAGTTCTTTTGATTGGTCCCTGAACCGGAAAGAGTACTCCGACATCCGTCAGAAGGAGGTCATCTCGGGTAGATTTCCGATTACGAAATCCGAGCTCGCCCGATGTTGTCTTCGTGATGAAGGCCCTATTTAGCATATTAGACCCGCAAAACAGAGTAGAAACGAACACGTGCTTCGTTTTCGCTCATGACTTCGTATTAGCGTCAAGATATTTGCATCTTTTTCCGTTGCTTACCTATATTACAGACTCCCAAAAATTTTTGCGGTGCCTCCTTTTCACGGATGGCCGATTACAACTACAACATAGTGACACCTCCACGAAATCTGTCAAAAGGAGGATGTTAAAACACCAGAGGTCATCTCGGGTAGATTTCTGATGACGAAATCCGAGCTCGCCCGATGTTGTCATGAAGGCCCTATTTCGCATTTTAGAGCCGCACAATTGAGTAGAAAGGAACACTTACTTCGTTTTCGCTCATGACTTTGTATTAGCGTTAAGATATTTGCATTTTTTTCCGTTGCTAACCTATATGACAGATTCCACAAAATACATTTGACACCTCATTTTCACGGATGGCCGATCACAACTACAACGTAATGACATCTTCACGAAATCTGTCAAAAGGAGGATTTTAAAACACCGGAAACCTCTGGATTTCTGATGAAATAAATTTAACGCGGTTACGTTCAGAGTTTAAGCGATATATATAGTTATTTCTAATATGGTAATTGATTAAAAAATTGTACATTACCTCGATTGGACGGAGATTAAGTTTGAATGTACTGTAGCAGGCGATATTACTTTTGTCGACAAGGATAATCCGTGACTTGTCTCACCTATTACATTTTCTCTATCTGCGTTGTGCCATGATCACCATTGAAAATATTCTACGATAATATTTTTTACAATATTTAGATGAGGATTTTCAATTCTAAACGCAAGAGCGTACTTAGGGAAAGATCTACAAGAAAGAGTTTCTCATGAATACATTTTAAAAATTCTTTTAGCTGACTTCTACATAGATATATTTCACTTCGACGATTATCTTAATAAACAATTAACGGGAAGTTCTGAGAATCAGTTTTTTTTCAGTTTTGACAGATTTCGTGGAGGTGTTACTATGTTGTAGTTGTAATCGGCCATCCGTGAAAAGGAGGCAACGCAGAAATTTTGTGGAGTCTGTAATATAGGTAAGCAACGAAAAAAAAAAGCAAATATCTTACGGCTAATACGAAGTCATGAGCGAAAACGAAGCACGTGTTCGTTTCTACTCTGTTTTGCGGGTCTAATATGCTAAATAGGGCCTTCATCACGAAGACAACATCGGGCGAGCTCGGATTTCATAATCGGAAATCTACCCGAGATGACCTCCTTCTGACGGATGTCGGAGTACGCTTTCCCCCTGAACCATCTTTCTAAAGGCTTTTGTTTTGTAACGCAACGTGTGCTACGGAAGGTGACTTTGCACTTTCGTTTACCTACGCGTGAATACAACCCTTACCTTCAACGATTAAAATTGATTATCTAGGCCAGGTAGAACTCGCGATTTTTTCCTTCCGAAAATGTTCTGCCGTTTTATGGAAACGTAATTTTCTCTGCAACTCCCGTATTGACGACAAAAGCGACAAAATCTCATTACGATAGCTCCATCGATAAACCTGACGAAGCTCAAAGGTTGACATTTTTACCATCTGTTTAACAGGTTTTCAGAATTGGGTACATTAAGAACTTCACTGTCAATGTAAAATTGAAAAAAATGACTATTTCTAAATCTTTCTAAGACAGTGGTTCATTATCATCAGCTCCTAGTTGCTCGTAAGCTGAAGTAGCACTTTCGACCGAATCCTATATCCAGTAAGTGGTTTAGTTTCTCATATCCTAATATTCTAAGGTGTGATAGCATAGCTATTGTTGAATAAATCTTTGGATTTAAATTGGGTGTTAACTTGTATCTTTTCCAACGTTAAGAAGCCTGTTATACCACTGAACTTGTTATACTTCGTGAAAAGGAAGCTTCCGGTTGAAGATTATAAAAAGGAATTCATATAATCTGTCTGCACGATGGCCGTCAATTGCGCAATATATTTTTTGCATTTAAGGTAGTATGAAACTGCTAGGAAACAGTTAACAATCCCCTCAGTCACATTTTGGAACAGGAGATCCGGTATATTTAAATTTATCCATAAAAAAAAGAAAAGGAAAAAAAATACGATCGGACAGGACACCAAATGATTAGCAATGCAGAGTGGGTGCATGTAATCAAGCTCAGAAATTAAAAAGTTGGAGTTATGACTTGAAAAACTAGTTCGCTTAAACATCAATTAACACTTCAGTTCACTGCCACACTACCCAATATACAAAACAGAATCACATCTTTCAAACCAACCTTCACAGATCTATATTTAGCTTTCGATGGTGTTCTCATCCTGCCGTCAGACGATGCTATCCTACTAATTTTCTTTTCACACACACATTCTGTTGTTGTTTCCCTGACGCTAACAGGTCTGTAATTTAAAGGGAAAGATCTCCTTGAGTGTTCAGACGTTGTAAGCATCACCGATTCTCATATGTAAATACACTGCACTGCTACAACCACTACTCTTTCCGTTTATCCGGAACAAGCTCGGGTCAGCAGAAATATGTTTTTCAGTTTCGTTATCGCGATGATACGTTTTCCAAATTTATCACTTCCCCAAAGGTCGAATTTCACTAAAATTGATGGCCTCACGGAAGTAACGCAAACCTCTGAACCGAAAGGAGTTCAATGCAAAGAGGGGGTCTGGCCCGACATGCCAAAAGAGAAATACTGACTACTCGCTAAAGCGCCATACCGCAGATACAGGAAATAAAAAGTCAGTCCACAGCCGTTCCTTCCTTTTACCCCAATTTTTTTCCCCTCATTGTGTCCTTCAGCAGCATTTATTTCACACGTGCACTCGACGATGATCTGAGAAAATAGGGAGACTAGTGCTTTGGCGCACGGGATCTTTGGATAGTTGAAGGCGCTTTAGGTATCCATCATAGACCTTAAAACGGTCTCGCTAAAACCGAACGTAACCTTTGATACGGAGTAGTTGGGCAAAGAAAGTGTTGGAATTAAACAACATTTTCTGCAAATTTTGTGTTCGTGACTAGTTTGTTCATGCTTTTTAGAGCACAGTTTGGAATATCTGGGCCAAGAAGTCAGGCCAGAGCCATATCTCCAATCTGGAAATCTTCCAAAAATTTGCATCTCATATAACTTAATAAACTTCTTACGATGTCAAAAATAGAACCGCATAACTTTGCCAAAAACATGCAGGGAAAGTATTCACGAACACCAGTTGATCAGAATGATCTCTTAAACTGTTGAGAATAATTTTATTTCATAACTTTTTAGCTCACTGCCTAATGGGACCATCGATCGATTCCTGTTGGAGGCGACTGTTGAGTTGCCCCAAGTCTATGCTCGAACCTAAATACTGCATGGATGAATAAAAAAAAACTCATCGTTCTAAATGGAACCCAATGGTTGTTCAAACTGTCTGTAGCTTTTCGGTTGTGGTCAATAAGGCTGCTAAATGATCCGAGACAGAGAAGAAAAATCACGGCGACTGAAGAAGACAAATCGTCATTAAGTTAATTTCGTATCGGAGGTTCACGGAAAGTCCATCGTTGAGTGAGACGCCACGAGAACACGTGACCAGCCAGTTCGGTTCACGTTTATTCTCTTATTACTTTCCTCGTTTCCTCTTCTTCCGGTTCATGGCATTGGTTTCCGCTTGCTGGTTAGACAACATATGTTCAATTTGCTTGACTTTATGCAAACGTTCTGTGTCCCTAGAGGAATATGAATGAAACAGCAGTGAATAAGGTGATCGGAATAACCATTTTGGACCAAAGAGAAGAGCTGCCTCCTTCGTTGCAACTTCTGACTAACCACAAGGTACAGAGTGAGTAAAAATGCATGCTTCAATTCGACTTACCTCTCTAACTGTTCTTTCAGCTTTTGTTTCGCTAGGAACTGGTTATCCTTTCTTATTTCTCTTATAGCGCCCTACAAATTGTAACAAGAGACAACATACACATATTGTTCTACCATAAGCTTAACGACGATATTGCTTCTGATAGTTAACCCTAAGGGTGACCAGCAAGTAATTTCTCCCTACAGTAATACATTCATTAAGATCACGAGAATGAAGAAAATGATCGGCAACCTAAGGAGCTTGAATAGTTTAACAAATTCTCCTTGTCAGTACCGATGGAAATACACAGAGAACAATATGGAGAATATGGATACTGATGTTAAGGAATAAAGGGCTGAGGTACTTGCTGTATATTTTAAGGAAAATTCAGGGCAACACTTTTCCCTAAGCCGGATAAAATCGCACTTTTGAAAAGACTCATACCTGACCAATGTAATTGTGACCATTAAAAAAACATCCCGGAACACTCTCTTAGACAGCACACACCAACAAAGCAAAAGAGACCTTAATGCTGTAATGAGCTGATCACAGCCATCGTAGTTTATCCGAGTTTCTGTATCGTGAACTGTTAATGTTCCACAGAATGGTAGCTGGTATCAAACGCAAATAATAACCCAACCACCAACCATTTCTGGTCACCAGAAGTGCCCAGTGCAAAGGAAAGGGTTGGAATTGAAACTTTATATTTTTTTAGAAATATGCTGACACAAAGAATGAATAAGAAGCTGCACCTTAAATTCTCTCTTGTATTTGTATCGTAGCTTCTGCTTTTCGTTCGTTGCTTTGTTCCCGGTACCTCTCCTTGATCGAACCTCGTAACTGTAAAGTAAACACAGTGAATAACGTTGATGACAAAAATGATTCTCTACAAAGAACCTGAAAACATATCGCTTGCTATGCGATCGACTACAAATGACGTCGCGATCGACAACATAAGTAAGTGACGCCATATTGGGCGGGACAGGGGCGGGGCTTTACAAACTGCACACGAAAATGATTGCCCTCTTGCTTTTTCTCTCTTTGTTTAAATTTTTTAATCAGCAGATGTCAACCCGAGACGATGCGGAAACGAAGAAGTGAAACATGATGAAACAAACAGTTACCACATATGAACTGTGGTTCAATCACGTACCAATGAGCTCTTGCAAAAAGGTTGAATAAGGCAATTTGGAAGGAACACAAAGATGGCAGCTCGGAGAGAAATACCCGGGGATAGAGTCGCGTTTTTTCTTTATACTCTCAAGACAAGAGAGAGAAGGTTATAGCCGGGTTCATTGGCTGATAAATACCGTTCCCCCAACCAATGGACTTAATTTGATTTAGTATTTCACTCAAACAACAACAGTAGCGAATAGATAGTCACTGAAAAAGATGTAAAAATGATTCACACTCACTGCTCCTCAAACTTTGGTTCGTATGTCTTGATAGGTTCCGGTTTACGCGCTTGTAACGTGAGATGGTTACGATTCAGGCTCTTGGTGAAGAGTTCATTTGTTCTCGTTTGAAGGTTGCGGTAAATTTCCTGAATAAAACATGGAAAGGAAAAAGAGCAAGAGTCAGTGTTCAGTTCCCGACCGAAATAAACAAATCCAACATTCTAAATCTGATTTAAAGAACAACACATTGCATCAACAGCAAGAGCAATTTTCCCTTGAAAATCGGACTTCTTTATTCTTTAACAGAGGCAGTGAACTATTGTACTCTCTTAACCTTTTGGGGTTGAGCCCCCTTTGGGGTTTAGCCCCCTTAGGGGTTTAGCCCCCTTAGGGCTAGCATCTAATTTCTCCTTACAATATCACCTCTAAATCACACATTAAGGGAAGTGATCATCAACTAAAGAAGCTCTTCATTGTTTAATAAATTCTCCTTATCACCACCTTCGTAAATGTATAGAGAAGAGTGTGGAGAATAAACATACTGATGTTAGTGTTGTAAAGGGTTAAGCAAAGTTAATCCAATCGCTACTTTTAAATTAAAAAGAAATCACTAAATACATGTAGGGAATTAAATTGAGGAAGAAACAACGCTTGAGAGCATTGGAAAGTGGAGCAATCAGAGAACTTCACATTTAAGCAACATAAATCAATAAAACAGTGTGACAAGAAGCAAGAAGTTTTGTCGACAAGTGTTGGTATTTGAGCTCAGACACTAATTTTTTTAGTAAAACTAATTCATTCAAAACACTTTTCTTGCCCTATGTTACCTGAACAGAAGTAGGATAAAGATCTGAAGGTATTCTGAAATATCAAACAAATCTTGTTTAGTACTATGCCACACCCATTATGGTCAAATTGTAATCATTCAGAAAATTTATCATAATCTTGTAGTTACCTGTGAACTTTGGTTCACTCATCCCTTACCTTTGTAAATGTTCTTTCACAGGAGAAAATATCTCAAAACTTGCGGGTAAGTCCTGGTACAAATCAACAAATTTTTGCAAAATGGACAAGCAATGGTTGACTGAGTTAACCCTGCAGAAAGAAAAAATAAAACACTTCATAATTGCTCAAAAAGCCCGACAGCAAACCGGGGATATTTCAAAGTAACCTCTGCCCCCTTCGCACGTTGATGAAGGACTGCTGGAACAACGATTCTAAAGTAGGAGTAAAGAACAAAAAAATGTGTGGGTGTCTCAAAACGGAGACAAAAAGGCCTGCAAAAAATTATTTCAGAAATTTAAGGGTGGGTATAAGTAATGTACCTCAAGTGATTCAGCTTTCATCTCGTAACTTTCGAACTCTGTATTAAAATTGGCAAAGAGGGGGTCGCTTATTGTTATAACATCATTTGAAAAAAATTGGACAATTTGATAACCAGTTAGTCGGGTCTGAATGTATAGGCTAAAAGTGTTCCAAAAGCACTGACGTCGGGGGATCCACAGAAAATCACTCTTGTATGGACCTGCTTAATAGCGGTTGTCCACCTGAAAGGAGTTTTTCCCCCCCTGGAAAAAGGACGGGGAGTTAAGGCACAGAAAAAGGTCAAGGAAACTGTCTTTTACGAGTTTAGAAAGGATATGGCGATTGATCTAACAGGATTCTCATTTCTCATTGCTCAGATTTTAATACAAAGCGCTATCTTTGCGTTGCGGCAAGCCTGCAAGAAATCAGTGTTAGCCAGTTGCCCAATATAATAGAAAAACTCATCAGGAAGAACAGCTGTGGATTGGCCGAATTTTAATTCTTGAAATGCTTTAAGCTCGTTCTTTACCTTGTTTCATCTGTCGTCTGTACATCTGCCGTGCTTTCTCCCAGAGTCGTCAGCGGTAAGGGCTTGACGGTCAAAGAACTGAAACCGGTCGGTCAAACTGACCATTAGCAGGTGAAAAAGTTATCTCCTAACGTTATGGGCGTAAATCAGGACAGGAGGGTGTATGATAAAACCTTTGAATTAAATGTGTTCACTGCTACTGGAAGAGTCTTTCAAGGATCCGTTGAATTCTCAGGAAAGGGAAATAGTTTAAAACTACCGTGAACGTTTATTCCGGGCGTCTTTGGTCGTTTGTTTGTTTGTTTGTATAAGCCTGTGTCTTTTTCCAGGTTTTACCAGCAACCTGATGCTTTCTGTTCAAAGTAAAATAACAGTACTCACAGATGGCACTGGGTTCTCGAGCAGATTACGAGCTTTATCACTTACCTTGAATCTGACTGAAGTTTGAGAAGGTCGCGCCATTTGCTGCTGTGTTTAAACGGGAGAACAAGCTGAGCTGTGAAAATCGATACATCATTTAAGCGCAAATGCTCTATGAAGAAGGAGGGGAAAGAAATAGGAGGAAAAAAGGAGGAATAAAGAGTAAAGGAGTAAGAATTCAAGGTGGACAACAGAGATTAAGGTAAGAGATGACGGGAGAAGAAGCAACACGGTAAAAAGATAAACAGCAGAATACTGCAAAACAGCATTACCATGACACTGACTCGTCCCCATTCTTCTTAATGGCATTGACGACGCGGGAGCGCAAGGTGTGACGAGCCACTTTCCCACCCACCACACCCCCGTACTCCGCGCGTTATGAAGACGCCTAAGGACGAGTGAAGGGGCAACAAAACCTAACTACCAAATTTTCCACGGGAATGTTTTAATACTGAAATACACAATGAGTAAGTGGACACTTACGGGTATGGACTTCTTTCTTCGAAGCCATAAAGAGAATACCACAGAGGAAGTTGACAACCTCAGGTACGAATCGCTTGGAGAGAGATACGAACTGCAAAATACATTAACACCAAGACTGTATGAACTGTAACAAAGGCTTTCTATCGTTTATGTGCGGTTACTACTCCGATATGGTTTCGTGTTCGGGCGAGTTAGGGACGACTTCTTACCATTTGCAAGTCAGAGTCCCCATAAAAACTCGTTTGCACAAGTTAAAAAATTAACCCTTTAATCCCTAAGAGTGATTGGGATTTTATTTCTCCTTACAGTATCACTGTAGAATCAAATATTATGCCCATGAAAATAAGGCAAATGATCTCCCACCAGAGAAGCTCATGATTGTTAAACAGATTCTCCACGTCACTATCATAGGAAATGTATAGAGAACAGTAAGAAGAATATGCATACTGACGGTGGAGTATAAAGACTTAAATAATCAAACTACAATCAGCAAACGAACCTCGTAAAACAAATCGCAGACAAAAAGACCCCTAAGTACATCTCTTATGCACCGTACAGGACTCTGCAAACAAAAACATCAGTTATTCAATGAAGTTGGACTCAGGGTTTGGAGCGGCAAAGTCATGAAATGGTTCAGTCGAAAAACAGCTTCAGAGTTAGCACTTCAAATATAAACAAACCATCTTCGTTCACATTAGTATACGGGGGGGACTATGGTTCACAGCCAATAAGAGAAGAGTATTTTCTACCACGTGGTATAATTAAAACAATCATAAAGCCGAAATTACCTCCAAGATGGTGACGTAATGTAGCGCAATACTCTTCTCTGATTGGAGAATTTAGTATTATCAACTGAGTTGATAACGTATATTGGAAACCAAAAGTTTCGAAGCAGACGTTTCGAGCGGCAGCTCTCCGTCAGAGCGAATGGGCCAACGCTCTGACGAGGGGATAACGCTCAAAACGTCAGCTTCGAAACTCTTCACGGTGGCCAATTTACGTTCTCAATTCATTTGATGATAATAAATTGGCCTGTTATACACTCCCACCGACGCAGCACCACAGTTTCTTTAGAAACAAACCGCCTTTCCTCTCTGACTGGTTGTGTACCATAATGCCCCGTATACAACTGTTTATATCACGGCATACATTTCGGATAAACAACATCAGCCTGTAACTCCTACCTGGCCAAGAACCTGGGAGAGAAGAACCATAGCTGGTGTACAAACAGCGTGTCTGAAGTCTGACGTCGAAAACAACATCGATACGATGCGAAGATAAAGCAACTGAAACAAAATAAGATAATTTTCAATAATTTTTTCAGTAACTCACCAACATGAAAGTGAACAAAGCTAAGCAGAGGCACGATAACTTTTCTTAGATCAGATGGGCTAAGAATTGAAACAAACACGAATAGGAGTAATCTTATATGAAGAGTGAGGCGGTTTAGGGATACGGGATACGAGGATATACGAGGATATAGAGGATTTAGAGGGATACGGTTTTCAGGGACCTCCTTTGCTCCATCAGTACAGGTCACAAGTTTTGTACCAAATATTTAAATGGTCTCGAGTACAACCCTCCCCCTCGATACCAATTAACGGAGCGTTTATATGGAGTTGGATTTGTAACAGCTGTTCCCTCACCAACCTCCCTCGTAACAGCTACGAAGGGTGCATATTGGACAAAATGGCGAACGGAAGGAAACATTTTCAGCCGTCTCGTCTCGTGTAGGCAAGCTGAAGTGTTTATATAAAGAAAAAGGCTGTCCCGCCTGAAAAACTGCTCCCCGAGACGAGTTCACCATTTTCATGTAAACAGTTGGTTGAATAGCTTAAAGAAAAGTTAGCTCGCCAGGGTAACTCGGGTGGGGGGAGAGGGTGGGGGAGGAGGGAAGGAGGAGGGGGGGGAGGATGAATGTTCCGGGTACCAGGGAATAGGACCAACTGGTAACTGTGGTTATCATCAAAAAGTTAGGATGGCCTTTCAGAGCGTTTAACGTTTGTGTATTGAGCTTGCGTCTATGGGCAGCCTTACAGACTATTCCCACATTGATAACAAGAGCTCCATGATTTATTTAGCACAGAAATAACGAGATGAGTTAGGTGAGAAATAAAACACCTCCTGCCTCCTGTGCGTGGTGCTGACGCGGTTCTTCTTCGAAAAAGGAATTGCAACATCGATTTTAACTAAGGTGAATTAGTTAGTGAACCACTGAAAACTCAAACCAAATCGCGTAATCAGCACTAGGTGCGCGTAACACTCACGTAGCTAAGTCACTAATTTTTCTGACTTTGAATCCAATTTCCTGAGCGAAGAGCGCGAGTTTTGATGCTAATTATGGCTCATAATATGCGGCGAAAGAAGCTGTTCAGAGTCATTTTCCTCACTTGGCCGCAAAGAACTGTGTGGCCAATCTGAGTCTTGTTTACAGACAGACGTACCTCAGTAAGACCCAGGAACATTCCTTTTCCACCTGAAGATGATAAAAATAAGAAAGTAAAGTTAGAAGAGAAGGAATAACCTGCGAGCAGGCCCTCATTATCAGCACTTCAGCACGAGCGTTTCTTCACCCGCGGGAAAACATGAGGCCATGAGAAACGCGAGCCTGCGAAAGGTCTGCCAGCGATCTAACACTGATAACGCCAGACCCCAGTTAACCTCTCGCCGACTAGCCTCAAATCTGTCCGCAGGCCTGCTCGCAGGCCAGGAAGGAAAGGTGAGGAATTTTAAAGAAAAGACAAGGGGATGAATCACGCATAAGCACTCTTGCCTTGTTTGTCGCAATTCTGGGTGAATTTCTTGTGTATATCCTCTACAATCTGTTGCATGCACTTGGCGGAGTGTACCGGAGAGTACTGGGATACATCAAAGAGATGTCTGCAACGCAAGAGTTAAACGCATCATCACAAAACGATGGGATAAACATGGTTGAGGTGCTTTCATCTTGTCCCAAATTCAGTAACATTTCAATAAAAGCTGGTTACCAGCGGCCTACCGCTACGTATATAAAACCTCTCACTGCCGTCTGTTAAGCCAGCTCGCAGGCTGTCGTGTTTCCCCAACGTTATTCAAATATTTTTTCTCCAGTACAACAGGAATGCTAAAAAAATGTCCTTCCATTGAGATTTCCGTGCGTCTCATTTAAAATCAATTACAATCCTTTTTCACTGGCGCTAGATTAAAAGGCAAAAAGTGGATGCGTAAAATTCAGCTACAAGAAAATACGCCTACCTTGACAGCTCATCAATCATCTTGATTCCTTCAGGACCCATCTGGGAGAGTTCACCGACATAATCCAACAAAATGGTGAACAAAACCTTTAAAAAGTTATTAATTGTTGCAATGACAAAATGATGACCACAGAAATTCTTCTAACTTCTTGGGTACTCCAAAATGCTTATCATGACACCAAACCCAGTCAACAGTGATCAGATTTGGTCAATGATGGCAAATGTAGATAAGCCGGTAAGGGTACACTGTATATGGAGTTATAGAAAGACATTGAGAGCTGAGAACAAGAACATTCTTGCCAACCATAAAAACATTTGGGATGCTCATTCCCAAGTATCCAGTCACAATAGCTCTGATACAGGTTCTAAACTACATGAGCAGCACTTTGCAGTATAAGATGCCTTGAAACAACAGGCAGCTCTCTGTGCTACTTCTAAAACAACTCATTATGACAAACCTTGGTAGACAATCACTTTGCTTATGGTAAAGTTATGTTACTGCTATCAGTTGTACAAATTCAAACCAGATTGGTGTGACTGGTCACACAGACAAAGTTATTCACAAAAAGTAAAAAAAAACTCTGACAGTCACAAATGAGGACTTACTGCTGTAATTTATCTCCACAACATGCAGCCTACTGAGTCTCAGCCTTAAAACAGCAACACTAAAAAAGCTATCTTTTAATCTTTACCTCCATCTTTGGTTTATTTGCAGGGGTAATCTTGGGATTATGGCATGCCTTGATTCTGTCAATGATTGTTAACTGTTGCTTAAATGACCTTTGAGATACAAGTAAAAGAGAAGACACATATTTGCCAAGTCAAACAGAAACTTCATCCTTAAAACACCTTGAAGTTCACTATATACATTTTAATTGTTGTACTGCTGTAAATTCTTATCACTTTAAATTATGATACTGTTTACTCGTGATACATTTTTTTCATCTGAGTCAAAAACATTTTTGCTTACCAGCCCTTTATGAATTCCTTAAATTCTTGAAGAGATTTTGGTGCTGGAAATTAAAAGCAAAAAGCAATCAGTAAATCAATGGGGATCCAGATGCCAGAATTAGCAAACTTCATTTTCTAATGCCATCAAGAAGCTTTTTTTTTATGGATAAGTGGATAAATGGATAAGTAAGGAAAATGTGGGAGGTTCAGATTTACCTTTAAAAGTAAAAGGTAGTTCTTCTTTTGTTGGCTCAACAACCTCTGCCTCTGTCTTTTCTTTTTGCTTAAAAAAATCAAACATGGTCTGATTAAGAGAAGGAAAGAATTGAGTTTGTATTGGAAGAAAATGTCTAAGGAATACTGAGACAAAACATTGTATATGGTAGAAGTATAAGTAACCTCACTGATAAGCTGCTGGTGGTTTAACAGATTCAGACTCACATAAGAATAATTGGCAGAAGATTAATTTAAATATTGGTTCAGGAAATATAAAAAATTAAATTCAATGTCAATTACCACATTGTTTTGTTGTTGCTGTTGATTTCCTGGTATTTCAATTTCAGAGTCGGCCTCATCTTCCATACCATCATTGCTAACTGTAGATCCAATAAACAAAAAAAATTAATGTAAATGCATGAGATAGTTTTGCTCACTGATGTAGCTTTTGTTCTCTTCAACCCCTTTATGTTCTTTATATGTTATTCTCCCAACACTCCAAACATCAGCTTTGTAACTCTTTATGGAGGCCAATTTATGTAACTTATCAACTCAGTTGATAATTAATCACCAATTTACCCTGTTATACTCTTCCACCGATGCAGCACCACATTTTCTTTAGAGACTTATCCCCTTTATTCATTACTACCCTAACCCTAATTATGCATCATTCAATGTAATTAAAAGAAAAAAATGTATTTTTCCAAACATTAACATGAATCCATAGATTTTACACAAACACAACTTTATTGCTTTTTTACCATCTGATTCAAGGTCAGAACCATTATCATCTTCACAGCTTTCACTATCTTGATCCTCCTCATCATCATCATCATTACCATCGCCAGCAGCAGAATTGTCCCCTTCCTCTTCTTCCTCTTCCTCCCCATCTACCTCAGATTCTTCATCACTGTTTCCAGCTTCTCTTCTTATCTGATCCTCATCTTCTTCATCTTAGAGATTGAAAATGCAACAAATGGGTTGGTATTATGGATACGAGTCATTGAATGTTACCTGAACTTAGCTTGGTGCATGAAGAATGACATGCAGAACTAGTCAAAATCTACAGAAGGCTTCTACCTTTTCCACACATTCAATCCACCCCCTTCCCTATCTTTCCTTTTGACCATCCCTCATCCCCTTATTACAAATATTATTTATTGCTGTTAAAAGCAAGAACAGCAGTCATAATTTTCACCAAGAAAAGTACTGAGCACTTGCTCATCAAAATTACACCTGCACTGCAGACTACATTATTAGCTGCAAAAGGAAATCTCCCTCCTTTTTCTGCTTGTTACCAAGAGCTTTTTGCGCTGTCTGAACTCCTGGAACAGGTTAAAAAGATGCTGAGACTTCCTTTTAGATTCAATGTTTGTGTCTGTGCATGAAGTGCTAAAAAGTACAACATTAGGTTGTAATAAATTAAAATAGTTAAGTCAGCTTGTTTGTCAATTCACATCTGAGTCCCAACTAAAGCCAAATGCAGCACAAATAATAATAATAATAATAATAATAAAAATATCAATGTAGCCCTATTCAGCTAATCTTCCATAGTGCTTTACAATCATTATGCTAAGGCAAGTCACCTCTCCCCTGCCTATGTAATTCAATGAAAATTGAAAACTTCATCTTTTCACCCTTATGCTAACCACTGAATTTCTGAGTTGCATGATGACTGGACAAAAAAAATAAAGTTGAGAGAAACATAGCCACTAGTATTATTGCTGACAAAAAATTAACTTGACTGACTAACTGACTGTCTAATTAGAGTACCTACCTTCCATATCATGTACTGATCCATCTTGGTAACTAAGCATGAATCTTTCATCTACAGCAGGTGTGAAACTGGCAAGCAAATTACAACAAAATTTGATATCAGAGTTACATTTGCATCTGACCGTGTTACCCTGGAAATAAAGGTGTGTATGTTTCCTGTATATGACTTTGACAAGTGTATATTGCGTAAAATCTCAGTGATAATCTGAAAACAACACCAAAACATTCATAATTGCTCACCTGTCACCAAGGTCATCAGCTGATATATGCTTTGGTTTCTCAGCCACAGCAGGTAAACCTCTCATTCTACGTTGACGCTCAAGCTAAATCATGATTAGTAAATAGAGAGAAAACTCCCATGGCAACACTTTAACCCTTTCACTCCCAAGATGTCATTATTTATCCTCCTTACTGTCTGCCATATCATTCTCACTATGTTTGTTCTGAGAATTTGGTAGTGAATCAACTAATGATGCCCTCATTGACATTTTTCTTTTTCCTCATCCTTTGTCTGCTTGATATTGTATTGATATTATGAGGAGAGTTCTGTCTTGGTCACTCATTGAGTTAAAGGGTTAAATAACCTTTTTGAAAAAAAAAAAACTACCATCGATCACTCCTACTACATTTTACTTGCAATGTTCTCTTCCTAGGGAAAAAACATGTTCCTTCCACCCCCTAACAAATTGTCTCCAAAGGAGAATCTCCAAACATTATTCTAACTCCTAAACTACTGTTCAAAGTAAAAAGAAAAACGTAATAATATCATCCTTGACTGATGTCGTTTCACAGGATAAATGGCTATATTTACCTCTAATTTTTCCAATCGTTCCTGTTCTTCTTTGGCAATCTCATGTTCTGACTTCAGTCTGTCAGTGGCCTTAAAAACACAAAGTATAAGTCATATTCAGATAAATCATTTTCTGAGACTGACTTAACTCTGTCATGACACAACCTCCTTTGCAGTTGTTTAACCCTTTAACCACTAAAAGTAATAAGCATCTAATTGATCCAACAGCATCACCTATCAACATAAACATTTATTCACAAGAATGAAGGAAATGATTGTCTACTTAAGAAGCTCTGGATTGTTTGACAAATTCTCTTTGCAAGTGCCACAGGGAATGTATAGAGAACAACACTAAAGAAAATGCATACTAATGTAAGCTTGTAAAGGGTTAAGGGACATGTTCTTTTGCACTTACTTTCCCTTTAATTTCAAAAGCCAACTGTTTGACAGCAATGTCGTAATCATCTACTTTGGAAACAACCTCTTCAGTGTGTGGCCTCTGCAATATTAATTAAACACAGTCAATTGAAAAGTCTTTTGTGAAAGCCTCTTTGTGCTGAAAGGACACATCAGTCACCTTCTTGAACACTTTATGCCTCTTTTGACATAGGAGAATTCTTCTTAAAAGCATGGCTGAGATGACACAAAAATGGGATTTGAAAAGCAAGTAGACTGAGATTCTCCCATTAAGCCTGATGTTAAAGTCCCATTCTAACATACTGAAAGTAATACTATTGACCACTGTATCAATAACCCTTTTAACCCTAAGAGTGGCTAGCATCTAATTTCTTCTTACAATATCACCCCTGAATCACACATTAAGGTCATGAGAATGAAGGAAATGATGCCCAACAAAAGAAGCTTTTGACCAATAAACACATTCTCCTGGTCAGCACCTTAGGAAATATATAAAGAACAGTATGGAGAATGTGCATAATGACATTAGAGTGCAAAGGGTTAAATAAAGGCAACAAGATTTCCAACTTAGGTTCACCTTTAGTGAAATTAGATTCTTGACGTTCCTCCAATCCTGATCCAGCTTGTCTGTTAAGGTGATTGTCTCTTCTTTGGCCATTTGCCGCTCATGCTGACAAAAAACACCCAAGTAAAATTTTTACAATGGAAATGCAATATCAAAAAATTGTTAGAAAGTTTTATTAGAATTGCTGCATTTAACTTGAATGTTAGTAATTCAAACTATGTTCTAAATAAGAATATAATCAATGTTAAATATTTGGATTCCAGGGTACTGATCCTGTTTATGTCAAAGACATTTTTTTCAACTAAAAACAAAAATAATTTGTAAGTTTTATCCTAACATGATTACCTTTTTGATCTTTGCTTTGGCAACCACTTCCTCCATGATCTCTTTCTTGCTCTTGTGTTTTCCTGAAGTCTAAATCATATTCACTTGGTTTGTACAAACTTAAGTTTATGTATGGAAACAAAACAGTCCTGTACATTATTTAACAAACAAATGAAGGTTAATCTCATTGAGCTCAATCCATGCACTGTTAACTCCTCCAGAGTAACACATGATTTAACCTTACAACTCCCAAAAAAAATTATCATGCAATTTCCCCGTGTAATTTCTAAACATAATTTCCTAAACTGGAGATAACAATTGACATACCTGCTATTGTAGAAGGTATTTTCTAAATGATACAATAACAAATTCTTGTATATTCTCCAAAGGGAAATGTGTAACAGGTAGTGGGGATAATTACTAATGATATCAAGAGGGTAGAGATGTTGAAAAAATATGACAGTAAGAATACTATTACCTGCTCATCATCTGCTCTTTTCTTTGTGAGAAAACCACCAAAATGCAACTCTCTAACATGATCAGCTGCAAAGACATTGTGGGGTTAACAGACACCTCTTTGTAACAACTCAAATTACATTATACATGTAGGTATTAACTGCCCCTTGTGCATCATGCCAATGGTTTTTTATGACAATGCCATCGTTTGAAGACAATTAACCCTTTACACCCTAATATCAATATGCAAATTCTCCATATTGCTCTCTTTGCATTTCCTAAGGTGCTGGAAAGAAGAATTTGTTCAACAATCAAGAATGTCTTTAGTTGGTGATCATGTTCTTTATTCTCATGACCATTGTGTTTGATTCAGGGATGATACTGTAAGGAGAAATTAGATGCTAGGCACTCTTAGGGCTCTAAAGTTAATTGGAGAAGATCAACTGGTAAAGGAAGTGGGTGGATCATCACACTACGTGTTTCCAAAAGTATTCAAAAAGAGGATGAAAAGTCATGAAGCTAGAGTGAGGTTTATGTAGATGTGCAATTGCATCTCACTTACCTAGATCAACCTGGTCAATACCAATACATACAACAAAATCAGTCACTAATTGGAAGTCAAAAAAACCACTGATTCAATCTACAGTTTTTACCTTCTGCAGATTTGTCCATATCATCGTCATCATCATCATCATCACTCAGCTGCACATCTTCAAACTTGTCAATATCACCAAGTGATTGTCCTAAGTGAGTCAGCTCTTCGTCCTCCAATCTGTACTTTCCATGCCGATCATGGTGATGCTATGTAATGATATTACATCTATCATATTTTGTTTTTCAATTATTTTCATGAAAGTCAGACAAATGTGCTTCTTAGGAAAGTATGTATAATAAATTCAATGAACATTGTAGTTTTATATTTGTTGTACATGTATATTGCAGTCATCTGCTGGAATGTAGCACATAAGTGATAAGTACAGCAGTATTGTTATATATAAAGCACTACTACAGATGAGCTATCATGATTGTAATAAAATGTATTTCTAACATTGATTGTAATTTTACACAACATCCAACTAATATTTATAACAATAAAGAAAACTTCAATAAGAGACAGAACTTTTTAAGATAGGTGAGTCATGTCAGTATGATTATCCATGTATCTAAATTTATCAAATTGCAATGCAGGTTTACAAATGGTAGTGCAGTCACTAAAGGATTTCTCCTGTAAGCTTTTATCAGTCCCAGTAAATAAAACATCATCTCTATCAATCAACCAACAACATCTACAGAAGATTTTCCACCCTTCACAGTCTGCAGTATTCTCAGGAAAAGTTAGATCAACCACACCTTTTTTTCCATTGTAAATCTTTTCAACATCTTCTCTTCCAGTGACATTTTTTCATCATATTCACCAAACCGGCGATCAATAAACATGTTTGCCTAGGAATAAATACAGACAATACCCCTGTCATGAACATCATCTGGAAGAAAAAGTGTACTTACTATATCAAATATCAAGTTAGATTATGAATTGACAGCAAATGATATGTAGAAGAATTTATCCTTAACATAACTCTATCCCCTCATAATTAGCTTTACCGATGTTACTATCCAATATAACAAATTTATTCGAATAGGCACCCACCTTGCAGGTAATAAAAGAAGCACAAGAGGAGTATTGACTATTATTTCATTCCTGTTTTATGATCTCTCATTGTCTGACAGTCTATAAGAAAACTGGAATTCTCCTAAAAGATTCAATCACAATTTCCATGTGCGTGCAAAAACTGGTGAATGTTTAATAAACATCCATCTTTGAATATGTACCCACTCTCAAGCTCCAAAAATTTAATAATGCCCAGGGCACTTATGGATGGTACCTGCAAACAGACATCTGATTTTGCCTGATTGAGGTGATGTGAATATCATCTGGAATTTTAGACTACTGAAAACTAATAGATAGAAGTACAATGTAATAACCAACCTTATTTTTTTGCTTGTGCTCCACCAGGAGTGTCTTTTGTCTCTAAATGTCAAACAGACACTAAAAGTTGGACTGGTATCAACTAAGAAGCTAGCCATGTAACACACATCATCACTAACATGTAATATGATATGTTAAACTATACCTGCATTTTGATTGGTTCTTACTTAAGATCTATTCAAGGACAAACTCATAGATGATGTCACCCTTGAAAACATTTTGTTTTTTGATGATACAAAATAAATACGCTCCATGTTGCCATAGGTCTGTAATAGATCACAGATGATATCAAAATGAAGTAAGGACATCAATGACACACTCAGCTGCATCTCCTGTGCCACTTTTTTGTTCTCATCACATTTTAATGTCATCTGTGATCTGTAATTAAACAGGTGCACCACAACATGGAAATCTATTTGTTAATTCTAAAAACAATCCTAAAAAGTGTCTATTACATGTCTTGAGTAGCTCTTTATGTGAAAGTAGTAGGGATGATTATTAATGGTCTTGGAGGTGGAATTTTTGGAGATGCTTCAGACCAGGTGTGTTAAAAGGCAGGGAGGCTACATGGAAGCAACAGCTTTTCTTACAATAGAAGGCTCTCCGAAAGTAATGATGATTTAACGGTTTTAAACTAAATAGTTCCCTTTCATCCAAGATATTACAGATTAATTCCTTCCAAATGGACTCTTATCTTTTCCCTATAAAGTGATACTTACCTTCTTTATAGCTTTTGACCTTGAAATCCCGGGTAAGCCCTTATCATGTTTAAGCTTCCTTCCCAAGATATCATGTTTTCGTCTATTTGTATGTATTTCAAAAGGATTGTTTGTGACTTCTCTTGTTTTTTTGTGACCCGATGATCTCGCTAATTTTAAAGCTGCTTTCTTCGATTTCACCATGGTGTATTCCAGTAACTTATATGGAACTCTGAGGGTTTATGTAGCACGGGTTAGCAGAGAAACTTTTCAAGCTTGTTTGCACGTGTAGAACCGAATAGTGGCCATTTTGTTACATTATGTGTATGTTTATATCAATAAAGCAACAATTTTATAGAAATCGCTGACCGGTGGGTTTTGCTTACTCAGTAACATTCGGGATGTTGCGGGACTTGCGGGACATCATCCATACCCAATAGATATTATCAGCCAAATTTGGGTTTCAGTTACAGGGGGTCATTATCTCGTAATGAAATACTACAAAAGATGACTATTCCTCAAGGTCTGCTCACAATAAAATTGAATATATAATGGTTTTCGAACCTTTTAAAATCTTTTCAAATATAGTTTTTTCCACCAATAAACAACAGTGTTTACATTACGTCACGCTTGGTTTCTCAGCAATGCTGCGGATCGAAAACCTTCGACCTTGTTGCAAAGAGGAACCTCTATAAGGCCCGAAACCTTGTAGATTGCGGAAAATAATCATTATACACTGAAAATTTCCTCGTGCAGCTTAGTCTTGCATGAAGCTGCCCGCCTTCGGCATTTGGGCTGAAGCGGGTCGCCACAGGCACTACCCAACATAGGCTGTTCACAAGGCTCTCTAATGGGCGCCATTCAATCAAATCGAAAACCTTCCTACGATGCGAGCGGCGATGGTAATATTCTTAGTTCTAATGACTTCTATTCCATTGGAAGTGTGAAACGCGTTCTTATAATTCCATATGTTTTTGTTACAGTCGATTTCGACCATTTCCAGATCCTGCGAGCAATTGGACGAGGTGCTTTTGGAAAGGTGAACCGCCCCAGCTTTAATTTTACTTTCATTCGATTTATTCCGTGTGTTCTTCTTTAACATAGAAATAAGATTTTAATCGGTGTGGGTTTTTTTTTTTTTCTTTTCCGCTTTCGAAGGTCTGCATCGTTCAGAAGAAGGACACAAAGGCGATGTATGCAATGAAATACATGAACAAAAATGCTTGCATTAAAAAGGATGCTGTTCGAAATGTGCTTCGCGAGTTGGAAATTCTGAAGTTCCTCGAGCATCCATTCCTTGTGAATCTATGGTTCGCTTTTCAAGATGAAGAAGACATGTTTATGGTGGTAGACCTTCTACTAGGAGGAGACATTCGCTACCACTTGCAACAAGTAACGAAATTTGATGAACCAAGAGTCAAGTTATATCTCTGCGAACTTGGTCTTGCCCTCGGCTACTTGAGAAGCAAGAAGGTTATTCACAGGTGACGAACAAATTATTACTGAATTCATACACTGGGTTTGATGTTTGCTTTTAATTTTAACCCTTTCACGAAGCCGTAAAATGAAGAAAAATATTCTTTTCGTTTAGGGATTTAAAACCAGACAATCTGCTTCTTGACGAAAAAGGTTTGTGCTCGTTATAAGAATTTTTACAATTCTGTGATTTAATTGCAATTGCAGTAATGGTTATTTCTATTATGTCAGACTTTTTCGTAAGCCCAAAAGCGTTCCTCTTTCGATATATGCGAGAACTTGTTCGCTAATGGCCAGTGGAGCGTTTTTAGTTGTAAACAAATTACTTGTCTGATTGCGAATGCCATTTATCCATGAGAAGTTGTCGGTGAGGTCACATAGATCATAAGGATTAGATACTCTCTACTTCACTTGTTGCTCAGGACAACCAAAAATGGTTCAACTTAGTTTATTTGTTTTCCCTTAGGACATGTACATTTGACGGATTTTAATATAGCGACAATTCTAGAAGATGGAAAGTTGGCAACGTCCATGTCAGGAACCAAACCATATATGGGTTCGTAATAAATTTCTTACGAATTATCGAAGTTGTAAACTGAAGTTTTTGACGGTTATGCCATGAAAGCTTCTATTAATTTACGATATTGTGTACCAAGTCAACCCATTGGCACTTGAAAAACTTGAATTTACATTACAGTACATTTACTTTAAACAAGTTTTAAGTCAGGTGATCACTTGCCTCAATTTTAATATAAATTTAAAGGAGAAGTATGCACTATCGAAAACTGTATACAATTTTACCTTCAAGCAAATTTTGGAATTCTGAAGAGTGAGCCTGTTACAGATTAGTTAAGAAAAAAAATGGGTAACCAGGCTTCTCATGCTAAACCATGACATGAAGTCCTTAACCCTTTTGCTCACAAGATCTCAGAAGTAATCCTCCTTGCTGTCTGCCATATAATCCTAATCATTTTAGTTTTGATAATTTGGTATTGGATCAACTGATAATTCCCTTATTGATATAAAAACAATAGCTTCCACTAAGCACAAAAATATGCACAGATATTTGTCCACAGGCCATATGTGTTCAAAAATGCATACAGTTTTCCAAGAGAAGCTCAAACAAAATGGTAAGCTTCGAGGAACAGATTGTGTCATAGGACAAATATCTGCACATGTTTTTGAGTTAAATGAAGGCTTCTGTAGTTATTATCCTTCAAATACTTTTGCAACGCACAGGAAAGAGTGTTTACAAAAAGCTTACTGTTTGCTGCATAGGATGTGTACCTTTCAGTGTTCTCTGGTACAACTTTATGAACTAACAAACATGTCCCTTCTTCTGTAACAATACTGCAATTCTGTACTCTTTCATCTTGAATAAAATTTTTAGAGGAATGCTGTCATTGTATTATTAGTTTGAGAATTGGGGAATATCACAATCACGTGATGTATTCAGACCAATTGTACACATTCAAGCAAAAGGATATGATGGATTATAATTTTTTTATTCTTATCTCCTATTTGATTGATATTGCAAATATTTTAAAAGGAGAAATTCTGTCCTGTTCACTCATGAGAGATTATTCAATGGGAAGTATGCGTAAACGATTCTTCTCCACAACTTGCTATGCATCAAAAAAATGAACAAGTGAGTGCAGTGAACAAGTGTGTTTTTTGATGCATGGCAACAAGTGAATAAAAATCGTTCAAGCATTGTCCACAGTGTGATATCTATGCGTTTGGCCATCCCACTTAGTTGATAAATACATAGTATACTTATACTATTGTTATTTCTATCATCTTTACTTACCATCTACCCTGTGAAAATTTGTTTCTTCACATCATGAAGGATGTTTGTTTTTAAAGTCACATTAATGTTTTTTTAATTTTTGTCAATGTATACCCAATATATTAATTTTATAAATATATATTGAAGGTTCTATATTATTAATTTGATATTTATCTTTGTAATTCAGCTCCTGAAATATTTAACACAGCTAGTGAGGAGACTCAAGGATATTCCTTTGGTGTTGACTGGTGGAGTTTAGGAGTTTGTATCTATGAAATATTAAGAGCAAAGGTAAATGCCTTAGAATCTGATATTACTACTAGACTAAGTGCAACAACCCTTACCCTGATACTTAACAGTGATTTTAAGTTAGGAAAGGATCATTTTGTTATAACTCACCCCAAATCCCCAAAAAGTTGTTCTGTAAGACGGTAAACTAGAATTTATATTATAATTAAGCCCGGGCCCTGGTTATTCAAAGGTTGGCTAAATTGCTATTTACTAGATAGATCCTTGTCTGGTGAATTGTGCACTACACTTTTTGTATTACTTATTATCTGGATATTTAATTATCCAAGGGAATCATGGCATTATCAGTCCAAGTTATATTCTTAAAACTTTTAAGTCTTCATAAAAAATTGTATTGTGACTAATTCAAGTTGAAAATTTTGGTAGTTTAACTACCACAATGACAATGACCCTGAAAAAATATATGGCACCAACCATTAACACTTCCTTTAAGAGAAGATGATTTCCTTTTATTTATTAACTCTTCATTTACAGCGACCATATGAAATTCATGCCAACACAAGTCTGTCAGAAGTAAGACAAATTTTTGCTTCTGAATCTGTTCACTACCCTACAACTTGGTCAAGAGAAATGATACATGTACTTCACAGAGTAAGCAATATTTATTTTTCACAGTTATAGAATATTAAAGTAATCAAACTTTCTTCTTTCTAATAACAGTTAAAATGAGGATGAAGCACATATGCTTGTCACTAAATGAGATTCCATTTGGATATTTTCTTCACAACAATGCTTATACTGATATCTGTTATTTTTTTATTTAGCTTCTTCAACATGATCCCAAGAAAAGATTGGACAGCTTAGAGGCCTTGAAACAGGAAAGCCTTATGGCAGATGTTGATTGGGAAGCTGTTGAGGCTGTTAATGTCCAACCTAGCTTTGTACCTCCTGTAAGTTCACTGTGGCCTTTTCACATAACATTTATCAAACAGTGTCAGTAGTAATTAAAAACCTTTTCTTGTAATTTGCATTTCATTTTATCTTACTAGAAAGACCACTTGAACTGCGATCCTACTTATGAGCTAGAGGAAATGATCATTGAAGCTAAACCACTTCACAAGAAGAAGAAGAGATTGAAAAAGTTGTCAGGCAAGATGGTGAGCAATTATGGTGGCTTTGATTGTTGTAATAATCAATTATATGTTGTGGAAAGGTATACGCTCAATTACATAAACATTGACCCTTAAGAAACATTTACAATGAGCGATGAGACTCTTTGGCTCTCTGGGTACACATCTACACGATAACTGCTACTAGGACACGGTGAATGATGGAAGTTATCCACACTTTCTTGGAAGAAAAGGATTATCATAACAAAGCTATATCATGAATAGTGAGAAAGATGAATCACAGAATAAGTATCTACATGAACATTTTCCAGAAAACCTTTGGGTTTCATCATTCATGGATCATGCTTTTAGGTGTCAAGGTTTGTGTAAGTGAGTGTATCTCGGTTGAACTTCATGCCATAAACACTGAGTCGTAAGTACTTTACAGCTTGCTGACTGTATGAATGAAGATCACAGATCATCTAATTTGTGATTTTTCTTGCAACTTAAGTCTCCAATAGCAGCTTAACACATGGCCTTCTGAATTCTCTGAAACATTTTCCCTGTTTCCTAAGAGGTCTACAGCATGAATTATGGCAAGTAATGTTAAACAGAATTTCAGTGATCTGTTTCCATCTTCTCAGTTTCTATGTATTGACTAGTACAGAAGTTTTGAAACTTGAACTTTCACTCAAAATTTTAGAGGGCACCGAAGAGCAAAACTGCGGTATCCAGTCAACTTGACGACAGTTCAACTCACCAACGCCAACTCGCTGATATATAAAATCAAGTAGAAATGTCGGCGAGTTGGTCTTCAATCCAGTACAACTTATTAGAAGTGAAACAAGTCATATAGAAAAGTGAAAGATCTTTAGGAAAAAACATTTTTTTTTTCAACAAAGTTTATAAGGATCTCATGGCGAATAAAGCAAGGTAGATATCGCCAATAACTGAGAAAGCTTCAGACGCGAACGAGTTATTGTGTGACATCAACACTCTAAAGTCTTATCATGTCAATCGGTCAGATTTTTTGAAGAAAACTTGGCTTTCTGGACAAAATCTTCAGTAAAAAACAATCCTTTTTATTTCCAACAAAGTTTATAAGGATCTCATTGCGAATAAAGCAAGATAAACATCACAAATGACTATAAAAGCTTCTGACAGACAGACGTGAACGAGTTATTGTGTGACAACAACACTGTAAAGACTCGTCATGTCAATCGGTCAGATTTTTTCAAAGAAAACTTGGCTTTTTAGACGAGATCTTTCGTAAAAAACAATTCTTTTTATTTCCAACAAAGTTTATAAGGATGTCAAGGCAAACAAAGTGAGGTGAACATCACCAATGACCAAAAAAGCTTTAAACACGAACGAGTTATTGTGTGACTGCCAACATCATTCTAGATTCACACTTGGATAGCTCACTTTTGAAGGTGCTTATGTTTGGTCTGTCTTAATACCAGGCTAAGCCAGTAAACGGCAAACATTTTCTAGATGCTTTTTCAGTACAAATACGATTAGTATCTAACCAGAAGCTGACCAGAATCCAAAGAAGGACTAATAGGCGATTGCAGAGTAAGGTGTTTGGATTTTGGGAGAAATATGAGAATTGTAAAAAAACAGCAGCTCAATTATTGAAATCGATGTTGAGATTAAACGGACCTTCAAGAGCAGAAAAATAGTATGATATACATATAAAATTTTATCATAAATCAAACGTTCTCAATCATAAATAAATCATTCTTTAAAGTTAAAAAAACATGTGGTTCTGCATGGTTGCTTTGGTTGGCTCACAAGAACTCGATCGCATCTGAAGCTTTAGTAGTAATTGGTGATGTTCACCTTTCTTTACTCGCTTAGACATCCTTACAAACTTTGTTGAAAAATACAAAGAATTGTTTTTTTACTAAAGATCTTGTCTACAAAGCCAAGTTTTTTTTTTTCAAATCTGATCGATTGACTTGATGAGTCTTTACAGTTTTGTTGTCGCACAATAACTCGTTCGCGTCTAAAGCTTTTTTGGTCATTAGTGATGTTCATCTTGCTTTATTCGCCTTGAGATCCTTATAAACTTTGTTGGAAATAAAAAGATTTTTTCTTTTTTTGCTGAAGATCTTGTCCAGAAAGCCAAGTTTCTTAAAAAAATCTGACCGATTGACATGATGAGTCTTTACAGTTATGTGTCGCACAATAGCTCATTCTTGTCTAAAGCTTTTTTGGTAATTGGCAATGTTTACCTGGCTTTATTCACCATTATATACTTATAAACTTTGTTGGAAGAAAAAAATTGTTTTTTCCTAAAGATCTTTTACTTTTCTATGTGTTTAACTTCTAATAAGTTGTACTGGATCAAAGACCAACTCGCCGACGTTTCTACTCGATTTTATACGTCAGCAAGTTGGTGTTGGCAAATTGAACTGTCGGCGACTTGACCGTAATTCAAAACTGTTTAAGTGCCACATGCAACAATTTAAAACACATGCTCACATTCTTTTCTTGAAAAACAGATTTATTATGATATCACATCTGGTAATATCCTTTTCACTGTTTTAAAAGGAGAGTGAAGAGGAAATGGATCCTATTCAAATGTCTTTAGAAGAAATCAAAAGAGAATTCAAGCTGTATAACAGAGAGAGGTAATTCTGAGATCAATTTTCTTCTCATAATTGGTTGTTTTCTCCTAGCCATGAAAGTGATATGGGGTACCTGTTACTGCAATCTTTTTTTATTTTTCTTATATCTCTTTTAGTCTAGTAGCAGAGTGAGGTGTAAAATTCTTATCACCTCTGATTACAATGTAGTTCATGTTGTAATCATAACATTTCACTGGTGTACTGGAAATATATTTGTTTCTGTTTCTTTCCCTCAGAAGGATGAAAAATAAAGTTTTTTGATGTTTTGGTTCTCTTGATACTTGTAGGTTACTTATAACTCAAAGACTAACGAAAACAAATGTGACCTCTGCCCAAGAAAACAGTGAAGAAAAAAATGCTGAAATGTCAGTAACAGATGCAAAACTATCATGATATTGGTGTGTACCAGTATTACATTAGTAAAGCTCATTTAATATGTGAATCCACCATGAGTGTAGAACAAGCGGAAAAAAAGTAGAATTTTTTTACTGTTAATCTGTAATATTTTATGGTCATTATGTTTTGACCTTGTGCCCTCTAAGAATAATTTTACATCAAATGTGTGTAAATCACTTTAAATGCCACCAACTTTTCACGTGGTCACTCGTCAGATCTCAGCTTGTCATCTGCAAATTATTACAACAACTATCTTGAATCCTCTTTGGAAAATTTTGAAAATTAACTCTCATAATGAGGTTTGAATTTCTGTAATCCGAATTTTTTCATTGTTGTTATGTAGATATGTTGTAGCAAAAATGTGCTCAAAGAAATGCAGTGAGTACAAGTAGTTTACTTTGTCAATAGATAGAGGTGGTCTTAAAGTAATCCAGCTCATGAACATTACAGTAAAAGAGCAGATGCTGTGGCCAAATTGGTTAATGCTTGACTCTAGATCAAAAGGTCCAGAATTGAGTCTTGCTAGGGGTTGAGTATTTTGTGTTCTTTGGGAGGACACTTAGCTTCTACAGTACCTTTCTTTACCCAGAGGTGTTAATGGTTACCAGTGGTCTGTCAGAGAATCCAGACAAAATGCTAGTGGTAACCTGCAATGGACCCAGCATTCCATCCAGGGAGGGAAACAACTCTCCTTTTTGTTTTATGCTGCAAAAAACAGTATAAGCTTTGGCAGCTAGTTGAGTCACTCTGTCAGTGTTTCATAGTTTGTACTTATTTGTGTTCAGAAGTGATATAATTTGCTTTATTCTTTTAATTACTCTTAGACTAATGTAGTTGTCAGTATTACTTTAGTAAGTGTTTCTGAGTGATTCCAAACTTGATGGAGGTTTTTTTTTTATGTAAAATGTTATTGTAGGTTAGTGAATATAGATTTTATTTGGTGAGTTTCCAGTTCCATTTGGGAGTTTACCCATAGGTCTGTCCAGAAGCATCTCATTGAAAGGTTTGGCAAAGTAGTTCTAAGCAGTGCACACAGAGCCCTGCAGTTACTTGCACTAGTTTTTGCACCTTTACTTGCAGTGGTCAAGAAGTGAAGTGAAGAAAAAGATTGATCTGAATTACATGACATGTTGTAACACCCAAACCTGCATTGATAGATTACTACTTAAATTCCAATTTAATCTCAGTAGAATTAAAATGAAAATTTTTCATATGATTTAATTTATTTAAGAAATATTTATAAGTATGTAATGTTCTCTCCACAATTCAGTCATAAACGTTCGTTCATCTTTTTTTCCTGATTAACAAAATGGAATATGAACTAATCAATAGCATGGAAAAGTGCGCTATCCCTTTGGTATTGTGTGATTTCCTTTATTTCATGTTGGTACTTGGTTAATATGGTTTAATACTTCTTAATATTTTGACAGGTTTGCTGACTGCTTGTTTCCTTTGCATATCATTATTGTAGGATAAATGGTTCTTTAAGCTTACAACTTGCATCTATTGCTAATTCTTTTTTGAAAAGAAATAGTTTTGGTTATGCAACAAGATCAAGCTTGTGTCATATTTAGGTATCTTGTTGTGTTGCTTTACTTTGCCCATGATTGTTTTCTGGTTTACTTTGGAATATTTATCACACCTAGTTGGTTACAGTGTTTGAGTGTGACTTTGTCTTAGAAACAGATCTGGAATGTGTTGTACCTCAAATCCCCACGTATGTAGTCCTGCCATATGCCATAGCAGACCCCAAATTTTTCAGTTCAATCTTTTTGGAAATAATTTTGGGTTTAACCCCAGAACTTAACTGAGAATGGTTAGTTCATTTACCAGTTTCCTTACAATAAATAGATTAAATTGTAGGTTATTAACTAGAGAGTGATAGGTAATATAAGATTATAGATTCAGAAAATTATGAAAATCTGATTATGTGTGAGGGATGTTAATAAGTGCCATTGTACAAACAAAGAAAAAAAATAAAGGCTATGTTTAATAATAGGTTTGGATGCTTAGTGAATACAGTACTTTACTGTTGATTATTTCCTGTGATTAGGACAATGTGATGAGGAACTGAGCTAATTCATAACTATCCTTAGCCCTCTGACACCTTAACCCACCTTGCCTGTGACCATTTTTTTTTTTTTTTTTTTTTTTTCCAAGGGAGTAGGAGCAGAAAAAAGCATGTTCATTATTTCTCGTTGGTTGGTTGCTGCACCACATGTGGGGTAGCAAAGAAAGAATGTTTGATTGCAGGTTGCAATTCACCCTGAAAATGAATGATCCATAATTCCGAGTTCTTCTGTTACTTAATACCTTTTCCTGGAAAAAGGTATTGTCTACCTTATTTTATTTGGAGTAAAGACCTAGTGTGTGTTTGCCCTCTCTTTATTTCTCTTATGGTTTTCCTTTGTACTCTGCCTGATTTCAAGCTAACACCTCTGAAAGTCTCTGTAGTATAACTTATTATTAGGTAGGTAAATTTTACACCACTTCATTATTATACCATATACAGAACAGAGTAATCAAAAACCTTTCAAATATGGCTATCTTGGATTCACAGCCATATGGTCTTTATGATAAGTGGGCTGAATTTTTCAAGTTAAAATTGACATCTTTAACTGCAATTGGTTGAAAACTAAACTTGGTTTCATCACTAAGCTTGATTTGGGTCTTTGTCTGCCTAATAGAAATGTCCATCAAGTACATTCCTTTTCTAAGAGTACAGAGAGAAAAATTTGGTTTGGACCATTTTTTTACCTTTGTGAGGTCTGCCCTATATAGGTTTCCTTTCGCTGTAAATACCTTCTATCACCTTGGGTTGAGTATACTAGGCTAGGAACTATCTTGTGGCACATCTAGTTTTTGGCAGTTATCGGTAAATTTTGTATGCTTTCTTTTGACCACTTGACATGATTACACTGTTAAAAACAGACAGAATTATTGTTTAGAGTAAGTGGCACCATTTCCTGACTCCTTGAGGAGAAAACAGTGTCTAGTAAGGGAAGACTGTTGACTTCTATGTTCTTTTGGGATGCTTCAACTACTCGTGCCATAAAAAAGCAACCTTTGTTTGGAGAACAACCTTCCCAATAGTTTTGAAGTTCACCTTAAGAAAGAGACCCAGGAAATTGGCATTTAAATCTTTTATTGTGCCAAATGTTAGTTTCCTTAGAAATTATATACAACCATTTTACTGATACAGACCAGACCATGGTTGTACAAAAGGTGGATAACACTATCCACTGAATAAATGTCTATCATGTGCACACCACAGTACATTGTGTACTGGATAGCAATTTTTCCATTGGACAGGGTTATCCATTCTTTGAACAACTGGTCCCAGCAGTCCACAGGAGTACTGACATTTCACATTGAACTTAGTTATTGATAGCCTGGAAGTCTTCTCCTTTTCCTTTTAGCCAATAGGGGAAGAACCTGAGTAGAGGGAGTCATGCAAAGACAAAGGGCTTTAATGGAAGTAAAAGCATAACTTAACCTTTCACACCCTGACATCAGTATGCATATTCTCTCTACTGTGCTCTGACGGGGAGAAATTAGATGCCAGTGACTCTCAGGTGTCAAGAGATTATGTAAGAGTAAGGGGTCAAGAGGTTATGTAAGAGTAAGGGGTCAAGGGGTTACATAAGAGTAGGGTGAGGTCTTGATTCTTTATTCTTACTTTCACCTATGCCTTGGTGTTTATGGTTTGGCTCTGTGCTATTCCCACTTAGATAAAAGTAAATGGAAAAGACTGCTATGCAGGCATACAAGTTCCTACATAACTGCAATAGTGCATACAAATTCATTACAGAGTGCTAACATGATTGTGTTTCATAACAAAAAAAAATTAACACTTTAAATTAAGTCCTGGAATTGAGTCTCTCCCCTGCAAGACCCAAGAGGTGTAATAGAATGAATTGGCTGAATGAAGGTAGTATACAGGCACTATATTGCCTCACTCTAACTGTACCTTGTTGGCTTCATTCACTTAACATGACAAAAGAATTCACTACCATCCCACATGCCCTTTAAAAGTGGTATCATTTAATATGCTATAAATAATTATAAAAAGACATCAACCTCTATTGCCCTAAAAATAATCCACAAATTTGTATTAAAAGTCTACAAAAGTGTACAGTGGTGTATTAAAAATAGCATGAAACTGATCATTGAGGCTAAAGTGCAGCAGAGATGTGTTTAAAATCTGTTCAAATGATGGCACCAAACACACTGTTACTGTAGCAAAAATTTGCATGAATTTGAAAAGACAGCCGATAGCTTATGGAATGAACAAAGCCTCAGAAAAGCATTTGTCGTAATTGTGTCTTCATCTTTGATGAAATGTTAGTTCACAACTATTTGATAAGTTCATTTTGTGTAAGATGCATGTTGTGTGACTGTGTCCCTTGTCAGACAAATGAAATCACTGAATGTGTTCTGCTGAGCATACTGCTGCGACAGTTATTCTCTTCCTGTGCCAAGCCATTCTATGGGAGAACAAAGAAATCTCATCAGATATCTTTACAAGTTAGATGCAAAGCCTTTAGGATAAACATCAGAAAAGTTTACCATGCACTCATGCAAAATACATAAATCCTTTAGGTCAACATCAGATTGCAAATGGGTTAAAAGCAGTCAGGATAGGATTATATATAATTACAGCTACTTATAAAGCAACAGTCTAAACCATTTGGCACAAGCAAAACCAAGAGAAAGTTTGTCAAGAGATTAGTCAATGAGAACATGCAATGAGAGATGTATTTAAATCAACCATAGGTTGCTGGTTTTGTAACTCCTTTCACAAAAAAGACAAAAAATTTAAGAGTGCTCATAAGTAAGTGCTGCAGCCTGGAAAAATCATGTGATTGATCATAAAAGACAGCAAAGAAACTGCACATCTGTGCTTATTCCATCTCAGTGTAGACATTTTAAAGCAAAGGTTGATGACTTAAGTTCCTTCTACAGGTCAGTGATGAATTAGAAAAAAAAAAAACAGACCTCTCCCCTTAATGCCCAAATGCTGTGAAATGTTTATAAGTAAAAACTATGCAATAATTAAATATGTGTTATCCAATTAATTGAAGGAGTGCAATTTGGTCTGAAATCATGCAATAACACATTATTTCAAAATTGGATAAGAAACAAGAAAGGCATTCATAATGACTGCAAATTGCTATCCATAGCTCATAGTATTACAGACAGTAAAATTCTCAGGGGCACCTATTATAAATTTATTCTTTTGACAACTTACATTATTCTTATTGTTCTATTAAAAAAAAAACACAACACCACAATTTTCTGGGATTTTTGTGTCCCACAAATAAGGCAAATTAGTTCTCAGATTACCAAAAGAAAAAAGAAACCTTGCCTTCTAGTATAAAAATGCAGAGGTACATGTAGAATGTCTCACTTTTTACCAAAAATTATCTCAGGATTTAATTTATACAGCAGTCCTAATAATACTATAATTATACAATCACCTTACTGCTTTCTATCTGCTATAGCTGCTGAATGCTACATTCCAAACCATATTAATCTTATTTGTATGTGTTGTTTGTATCTATGAAGGTAATTAATCTACTTTTGTTCCAACTTACAGTTATTATTTTCCACATGACACAAAAGTGTCAAAATTCATTTAATAATCCTTAATCTCTATATTTATATTAACTATGAATTGAATCTCATGTGGATTACTGAATGTGATGAAAATTCATGTCTTTCCACAATAATGCAACTCTCACTCTTGTGTTTTAAATTTGTGAAAAGGAATATTTAAGAGATTTAATTCCACTTACAGCAAACTCATTGTATGAGGTACAAACAACCATTGACTCATTCTTATTGCTGTTTGAGCTGAATCCATTAAGCACTTGTATTGATGTGTTGCCAGTGCTGTTTAATACCTTGCTAGAATTGCCATTTTTGTCAGCAAGGACCTTTCTCTTTACAGCAAGCCTGGCTGACTGTCTCCTGCTGGAAGGTGTCTGTCCACACATACACAAAAAAAAACACAATAATTCACTGACAAGGTGTTTTTATAGGGAAAAGTGTATTACAGGTAGTCTCAGTCTATGTATATCAGTCAAGATTAAATCAATTCTTCAGTTGATAATTTCTCAGTAGTAAGCTGACGGTTGATAGTAAAGTTATATCCTCTGTCTTACACATTCCCCCGTTTGTTTATCTCCCAATTTATTTCTAGTTGCAAGGTATAATCAAAAATGATTTCCTGCAGCAAAGATTTGATAAAAATTGTAAACACTCTACACCCAAATGTCAATATGCATATCCTCCTTAATGTTCTTCAAACATTTCCTAAGGTGCTGACAAGGAGAATATTTATGACAGCCAAGAGCTTCTTCAATTGGTGATCATTTATCTTATACTTGTGACCTTAATGTGTGATTCAGGGGTGATATTGTGAGGAGAATATACTAGAAAAAACAGGTTTGGTAAATTCTTGAAGATCAGAGATGGTAAATACCTACAGCTGTTCAGTAGTACCTTTTTGGATACAGTTGTAACACTGAGAACTAAACCCATATTAACTAAAATGATAAATAATGAGATCATCTTTAAGTTACCACTTTTTTCTTTATGGTCTTGGCAACTTTTCTTATGTTGGGTTTTGTAGCAAGTGGAGGACGGCCATTTGTATTTCCTGCAGCAGACCTTGGGGATGGGCAAATGCTAGAGTGGAGATGCAATCTTGATGGTGTTGATGTGTAATCTTGCATCTATGAGAATCAAAAAGGCATTAAAGCATGATGTTGGTCATTGACTGAGATCAACAGTTTAACTTGCTTGTACCTAACCTGCTGACTAGTCATGTAACAATTTGATATTTTTGCTAATTATCCATGAGACCATAACACTGACTCACTTTAAGTAGGCTTACACTGTAAATGTGAAATATGATAACATGTAATACATATTCAACCCTATCTAACCATTAGCTAGCTAAAAGTTTATATCAGTCTAACTGACAGAGCTTCGACCTTAAAAATGTTACCAAAAAACAGTTTTTATCTTAACAGCAAAATTGTTATTTCTCAGGCACACACATTTGTTGTAAGCTCCTTGATGGAGGCTCTCTCTCTCTCTCCAAAGAGACCTTTTCTGTTACAGCTGTTATGTCGTTGTTAATTTTTTCAAAATTTTTCTTTGAGAGCCTCTGCATTGACAGTGAAGCAGGTTCATACATAAGACGTACGCTAATCATTCTTCAAAAACATGGAAAAGTTCAGAATTTCACATACAACTATTTTCCAACCCAAAAGTAAGTTAGTTCCTCACTTTCATTCGTTTTGGTGTCTTTAAGGGTGTTGTTCCTCCTCCAATTGGTCTGTGCCATAATCAAAGTAAATGAGATAGATTAATATTAATATTGAATATGTTTCAATTGATTAATCAAGTTCAATGCTTTGTTAAACTGTGATTGGTAATGACACACACTAGAATTAATAGGCTGTTGATACCTTTTTTTCTTGGGTGTGGTCGCTGGCTTGCTTCCAAAAACCATCTCTTTCTCCATTAGCTCTTGTTTTTGTTTTTGCTTTAGGGAACATTAAGTGTTTAACTTAGTCATTTGATAACAAACTGAATATCACATCAGCATAAAATGATCATGAAATTTGATACAAGCATAATTTTACAAATAAAAGTTGTTGCATCTCATAGAGTTTACATCACAAGTATGGTCAACCCAGGTTCCAATAGCTTAATAGTCAAGTTTGCAATGATATGTAGGCAATGATAAAATTTTTGAGTCACTAATATTTCAAATTATTTGAAATTGTGTTCATCTGTTTCTACTTTTTTTACCCTTTCCAGTTTCTCTTGTTCCTTCTGTGCATTATATGCTGCCCACTGACGGTTGATAATGTCCATATAATGGCAGCCATTGATTAGGAATCGTCGTTCATTCTCTTCTTCCCACTTTTTTATTTGCGTAACCAGTTTCTGTTCAATCTGAACAATTGAAATAGTTAAATTAGCAATTTTTTAGTGAGAAATGGCAATAAAACAGTTCGTTTATTATGATTGGATTTTTCACCTTAGGTAGTTCCTTGTTTATTCCTCTCCTCATTTTTTCTTCCTTCAAGAGTGCCCCACCACGATTTGCAAGGCGATTTGTGTCATTTTTTCTGTTCTGAAGACAAAAAGGAACAAAACACTTAATAAAAACTTTGCTACAAATTCTTTAGATAATATTATGAACAGAATATCAAGTTTATTTACAATTCAGTTTTTAAATTTTTCCAAGATTTCACACAATAAGTAATATCTATTATTAAGTGAAAATCACCTCAAATTCCTCCATTGTCTTAAACAGCGTTTCTCTTTTCTCCACAAGTTTGAAAATGTCCTTGTTTCCTTCATAATAATTCTTCATGACCTCGACTTGATGCTCATGAAGCGACAAGAGTTCCTCTGTAAAGTTGTCTGGAAAGATTTATTTCCAAAGATTATGTTGAAGGTCAAAAATTAAACAGGGGAAGGTTGATTCCTTTAACTTTCAATAAAGTATCATTACAAACATCATGATCATAATTATGACCAGTTTGTGAACACATACCATCAAAAGCTGGAGAGAATTCTTCTCGTTGTGCTGGTCCAAAATAACACTTGTCCCATAAATCAGACAGTTCCTTTCTGAAGGATTAAATATGAACAGAATTACCTTAACTTTATCAACTTGAAAATCATATTTAACAATAAACCTTTTGAGCCCTAAGGGTGACCAGAATCTAATTTCTCCCTATAGTTATACTGCTGAATCATTCATTAAGATCATGATAAAAAGGGAAAAGATCACCAACCCAAGAAGCTTTGATTGTTAAGTAAATTCTCCTTGTCACAACCAAAGAAAATGTGTAGAGAAGAATGTGGATATTGATGTTAGGCTGTAAAGGGTAAAATAGAACTAAGAAGGTAGAACTTTGTGCATGACTTGCTTTCAAAATAATAAGCAGCTGGAAACATCTAATTTACCTGAGACCTTCTATGAATTTTTGCATATGCTGTAGTTTCAAGGCTTGTAATCTTTGGACTTCTTCTTTCAACTGAAGCAGAGAAAAATAGAACAGTTAGTCTTCATGTACAACAAAATAAAAATAGTTCATTAGAAAAGCAGCAATTTTATCAGCCCTTCTGTAATGAAACTAGAGCAAGAGCAATACTGATTTCTGTTGAGTGATGACACTGGTCAAAGGTTTCTCTCCTTGCTGGTACACTAGTCCATGTGCATGATATGCAACAACCATATAATTTGTTTTCTCGTTTTGCCTCAGCTCACTCTGTCAGTAAGTCAGAATTTAAGACTACTAACCTTAGTTATAACAGAAGGTTTAGATCCAACATGCTTTGCAAGAAAGACTTTCCTGTCTGACTCATCAACTTCAAGTTTGCTCCACAGTGATTTGATTGTCTCTGTCAACTCAGATGATTCAGCAATTAACCTCTTCTGTTGATTTTCAAGCTGTGCACACAACAAATTTATAAAAATGATGAGATCTTTTCAAATATGTTTTCTTTTTTTCTGTCAAAGGAGTAGAACATCTTACCTCAGTATTAAGTCCTCTCAGATGCTCCATATTGTCAGATGAAAGCTTGAATGTTGTCTCTGCATCACTTTTAACCAGTTCCATTTCTATGGAAGTTGATGGAACTGTCTCTATTTCTCTCCACAGTGTCTGAATTGATTGTTTTAATTCCTTGAAAGTATTCAACCTTTTTCCCTGAGACAAAACAGAGGAGTAATATATAATACATGGGGTTTCACTAACTTCTTCCATTTTTTTGTTATGGCAGCATATTTTATTTTATCCAGTTTTTGGCTTATATTCTTATAGACCTGTCAACCAGTTTTATAATCCTTGAAAACATTTTAATTCTAATTATGGTACTTTTGGGATCGAGGGCCACCAGTTCATCAGTTGAATTACTGTTGTGTGTTACCCTCCTTAAATAAAGTTGTTTGTTTGTTTGTTTTTTTACTTGAGCAGCAGCTGATGGAGTAATATGCAGCAGTGCCATAAGACAAAACCCAAACACAACAGCCTGCTTGTGGGATAAACAGATGGCAGATCTTATAGCCAGTGGTAGACCAATGCTAACTGCCTTTTATTAAAACCCCTGAATACACCAAAGATTGTTATCCTCATGCATCCATACATACTGTATTACATGTAACAAATACCACAATTACTGCAGGGCTATTAGGCATAATTGTAATTACTGGTATCATCATCATCATCAATTATTACTTTCAATTTAGTTAAACTATCAGCAGGCCCCCCCCCCCTTTTTAAGGAAGTCTGTCAGGAGAATAAAAAAATTGAAAAAAATTGTTGCCAGCATGCTGCGAGGAACTTCTTTTGTATACCTCACTCCCAGAGTTCTGATCAGCACTGAGGTCAATCTTTTTCTTACTAACACTACAGACTTTCCCAAAAAGGAGGAACTCTACATAGTCTATAATCTAATTAAAAGTATGTTTCTCTTTTCATTCAGTTGGTTGACTGAAAAGGTGAAATTCTTTTGAGAATGACACATCCATTTTGCAAATCCTTTCCTTCCTGTACCAAAACAACTATTTCCCAAGTCAATTAAAGACATTACTCCACTCACATGTTCTTTCTGCAAGTATTCCACATTTGCCTCTAATTCTTTGAGTTGTTCCTTGGTTGGTACATTAACATCACCCAGGTTATGAGCAGGAAGGCACATCTGATTACAAAACTTGGATTCTGTTTCTCTCAAAGTTTTTAACTTTTTCATGCGCTCATGTTTTTCCTGCAAGGAAGATCACACTCTTTATAAAGTTCACTTTCTATAACAAAGAAGCTTTTTTTTCTTACAGTTTCTAACAAGTGACAAGAGACAGTTGTCAGCTAACTACAATGAGAAATGTCTGGCTTGAAAGGAAAGACCTGCTGTTCTCTAATATCTACACCCAGCCTAAAGAGATGCAACTTGTGCCTCATTTTGTCTCTGGCTGCAATAGTACTACTGTAGCTGATCTCTTTCAAACTAAAAGCACTTTTCACCTGTGTGGTAGAAATAAATTAACAATTATTCAACAAAGTGGAGGTGGTTAGTGGTGGATATTTTCTGAGCCACTAGGCATCAAGGTAAATATCAACCACTAACCACTGAAGTGAATAGTTGTTTAGGCATAAACTAAAACAGTGGGATACCACTGTAATATGGCACACAAAAAAAGATTTTAACTCATTTATTCCTGCAACAATTACAATATATTGGGCACAAATTACCTGTGTAAATGCTCAGAGGTGAATAGGACAGAAACTTTGGAGTTTGAGTAGCCAATCAAAGCATGCCTACAACCCTATCCAACGCTTTAGTATATACTCATTGCGGTTATATGCCAACAGGCTAATCATTTGCATCTGTAGCTGCATGTGTACATGTAGGTACTGGTCACAATAGCAATGATAGTATTGATGGGTAAATCAATCTAAGTTATTGTTACACTAAAACACAAATGTGTAAATGTGAGATGATATCTTCTAATTAAAAAGAACATGTACTATACCAGTTTCAGGTTGTCCACTTTTGTGCGCAGGTCATTTTCCAACATAAGTATGCTCATGGGCTTCTCTGGCTGAAAACAATCATCACCAATAAAATTTAACAGTAACTGACAATTCAAAGAGAAACATTTACTTGACAACAAGTAGTGTCTTTTAAGTATAAACGTGTCTAGACATTGGTGATCATTCAATCTGATCTCACTTTATGTCTACCCACCTTCTCCACTGGTAATCCAAGTTCTTGGCTCAACTTTTCCAATTCTTGAGTACAAGTTTCCACATTTGCTTGAAGAGTGGCTTTCATTTCTTCCTCTTCGCTGACCATTTCTTGAAGCAAATTCCGTAAATGAAACAAAACAGATCTAGTTCTCTCCTCTCTCTGATCTTCTTGTAAACCAATTTCGCTCCAGATGTTCTGGAGGGTTTGCATAGCATTCTGTAAACACGGTATCATTTCAGATTTTATCATCTGCACACTCTCTTCTACTGAAGACGTAGATAATTGCCTGCTGGTATTCCTCTGTGAACTGTTAGTTTAGAGAGAGAAATCATTGTCAAGGTCGTTTCTATCATGTGAACATTCCACTTGCATGATGTTGTCCAATGTTATGTTACAAACAGACTCTGTTCAGTGTTAAACATGGGAAATAGCTCGTTTAAATTAATTTAATGCCAGTTAGACTGAAAGGAAAGCTGGTCTCAAGTACATGAATCAATATCCTTGAATCTTTGGCAAATGTGATCATAACCGAACTTTTACGAAATGAAAATTTGTGCAGTCGTCGACTACTCTTAATTAAAAACTAAGCTCATTGGCTAGAACTGTTACAGTAGTTTCTGCTTACAAAGCAAGCTTATGCGTGAACCGCAAAGCATTGAAATATCAATACATTTGTATTTTGAAACGTTTCGAAGAGGAAATCTTGTAATAATAACGAGCTCCTGAAAGATTTTGACAAAGTGATCACTACTTTTGAAGTACACGGCGTACATTTCAGACTCCGCCATCGCTCACGTTAAGATCTGTTTGATCAAAACAAGATCATGGATCTTGCGATTTGGAGTGGAGTCCAAAAGAAACTTAACTTAAAGAAAAATGTTACTTTTTATCAATATTTTACCTTTCTAATTCCATTTTGACGACGTTTTAGTAATAGAAAATCCAATAAAGTTATTGCTTGGGAAAACAACTGTAAACTTGCTGCATTTGAAAGACCCGCAAACGGTCGTCAAATACCACGTGATATATGTAGACTGTTTTTATTGGCTTCTTTCCCCACACTCAAAGTAACTATGTGGTATAAGAAAAACAATATGTCCATAAATTTTGACGGAAAAAAAAAAGGTCCTTGGGATTCATAGACTAGGCGAATAAAAGTCCTCTCCTGGAAAAACATATAAAATTTTCATCTAAGTGCACTTCACAAAGCCAGAAGTACACGTACCGTGCTTTCTCTATTAAAAAAAACGTCTCCGGCGTTTGTTTTTAACTTGATCTGGATAACCCGTCGTTTATTGACGGAGTGCAATTTTTTGTCATTATTTCGGGTTGATATTTTTTAACTACCCCCCTGAAGGTATAGCTTGTTAAGCAGAGAAACATTTTTCCTTTGGTCCAGCCACAACAAACTATCGCTGGGTTTTCTCCAAGGATTATCACTTTCCCTTCTCATGAGGCTACGCGAACACGAAATAGTCCTCTTTTTCCTTTGTTAATTAAAATGTTTCTCAAAAATACAGGCCAATCTAAAACGTCCCAACTGTTCCCACGCACTCTTATCTAGACACATCTTCGGAACAATAAGAGAACGCCTAGTATCGCAGAAAAATTTTAATACCTGCGTGATGCAAGGGAGAAAAGCTGGAATAAATATGTCTGCATGGAAAAAAAGGAATGAAAGTAACCGAAGGTAAATAAAAAAAATCCTTTAAAAAAATTACCAGTGAATACATTCAAAAGCACTGAAAAACAAAATTGGAAAATTAAACAAAAGAATCCCCCTCTCGCAAAAAATATCGACCAGTTGAGCCTGAACTGAAATTAATTGGGAAAAAAGGAATTGGCAGACAAACAAACAAACAAATAGTAAATGAAAGAACATTTCATACCAAAACATTCCCTGTCCTGAAACGGCTTAAAGTAAGACAAAATATCGCTATCCATCAAAGTGAAACCTCATTTCTTTAATTTTTCATTTTCTCCTTATTGACATAATTTTTTTAATATCCTGTGTTATCGGAGAAACCGACAGTAGTCATAAGCATTAAATAGACTAATCTGAAATAATAAAATATAGCTCGAAGTGTTTCCGAGTTTGTATTTTCATCAGACAACTCTAAATAAAATATAATACAAAAAGATCCTATTTCTACAAATATACAATCTCCAAGACGCGAATTTTGACCATTTGGTGAAATAAAAATAAGTTACTCATTGGTATAAAACAACACTTTCTGCAAATCAAGAAAACCAATTAGCAGGCTCTCAGCTTGAAATAAATATGCCCACTACACTTATTGCCTGAGACGGACCGAAATCTGTGTAAGCGCATGTGAAAGCATAGTATCTGTATTATCATTGACAAACCGTTTTGCGTTTTCCACACTTCAACGTTTTACAAACTATTTACTATTAAAAAACTTAACGCTCTTCCCCCCCCCCCTCTCAGTCATCAAATTCGGAGGCTGTTGTGATTTTTCAGAACTAGCCCACGAAAAAAAATAACGCCTGATATGTAAGACACCTAATCGTGACAGCTAGATGACTGTGTTGAAGACATCTTCAGTTATGACCACCAAAGGTAGCTTTCATCTTCCTAAAGGCATCGTGGAATTTTCTGGAACCTTGCGAGGAGGATAGGTGAAAGTTGCTGGCGTTTTCAGAAGCAAGGGCATGAAGGTTTTCACTTTTACACTCCTGTATACGCTGTTTGAGTCTCTCTTTCACTTCATCATTGGTTTGGAAGGCGTAACGCATCTGTTTGAATAATCGAATCTGGTCCACTAATCGGGCAGTTGACCTGCAATTCAAAAAAATAAATGAGTGATTTTGTAGCGGAAAGAACGTCCTCAAGAGAGCTTTCTTGATCGAGTATCGTAAAACCAAAAATAAATCAAAATAAAGACAATCAATCAGCCGAACGGAAAATACCTTTAGAGCCAATGAAAACTCAAAGTAAAAACATTTAAATTGCCTAAAGCGCGGGAAAACGCGGGCGACCAAGTCGAGATAGTTTTGCACCTGATTGGTTGAGAGTGGAGCGAGTACTCTGGACCAATCACAAATCAAAGTAAAGCAAAATCAATGCAATCTTCGATTGCTTTCGATGCTCAATTGAAAACTGCTCTAAAAGAATATTTCCTGATGAACCAACCAATTTATTTATGTTAACATGTCGCTCGACAACCATATCTGAGCCAGAGGCTCGCTTGTCAATTAGTTTAAACCAAGCCCACGATACTAGTGGATTGCCGCTTATAAATAAATTTCTTTTATCAAAGGAAAATGATTACCTCATTTTAGTCCATTTGTACATGTCGTTTGGTAAAGTAAACCCTCCCAGTTCCTGCTGTTGCACGTGAATTACGAACAAAAGGAAGCAAGGAATTGTGGGCTTCTCACGTGACGCTTCACTCTTCATTAACCAAGAGCTATCTGTCTTCAACAAAACCTGAAATAGAGTACATAGCTTGTTATGTCCTTCTGGTTCTGAAACACTCAATGAAACACGCTTTTCAGTGAGTCTTACGTTTTACCCACCTTAACAGCCTTGAGTTCTTCGAGTGTCTCAGTCGTCTTTGTCGGGACTTGTCTCCAGACCTAAACGAGAAGGGAACACGTCCAAAATGAATAAAGATGTGAAACATCTCTTTCTCGAGAGGTCAAAGAAAATCTGATTTTCCCGTGGGGATAAATGTGTTCTGGGGCCACAAAAATTGGAAAAAAAAGTTCGTGTGAAATTAATATTGAGTACTCGGGTTGAATCAGCTGTTTAAAATTCTGAAAGACTTACTAACTACGAGTAACTAACTTACCGGTAACTGACGGATCACAAACATCTCCAGAGCGTCGACGATCTGAATACAGGTACTGTAGTTACGAATCTCACAACAGTACCGAGCTGCATTCACGAATTTAGTTATCAGGGCGAGTTGAGCCTGCAATAGGAAAGTGCAGTTGTAAGTTATCATGCCATTCTAGGTTACGATCAACAAAATGACTCGTTGCTCGAATTAACCAAACGTACATTGTAGTGGGGACAACAACGCCCTCCCCTTCCCTTCCCCTTCAGCTGAATTCGCGCTCCTTACACCACGTACGTTTATGTATGTATTTTTTTATAGAGTTAAACAGGCGTTCTATCCCTCTCGACACAAGAGGATGGGATGGTTGTATTATATACCTTGGGCAAAAATCATTACACTTTTCACGGGAGCTTTACCTTATGAGAGATTTTAACATGCGACATGACATTCACAACACCCGTGCTAAGAGGTTGCTCACTTTTAAATAACTAGAGACAACTCAAGTCACAAAACAATTCATGCTACCTTTATGGAGGACGCACTACATATCTCCACTGCCACCCACAAGGACACATCGTGCGCGTGCTCCAAGAGGTCCTCTAGTAGGCCATCTGTACTGGGTTCATGAGCGTACATATTTTGTTCTCGAGAAACGAGCCCTTCCCCCAAACTTGACATCTCTGAGGCACGTCGACTTCCGGTGCTAAAGCCAAACATGTTATCGCGTTCTTTGGTAGGAGATTGATGCCTACCAACACCGATACCGTGCGCACGCGAGTTTAAGAAATGCACTGGGTGAATATGGAAAAACAAATCCTGTAAAAAGAAAAAAAAAGTTATATTAATCAGGACATCCATGACTTTAAAGAGGTGAGGGGACAAACCGAGTGCGATTTGGAGGCAGCATCATCGAAACATGCTGTTGAGTAAAAGAGGAAGTTAAGTAAAGGAGCAAATCGTCCAATCAAAGTCCCTTTGTTTTGTTTTGGGAAAGATAGAAGACATGCTGCGCCACAGACGCAAATTTTGTCTTATTTACTTTTCACACGAGGTGCATGCGTGTTGTAGCAACGCACATCAGGTTATCCAAAGAGATACATGCTAAAAAACTGCAGAAGAAAACTGAAAGCTAGGAGAGGAGAAGTCCAGAACGGAGGGAGCTAAATCCGGGATTAGAATCTGGGAGAGGTTTACCTGCTGTATCAGTGTGAGCTGCTCTGCGAGGATTCGAGAAGAGTGGTCTAATATGGAAAGAGCCTTGAGGTACAGAGTTGCTTTGTATGTGGTGTCCTTCTCAGGTGGGGCTCTTCTGAAGCACTGAACTGGAGATTTAGCTTTGCGGCTACCCAATGGCTACAGAAAAAAAAAAGAGATAAGTCGTTAAATTTGGTTGCGCATGCTCTATAAAGGACTTCCAAATGACACTCCCACGTAGGAACCAAACTTCCCTCGTTTCTATGAAAGTATCAATCAATTCAGTTTGAATTCAATTTCAATTGAGTGTCTCAGTTAAAATCAAAACCAAGGGAATCACAACTACAGCCAATCTATTGGATGAATGCTTGAGGCGAGGTGGCTAACTAAATCGGATAGCATAGCAATTGAAAACTGCCTCCTCTGTTAATGAAATTGTTTTAAGAATATGTTCTCTAAAGCAAGGCGACAATCAAACCGTTGATGAGGGCATCTCATCAAGCATTTATTTTCAATTTTTTGCGTGGACCTTGACCGTTTGATTGTAAATACAAGAATGAAAAGATAGTCTGGAAATTGTACGCACCTTTCTCAGCACATCCACAGGGCTTAGACCTGCAGCACAATAAGAACAAATCTCACATAAGCTTTCTTTAAATCCCTCATATTCCTTCGCAAACTATTTAAAAGAGCAGTCTCAGATGTTCCCGTACCTTGAGGTTCTTCAAGCTGAAGTACTGCCACGAAATCACTAGGTTCGTCTGATGATAAATTGTTATTCAAATCTCTCTTTTGTTTCTCTGAAATTAGCTCCATCAAGTAATGACCTCTTTCACTTCTGTCCACGAGGATTAACTGGAATAAAGTAAAAATGAAGATGAGTGAAAAATGATGAAGTAAGGAAGGAAGGAGGGAAGGAAGATTCATATAAATAATCAAAGGAATATTGAATGATCTTACCTCGTCCTTAACAAAGGCAAGCAGCTCCTTTATGAGGTTGGGATTCGTTTTGAAATCAAACTGATAAAAGCCGTCTATCCATTCAGACAGTAAGTCCAAGCCACGGTATCGAATTTGCAGCTGATGGTTGTACACTTGACCTGAAGAGTCCGTTCTGAAGAGAAAAGCAGAGGTAACACTCGTAAGCCTGACTGACTCTAGGATTTTGTTTCCCGCCGTTTTGGTGGCCAGTCCTGATACGTTGTTGCATGTGACCACGACTTCCTCTGTGATGTGAGAGGATGATTAACAGCGAGAGAAAGAGTGCCGGCTGATTGGCTATTGGCTAACCCGAATTGTTACTTTGCAAACCTTGCCTAACTCAAGAATGTTAACGAAAGGCTTCTTTCGTGCAGCCTTTCCGACAATTTTCTATTCCAAACTTCCTTTCAAACAAAAACTTCGCGCAAACTTTTTCTTCAAATCACTTAAGTGGCAAAGTTTGAATTACTTCGTTAGGTCTTCAATATTTCAACTCTCTTACCTGAGTGACGCTGAACACTTTTCTCTGATGAAGCTGAATAGTTCTTGTGCAGTAGCAATGTAACGAAATGTGTACAGAAAATATCGCACATACGCCTGACTCATAGCATGTCTGAAATACGGAAACAAAATGATTTCATTAGTACGAGGTCTAACTGTAGTTCAAAGAATAAAGAAGTTTTGCCGGAGAGGCTTACAGTGAGCCAATACTAAGATGATGCGAAGAGATGGCAAAAGGTTAGCCGTTATAAAGTCGCACTGCATTTAAGCAGCCCTCAAAAAAAAAGGGTAAGCGGACTCGGTAGCACCAGAGTAGGCAGAGACGCACGAGGAAAAATATTAATCGTTGGTGCTGTTCTAAATCATTCATCACGTTATCTGTGCGCCTACTACTCAAACTGCGTTTGAATCTAACGTTCACTAAAACTACGAGGGGACAAACTTTCTTTCTGGTTTAAGGGTGTTATCTTCATTTATTTGTGCGGTAACGTGTCAAGAAAAAAAGTGACGGGGAGAGGGGTAATCGGACTTAATTCAGTTGAATTAACCTGTCAAAGAGGTAAGAGAATAGACCCAGTTTGGTGCCTGATTGAAGCGATGGTCCACTGAGGGATTCGTCCAGAATCTCTACACTTTCGCTTCCCCTCTGATTCCAAATCGGGGAAAAGTTTAAAAAGCTGTTGTTCAACTCCGATACCAACGTCACGCAGGACGTGTTGTAACTACAAAAACAAAGAGACGGATTAATATCAGTATCTGAGTAACTGCGCATGTACCCCTCACCTAACCCAACATTAACTTTAACATGTTAGCGATTGACTGTTGTTGGGCTGGGGGAGGGGTAGGTGCGATGACTTCAACTGACGTTGATTAACATGATTGATTGAAAACCTTGATACGAGAATGACTGCAGTTTACCTGACAAGAAAAGAATACAGCAAAGAGGTGTCAAGCCCAAAGCGTTCAGCGTACACATTCTGCGGAAAATAAACATTTGTATAAGGAGTTAACAAGATGTTTCCTTTTTGAAAAGAAACTCATCCTATTTTCTGCTCAAAGCATCTGGTCTCGGCGACCAATTTGAGATTCTACTGCAAACATACGCTGCACACTCACCCTCAACTGTCGTTGAACGTTTTTCAAGTATATAATCTTCTTATCGCTCTCCTCGATTTCATTCACTAGTTTAGACGCGAGATCTTTCACATCTGAAAAAGGATACACCCATTAACACTTCATTAAGCTATTTATATATACATAGAAGCACTACGGGAGGGTGAATTGCTCGTAGAACGTTTTAATTGTGTTCACTGTCTATAAAAATAGAAAAAAAAATTTGCGTGAAGCACCCCAGCGATGGTTGGAACGAGCTTTAAGGCTAGTGTGAAGTTTAACCCTTTGACCCTTAAGAGTGACCAGCAGCTAATTTCTTCCTACAATATCACACCTGAATCAAGCATTAAGGTCATGAGAATAATGAAAATGATCACCAACTTAAGAAGTTATTGATTATTAAACAAATTCTCCTTGTCAGCACCTTAAGAAATGTATAGAGAACAGTATGGAGAATATGCATACTGATGCTAGGGTGTAAAGAGTGAAACGGACCTTTTTTGTTCTCTACTTCCGCCATCTTGTTGTAAGAGTTCATGCTCTTTTTCTTGGCTCTTCGTTCCAACATCAACTGCTGAGAGATTTCCTGCGAGATATTTAGTGTATTTATTTATTCTTGATGAAAAATCTGATCAAGTTAATTGGCTGAAGAAATTATGCTTACTTCTTGAATTGATTATCTTGTATGTTACTTTTTATGTCTTACCACAATTTTCGTGCCTAATTTTTCTGTAAGCCCTTCCACGCTCGATATCAGCTTCACTCCCTGATTGAAAAAAATCACCAAACGTTTAACTTTATGAGACTGTGCTTAGCAAGACAACGGTTATTTACAAATTTCTTTTAAACTGTATACCCAAACGACATTATATGATGGGCTGAATCAAGCTCGCGTTTTGATTGGTTCTTAATAATGGTCTATTGGAGGACAGGCGCATAGATGACTTCACCATTAACAACATTTGGTTTTTTTTTCTATTAAATTAAACAAATAGATTCGTTGTTGCCGTGAGCCTGGTCAAAATGTAATAAAAACAAACGCACGGCAATACAGAATCTATTTTTTAACGAGACTTAAACTTTAAAACAGTCATGATTGCTTGAGTAAAGCTGGCACCTTTCATAGAAAGTAATTCAGAGGTTTCTCCGTCATTATGGCCTACGATGGCTACAAATGTGGAGAATGGAGAACACTGACAATCCTAGCCTTCAGCTTCAATTATTCTCCCCTCATCGTTACAACCAAAGAAAACTGGTATTTGGAAGATCGATGAATTATTTATTGGGGCACATCAAGCTAGTTCATTCGATGATTACATTCAGAAAGACTCCCATTGATCGGAATTGTGTTATTTTAGTACGAGTGCGAATTCCAATTGAGCCTTCTAATATTGAGAGAAAAATGCTACGTTCAATGAACATAAAAATTGCAGTCACAGTCTCTCACCATAACTCTATGATAATCCTCAAAAATTGGCGTCAATAATTCCTGGATGTCAGCTTGCATTTCAGGGGCAATAACTTTAATGGGTAAAAATTCGGTAGCTTCCCCCATTGGAGATATGAGGATGTCCCTTGCTCCAGTCCCACTCCTCTCACTGCTGCTTCTGGAGATGGAGTTGAAATACAGAGGTTCTAAACTGAGGTAAGATTCTTCACGTGACAGACTGATGGACTCAGGAGGGCTGATATCACTGACAGTGCTCTCTGAAAACTGCAACGTGGACCTAGTTTTTGAAAGAAAGAACAAAGCGTCATAAAACCCCTGCTATGATTATGGCGCTCTTTAGTAAAACTACATAAACCAGTGACGTCATATTGCTGTAAGCACCGCTGACCAACTCTTATTTCCATAGCACACCTTTTCATGTCAGACTACCGAGAGTACAGCAAGGAGTTCACCGAATCAAATGAATAACTTAATAAAACTCTACTTATGCGTTGTAACGCCATCCCACATCCATCCATTTTAGCTACAAGGGATTGTTTTAATAAAAAAAAAAAAACGAAAACTGTTCTCGCTCACAGGCTGGCGAGAAACGATGACCACGGGCAGCGATCTTTCACATAATTGAGCTTTCAAAATTACCACCTTGGAGTGACAGCTGTTTAAAACACCTGCTTAAGCATAGTTTGATCGCTTAGTATTATGTGGATTAGGTTTTATCGAAGCTGTGTTTCTGTATTTTGAGATACGGGTTCCTATAGAGAAAGTATACGGACTTGGCCTTTCTCTTCAGAAGACAAACTCTTTTATGGGCTCAGGACAAGTTTTGATATGCGATGGAAAAGGATTATAATTAGTAAAGATAGATATAAGTTCTGTTTTTACTGGTTTTGTTACATGCATTTCATTGTAAAACAAGATCACAGCCACTAACAGGACGTCCGCGCCACATTCTTATGGAAGCTTGCAGTTCGGTATGTTAGTGATTACACGAGGCAGGCTTTGCCACTCAACCTTAGAAAATGCTTCATTAAGGCCGCACATAATTAAATTAAGATTTTCCAACCTTCTAGTCTGTTGTCCCTCGGTGACCGCCTCGTACATTTCGTGTAAAAGGTCTTCATCCCAGTACAAGTCACTGTACTGATCCGTAATGGCCTCTTTAAAGTTTTCCTCGCTCATTCCAGCCAAAGATAAAACGTACTCAGCTGCAAATGAAGAGACAAGGTCAAATAAACGCACTTAAACTTCCTGTTAAATCACAGGTAAATCTTATCGATAACATATTGCCCGGTATAATGTTTATCTGGTATTACCATCGACTATCGTCGCCATTTTTGATTGTGTCCTGTTGGACATTATGCCAAGAACAAATCAAGTTGAAACTAGGAGTCTTTGCATAAAAAGACACTATAATATGTGGTATTATAGTATTATATATGAAAAGAACTATGGCGCAAACCAAATGTAATCGAAAAGCAGAAGAAAACAAGAAACAAGTGCTTGTTTGTTAACCACTGCACAAATGTGTGGTAACTCTCAATATTGCCTAAAATATTTTATGTTCTCCCGACGTTTCAATTGAGTGTCACCTAGTTCCAGATTGTAAAACAATATTTACGACAAACGTTGAATTCGTCATTGTGACGGTAATTAATTTTCTGAGTTAAGAGTCTCTGGGGACGATGCTCGGTTGAACAGACAAATTTTTTGTGCTATTTGATAAGAAGATTGGCAGTAGTTAGCATTAGCTCGACAACAGATAAGCTGTTACCATGGCTCTCCAAAAATTCAATGGCCTTCATTTAGCCCCAAAACGTAAAAATTGATAAAATGCAAAGGCAAGTTCGCCTACACCTGAAAATGTTTTACATATATGGACAACAGTTGATTTTGTGTCGTTCGAAAAAAGGATTCTTACACTTTGCTCTTCTTGGTGACAATACCTGTAGGTCCTTTCGGCCATAAGTTCACGGATATGTTCTCTTTCATTAAAAAGTCCTCGTTGAAAATTCTTTTCAAACAAGAAATTTGTTGGTACGTGCCCGAGTTAATTGAATGTCTTTTTATTCCTTGACTTAGGGCCCATTTGGTGCTAATTGGCAGTTTTATTGTAAACTAGCTTACAAGCATTCGCCGAGGAGGGCGTTAATTAACAGAAAATGTGAGGTGAATAACGCGTTCCGAATTTAGACTGGCGCAAAGTGAGGACAGAGTCTATTGACGATTCAATGTAAGTTCCCTCAAAACAGCCTCAACTAGATACCCTCACGTAAGGATAGATTCCCAGAAAACAAATAGTACGATTGTATTGATCACTTTTTTAGAAACACGGTTAATGGTCTTCTCTTTATGACTAAAGATGACGTAGGCTAAGTGAATACAAAAGAGCGAAAAACAAACACTAGGCGCTTGGAAATGCATTGCATTTTATGAGGTGGAAGGTTTTATGTCTTCAAATTGTTTAAAACAACCATAATCAACTCAACGTGAACGTTTTAACATTAATTGGAGGGGTTCATCTATGTTAGGGCTAAAAAAGGGACAGCTCTTAATAGCTTCATAAAAGTACAAGTTCTTTACGCCAGAACAAGAAAGATCGTTTTAAAAACCGGAAATATTAATTTACCTCTTGAAATATCTTAATTCCCTTCCTTCCTTTTACATATAACGGGAAATTAACCTTAGGTCACACCCCATTACAAGAAAAAAAGATAATTAACACTTCACAACGTAACAGACACTGAAACGCCAAAAGATTTTTCAGTTACTCACCCATGTTGACATCTTCGACTCCATCGTCCAAGTAGCCATCAAACGCAAATTCGTCGTGTATCATGTCGATGATCGTAGAGAGTACACCCTTTGCACCTGGTAACGATTGTTCCTGTTGATGAAACAGTTCAAATACAACGATTTAAGATTTTTGTGATGGCTTGACAGAGCTGTTTCCACGTGTACTGCGAATTTAAATATTTGGTAGATACATGCGCATGTGAGGGCAGACACTTACGAGAGAAGTTCGCTGCTAATCTTGGACAGATACAGGGTTTCGTGTTTTAACGGCAAGGGCGTTTGAATGTGTGGGGCCAATTAAACCTTCAGTCCAATGGAAATGGTACTATACCTCCTCACCCGAAAAGGCTTCGGAATGGCGCCAATTAGGAATTGTAGCTGGTGTGTCAACGTTAAAGAACAGGGGTATTGTTGAAACTGTATAATTCTATAATTTACATGCTAGAATTTACAATAACTGCAATCGATGGCAGATGGTTGACGTACCTTGCGCGAAGAACTCTCAAGTATTGAAGCATTATTGGGGGAAATCGGTGTTTCACTTAAGGTGCCAAGATACGATCGCAGTGTTCCTGTAGGTATGATTTCGTCTGGATTTCGCGTTGAAGTTTCACTCGAATTCATAAGTCCTGTTTCCTTTATCTTGGAAGCTTTTTCAGTATCAGACAGCCCTGACTTATGCTTAGAGCTATTTAACGTTGGATTTTTCCCTTGACTACCTATTTTCTCTTTTTGTTTAGCTTCTGTTGTCTCATTAGTCAAAGTGACCCTCTTTCCTTTGCCACTTTCTTTTGCCGCTGATTCAGCGAATGAGGTGTTTGGAGAGGACCCTTGCTTAGCAGCAGCTGAGTTTAGCACTTTCTTAACCAGTTGACCTAGCAGCTCTTTAGAATCAACTCTTGACGAAGATGGAGGGCTTTTACTAGCAGGTCTTCCCAAAATGTCTGGAGGTGGTGTGGAGGCCAACTCAAACTCTTTTGCGGTGGACTTCATCATTCTACCATCGGTTGCAAGTTTCGCGGCAGCAGATCCTTCCTTTGGTTTTTCAGAATGAACGTTAGTTTTCTCATCAGAGTTTGGAGAACTTCCATCCGTTATTTTCGACATGTCACTTTTAGGATGTTTGAAGTTATCATTATCACTTCGCGTCGGTTTGTTCGGAGATTCCTTGGACTTTCCTACCGAAGCCTTGAGGGGATTAGAGACATTTTCCTGTTGAATACTGTTAGATAGAAAAGCCAACGTCGTCGGATCGTTTTGTGAAACACTCAGCGGTCCTTCCTCTGATGAAGGCAGAGGAGGTTTGTGATCTTTTGGATCATAAAAAATATTGTGTCCTATAGGAAACTTCGGAGATGTCGGAGAGGGTGAATGGGAAGGAGAGAGTGTAGTTGGGGACGAAGGAGGTGACTTTGCCCTATAATTTTTTTTGCCTTTTCCGATGCTTCCTCGTGACTCGTCGGGATCAGACAAGTTTAATCCACTGTCAGATGACGAGTTACTTGGAAATCGCTTACTGCTTTTACCCGATGGTGTGTCACTTTTAAGGAGAGTTTCATCCGAGCGAGGTATATAAAATACTTCCGATTCTTCAGTTTTACCCATCGAGTTAGAGCTTTGTTCTGAAGCGAGCTCATGAGAAGAGAATCCAGATGTTGAGGATGACTTTGCACATTGAGATGGAGCTTTAGAGGAATCAGCATTGCCTTCGAAGTCACTCTGACTTCTTGGCCCTGGGTTTTGGTGAGTGTCTTTTAAATTTTCGTGTCTTCTGTTTGAATCTCGAGGATTAATCCCGCCATGTGGGTTGTCTGCTCCTGCAGCACCAAAGAACTCAATTTGCGCTTTTGGTGGCTTTGCATGAAGTGGAGAAGTAGGATTGCTGGTCGTTTTTGGAGAAGGTTTGATGGTAGAACTGCCCCCTGCAGGCAAGCTCCCTCTTCTCGTATATGGGTACCTAACTGGGTTTGATTCTGACGGATCAGTAGAAGTGGCTGTGGAGTTAACAGTTCTACTGGCTTTGGCGTGGGGGTTCGAAGAGTATCCCTTTGCACCATGTCTTTCTTTTGATGGGCTTGGATTCCCAGGTTTTGCAGTTGTTGAAGAACCTCTACTCTTGCTCTCTTCCACATTTGGGCTAGGATTATTTGACGGCATTGGTTTAGAATAAGGACTGCTTTTACCAAGATTTCCTTCTTTGGGGGAACTCTTTGACAAATCTCCTGATGATTGACGCACCGATGGATTATTTTGCGGAGAACTTTTGAAGACCTTCTGCTGTTTTTGTGATAAATTAGTATGCGATGAGCTCTTCGTGATTGTGCGGTTTTCCACCGGGCTCGAACGATCGCGGCCTGGTGAAAGGTTGATTGGTTGTGAGGTGGGCAATGAATTTCGTTTCGACGTTGAAATCCTACGTTGCGGTGCACTTGCGTCTTGAGATATAGGATTCGACATGATTTTCTTAAGAGTCATTGGTGAGGAAGGATTCTTCGAAACAGCGGTTATATCTTTTCCAGGGGGACAGTCACCGGATGGATGTCTCGATCTCACAACCTGATCGATTCTTGATCTCGTTCTTGGAGTTTTAGGATTCCCATTTACATGTGCGATAATTGACGAGTTTTCTGATTTCGAAGGAAGTGGTGAGTTTTTTGGAATAGGGCGTGGATTATCGTTTATTTCCTTTTTGAAGCTAGAATTTTCCGTTGGATAACAACTCTTTTGAACTGAGGTCGAATTAGATGCAAATACCTCAGTCTCCAAATCACCAGTACTGCGAAGAATTTTTCTTTCGAATCTCCTCACATAATTGCCTGTTGGGTCTCTCCTGTTAGAGACGCAATCAGAGCTGACATATTCTGTTGTGTCACGAGATGGTCTGTTAAGAATACAGTTTGTATCTCTCTCTGGTTCCATCTCTCCACATTTGAACGTAACACTTGTGAAATAATTTGATGGCTTGAAATCCTTCAATGATCCTGGACTAAGAGGAAAAGGAGGAGAAATAACATTTCCATCTACTCCACCATACATCCAATCGAGTCCACCCACAGAAGCTGGTGGACTGGAAACGATGGGGGTTGTGGCGTCTAAAATTGCCAAGTCCACAGGGATCTCAAACTGATGAGTATCAGATCTTGGAGACCAGAGGAGATCGTTAGGACTCTTGACATCGCAAAATGGGATAGAAGAGTCTCTCTCTGGTGATAAACAAAGGTCCCTCGGTCTTAATCGTGGGGAACCTTTCTCGCGCACAGGCTCTGAATCTAAAGACGATTTTATGGAAATCCCGTTTAAAGAACTGTCTTTGTCCTGCCAGGGTTTTGATAAATTGTGCGTTACGTTGCCTGATTTGATAATATAGTCATTCCTGATATCATTACTGGATGACGATCTCCCAGAATAAGTGGATGACTTCGATTTCCCAGAGGAACTTCCTTGAAGCCGTGCCTTAGGATTGCCTTTTTGATCACCTTGATCTCTTTTAGTACAATAATCGCTAAATAGAGAGAGACCAGATGCTAAACGTTCTTGAGCGTTGTCTTCCAGAGCCTCAGATGAACTGCAGTCTCTTAAAATATTCTCCTGAGACGTCCATCTTCTAATGTTTTCCAATAGCCTTGTCCTTGAATCATGACATTTTTCTGAAGTTGATTCTTTCTCTTCCTGGAGCATACAGTGAGAAGATGAGACGCGACGTTCTCGGCTGTCGGTAGAGCCTGGGTCTGACCCACTACGCTGTACTTCACGTGGGTTGCCAGGGTGACGGGTTGATGACTCGTCCTTTGATGCGTCGCTTCCCTTGCCCGTTTCTTGTGATAAAATAGAATTATCCGATCGCAGAATTGACGTTTCAATATCTGAGGCAGAGTGAACTTTGCTACGAACCGACGACGGACGAAAAGGACCAGTCTTCGAAGCTGGCTGCTTGGGTGTTGTAGAATTGTGTGGCTTAAACTGCCCTTTGGCAAGACGATCCTCAGGCACTAAGGACGAGGAACCAAACCTTGAAATCATGGACGTCACGGAGTTTGAGCGAACGCGCGGAGAGCTATCTGCAGACTCCTGAGACATTTGCTCAAATTTCGACACAAGCATTGAAACGGGACTATTAGATCGCGATCCGGCGGGACTAGATGGCCTGCTTCCTTGATTCTTACGTCCTTGCACTGGACTGTTTGTTATTGATCCTAGAGTAGCTGAACTTGACCTCCTACGTCCATCCAGTAAGCTAGACGGACTTGGGGGACGGTTTGAGAAAGAGCCTGTTGATGCTCGTGCTCGAGGTTTATTACGGGGTGACATGTCCACTCCATCTCTTGTCCAATACACTGGAGGCGTTTGGGAGCGAGGAGGATTGACTTCCTGAGGAGCCGCTCGTCTCCCAAGGGATGGAGATGGAGTTCTTGCACGCACTGGTTTCGTCCCCTCACTACCCTCATTGAATTCATCGTTAAACGGTACCCTTCGTCGAACAACTTTGGTGTTTGATTCCAGTTCCTCTGAGGTTGTCCTGCTCTTGGGAACAGGCCTCTGCCAGATGGGACGAGGAAGTTTGGATGCCTTGTTGTCTTGTTTGTTTTGTTTACATCCCTTGTTATTCTTTTGTGTATCTGCCTTTAAACCTTCGGATTTATCAGACTTTGGTGTGGCGCAGTTTTTGTTCTTTGGTCGAGGATCCACGTCAGACAAGTTGCTGACGTCACTATCTGTTGACACCGCTGACTGATTGGAAGTTACTGAAGAGTCAACTGGATGAAAAGGCACCGGGGACATCGCTGGGTGAGGAAAGGACATCATCCCTCCCTGAGGCACGTACCAGTAAGGGGGCATTGGTACAGGAGCTACGCTGGGAATAGGGACAGCGATGGGTACAAAGGTAGGAGTGGGTACGGAAGGAATCTGATTTTCGCTTACATCAGAGTGTACGCTCGGAGAAGCAGAACGACCGGCGGGTATGATAGGGTTGAACATCATCTGACTCTCAGTTTGGCCGTAGTGTGGATAAGTAAATAAGGAAGGTGACGGTGGCTTGGTGGACTGATCCTCCACAGACTTAATTATTTCGTCACTTTTTTTATCGTTTTCTCCGGTATAAAATGGGCCTTTGTTTAACTTTGTTGATGCTAAAAGAGACAAGAGTTGTTGTTTTTCGTCTTCTGTCAAGGAATGGCCTCGCTTTCGGTCTCTCGTGCGATCCTGATCACTGATGTCATCACCAGTGTCTGACGACCTGTCGTTTAATGAATCAGACACAAGTCGATCCTTTTCGCTGTTCAATGAGTTACTGGAGGTGGCTTCTGACATTTGTGAGTTTACAATGACTTCAGTTTTTTCCGCTTTCATTTCTTCTGGTTTAGGAATTGTTTCGTTTCTTTTATCTCCAGAATTTCCGCCATCGAGGTTACGGAACGATTCTCCATTATTTTGAGTCTTTACAAAAGGATTTCGTTCTTGCGGTTTTGTTGTCTGACAAAAAAAAAAAAAAAAAAAAAAAAAAAACAGATTCCCATCACTAAATGTATCCACTTGAAATAAAAATATTGTGTTTATTGAAGGGTGAACAGCAAGAACATACAGCTTTCTTCAGCGATATGACTTTTAGGTTATGAAAAAAGGAACCATCCTTGAGCAAATATATTGACCATGAAGATCCTTACAGGTGTCAGAAAATTGTTCTTCAAAGAAATTATGGTGGATACAAAGCGACTTAATCAGATAAACTTCTGTAAACCTCATCTTAAATCGCTAGCTATCTTTGCATACACTTTTTAATCAAACAAGCGGTCAACAATACATCGCCAAGAAAACTCTTATTTTGAAAAACATTAGATCGTATCATCGTTTCTTCCCGTCTAAATAGATAAGATATACGAAGGAAAAGTTCATTTGCTGAGGCAAATATTAGACTTATTTAGTCATTTCGAAACATTCCATAACCGGATGATAACTCCTACCCAAAGCGATGAATTTCCAAGACGACATTTCATCTAAAGCTAACACGACAAGCTTACCTTCTGGCCGACAAACTCAAACGTATAGCTCAAAACCCACTCGAAATCATTTCAGAAACTTCACTCTTCCATAGCATTCGTAAAATGATAACATCCAAAAAAACTGAAACCTCATTTTGCCAGAAATATATCATAACTTTTACACCTTGTACTTAGTCACTTGCATGGAACAGGATGTCTTCATCAAAAATCTGAAGATGTTTTGACATGTAAGCTCATTTGAATTTAAGCCACAATTACGCGAAAAAGGTCCGGGGATTGTAAAATTAAACAAACATAACTGAAAGATTTGTTGACATCAAACAACAATATGACATAAAAATGTTCTTCCTCCATCGTATGTTTTATAACATTTTGAGAGGAAAGGAAAAGTTTCCCAAACAAATGAGGTCAGAGTATTCTTATTCTGGAAGTTATTCAGAAATGGTCACCCACTGTTTCCAGCCTAAGAGCTTGCATGGTTTATCACCTGTTTTATTTGTTCTTAGCGTCAAAACAATAAAGGATACTCAGTGAAATTCTCGCAGGGGTTGAATAATGAATCTATTTCATTTAGTTTCTCAGTAGGTGAGAGTCCCACGTAAAACAACCCAAAATATCGTCATTTTTTCACTAAACCTATTCAGCTAGGATAGTTATTGCAGGATAAAACGCCAAAGGGTCGCAAAGGGCTAAAACTGACCATCGAGGGAGTAAATATGTATGTAACCCTAAGTGTCAATTATAAAGATCGCAAACCAGGTCATCCTTGTTTGCTTTGTGGCTGTAATTTTACTAAGAAAAGACACACTAGATCTTCTAACTGAAGGTTAAGTTGAGTCTCTGGCTCTGACCAGCTGTGTTATATGATTCCTCTAAAGCAAGGGTTACTATCAGGGATCGAAGATCAAAGTTACTCACTTGTTTGAGAAAGCCTTTGAATGAAGCGGCCACAGAGATGGATCCCATCAGTGTGTCATGATGCTTCTTTTCTCCTTCCACTGTCTTCCTCTTAGTGGTCTGGAGAAAGAACAAATCGTGGAGTCGTAGGAAGGGAGTTTAAATTTCAAGAACAAACTATTTTACCGCAGAATCTCGTAAGCTTTTGAACTGCCCTCCACCGGAAACCCTTAGCGACGCATCATGGATAACTAGATGATCATTTGTCAAAACTCTCGCACGAAAGAACACAATGTTATGCAAATGATTAACTGCCGCGAGGATGTAATATCAACAATAACCGTACGCCCTTAGGCCCCGTTAACACAACGTTTCCTCAGTGAAAATGCAACAATTTTTTCCTTCCAAACAGGAAAGAGAACAAAATGTTTTTCCGCCAGACTCTAACGATCAATTGCGCCGCAGAATCGCTTAAATATATCATTGGAGAACGGTGCTCAAATGATCCCATTCAAAGCCTTCGGAATAGTGAAATCAGCGTATCCGAAAAATTTCGTGTTCAAAGCGTTCTCCGTCCACATTAAAACGCAAGGTGGCGGTTTTAAATTATCCTCGTTAAAGAGGATGTTTGAAAAGTTCCGTATTCGGCTGGGTAATTATGTTCCCCTATGAACTTGGTGGTTTCGTACAAATGGTTGAATTCGTATAAATACTTCTTCTGAAGTGGGTGATAAATGAGGATGATCGAATGACATGCTAGCAGATAGTGGCGTGAGAAAAAGTTTCGAACTCTAAGAGCAAACGGCAGGAATCGTAAGTAAGGAACTTACGCACGACGTTTTTTTAGAGGCGCACGGCAACCGGACTTAAAATTAGTGACGCACTTCCATTTTCCGGCTGCCATTCACGTCTAAAAAACGGCTACCTAGTTTCGGATCTTTACAAAATGGCCGTGTTGAATTTTTCTGAAATTGTATGGTGGACATAATATTGAGAACAAATACAAAAAAAAAAAAACAACAACAGTGACAGAGAACAAGGGGGAAATCAGTGCAAGGATAACTTGTAAACTGTCGCTTCATATCGTCATATATGCTTATGGCTACAACTGAGTGAAACACAAACATTAAATTTCTTTCAAAGAGGAAATATAGTATTCTTTTCAGACCTGTTGTTGTGTTTTGAAAAAGAAAAACGCACGGTTTTTAACTCCATCTTCGAGTTCAACGTGATTCAACAGAGTAATTGCCGAGTAATTGAACAATAAAGGAAAACATTATTTTCCCAAAGTTTCAATCACATCTTACAATCGTATAATATCTCGAACCCTCAATACCTTGGACCTCATTTTCCTTAGTGGTGCGAGTTGTAGAGAGATAACTCCACTCGTAAGTTTTGTCGTAACAAACAATTTAAGATGAACTGATTTTTATAACACCTTAGTAATCCATAACAAGCTATTTGTATAATTGGGGAAAACAACAGTTAGCAACAGTGACTCTGTCTAATACCTGAGCTAAATTTGTATCCAAAAGGGTTCGAGTTATTGAATGTAATATTGTTGAGAAAAAGCGGACCTGAGGGGTGAGAAGTCATATCAAGTTATCGAGGATTCGAGTTATTTAGGGGGTAAATTTCAGTGGAGAATCAATTTTTGTTCGAGGAAATGCGAGATTCAAGTTGCGTCTACTTTAAAAACTCCAATGAAAAAAAGGCTACCGTAAAAAGATATATCCGTTTAGCTAGTAATACTGCGAACAACGATGGCATTTTAAGAATTAAATTTATATCACAGAAAACTGGAAAGTAAAAGTAAATATCCAAACGCCAGTCAGTTTGAAGTCGCCGAGAAGATGCACAGTATATCGAGAGGACACAAATTTTACTCGAATAAACTGTTATACGGTAGTAATCATTGAACAATACAGGTCCTACAGTATTCTCAGAAGTAAAATAAACTCAGCATGACACTATTTCAAAAACATGTTATGCGTACGAATGAGCAGTAATTTTTAGTGATGTTTGCGAAGTATCAATTGAGTGTAAGGTCGAGGTACTTACAAAGCGAAGCTGATAGTCCAAAATGTGATAAAGCCGATCATAACACTGTTTTGAAGTGCGCACAGTTGTCACGGGTGCAATAAGCTTTGACTGTGTCATCGCGTGAGTCAAGTATAGACAGTGGCTTGTACAATCTATCGTGATCACACAAGTGAGCCGTAACTCCGGGCTGAAGCTATTAGCTTGATTATCATATCAATCGTTAATTAGCACTTGAGAAACACAAATATTTACATTCCATTTCCTAGTTTATGAAAAGAGCTCTTCGCTTAGTGATCATCGCTCAATCTCGAATGTCACAATATCAAAGTATATGTTTGATTTCAATAATCGCTCTCAACAGCTTAACTCTCCATAGAAAGTAATTTGCAGCACACTCCAACTTTTGCATTCGTGACATCTCAAAGGCGAATCTTATACCGTATGTTATGTACATCTCTCTGGGACTGCATCTGACCAAAACGGCATGCAAACGGAGCTGAGGACTCACGGATTTCCATCTTAAAGTATGCGGTCAACATAATTTAAACACAGGCGGCCAAAAGTATTGGCAAGGTCATACATGAAATGGACTTTTAATCTCTAATAAAAAGGGCCCGACGTCAGAAAAACAAAGGAACGAATGAATAGTAGAAGGAATTAAGTCGTGAAAGAAGCGATCCAAATTATACGCTCCAGACATTTTAATTGCTTTTCATGCGTATTTACCCACTAACAGGAAAATTCATGTAGTTTAGTAAGTGCTTAACATGATATTTCCAAACACACAAAAACAGCTAAGATGTTGTTGTTGTCGATCTCACAAAGCCCTCAAGTCTCGGGCCTTAAACGCGACTAACTCGGCTGGGCTCATAAGTTAATCAAATGGCTTCGTGTGACTGACTCTTCAAGTGCTTTTTACCGATTGTTTTCGTAGCAACTGTGAACAACGAATGATGATTAATTTGCAGCTAAGTTAACTTGCTGTCAATAGTTAGTATTTAAAAAGTCCAAATTTGAAACCGAATAAGGATTAAGAATAGCGAAATAATGATCATCATTATTATTCCTATTAATAACCGCCATTTTCCAAATTGTTGGGATTTTTTTTTTCTTTTTTCACGGCACTGATCCTATTGTTGATATTTTAGAGTTTGCAGCTTTCCGAATAGCCAAGTTGCAGGAAATTGTGTGAGGACCCATCTCCCTCACAGCTTTTTAAGGAGTCTCACAACATTCTGAGTGAAGTGACTTACGTCATCGCTGTCCATGGCTGCAGAAGCTTGGTATTCCCATAGCAAAGCCTGACATCTCTCCCGTGACGTCATATCATTTTCGATCTGTAAAGACTCGCATGTCTGGAAAGAAAGCGAGGATGAAAGATTAAATAAAAGTCTAAAAACACTGACACGAGAGCACAATGGAATTTGGCCTGAATTCAAAACTATTCCCATTGCAATTCCTTAACTTCTTAGCAATAAAGTTTTCGTGCTCTTAGATCCGGAAGTTTGGACAACATTTTTTTTTACTAAACGCCAATCAAATTAACCCCTCTTCAACAATTGTGTTTTTTTCTTTCTGTCAGTAACATGTCCCCAGAACACCAGCCTGTTCTTAAGTTGGATTGACCGTCAGTTCAATCAACCCACAACTTTGATCTGACTGATGTCAGCCCCTACCCCTCCCCCTACCACCTGTGCGAATTCGGCCCCTGCAGTCAAACAAATTTGTCCCCATCTTTACCAGTTCACCCTTAAATCTTTCAACTCATTTCAGGTATCAATTAGACGTAATGAAAAAATTGTCCTTTAGCGTTATGCCAGCCTTGCAATTTAGCTGGTTTATTTACTCCATTCGCCACATAAAAAAAAGAAAAAAAAGATTGTTTTCTTCCAATTCAAACAATTGTGAGCAAATATATACCTCACTCTCGAGCAATTTTCAATTGTGTGTTGATTGTAATCCTGGATTGCATTACTTCATTTACTTCGCTCTGTGATTGGTTCAGAAAACTCGCGCCACTCTATCAACCAATCATGGTGTAAAACTAAAACCAATCACGACTTTGTCGCCCGCGTTTTCCGAGACTTTAGACAGTTTGGTCGTTTTCTTACTTTGAGATCTCGTGATCTCTGAAAGGTACTTTCCTATCCTTCTGATTGGCCATGGTGGTTGCTTTGGTTTTGTTTTTACGATAGTCAATCGAAAAAGGCTCTATAAGATCATAGACAGTAAGTAATAACAATTTTAGAGCTTGCCACAGAACGCTGAGCACAGATCGCCAAATTTGCAACTTTTTATGCAAAGTCAGTGGCAAGAACTTGTTTCCACTCTCCACAACGGTGACCACAACGGTCGGGACACAGCGAAGCTTTCAACTTACTTGTAGTACATCGTATAAGCACGGTCTAGCATCCGGGGCATCGTCTGTCATGGATACCAGCAGCTCTTGGAATTTTGAACTTAAAAACGGCTTTTCTGCCTCTGTCAACCGCCAGTCAGCCGCTGACCACAATGTGGCAGCCAGGCTGAAAATGCATGTCTGAAAAAAAAGATAGAATATCTATTTTGTTTTTTCCGCCTACGGAGCAGATGCCATCTTCGCCCTTAGGTTACTTAATGTAATTCTTATTTTGTGTCCGTTCAAGTGTAGCATAGTTAAGCTTTAGCATATTTTCATTTCATTTCGTAGGAAGGCGTTACATATAGCAGTCGGGGTAAATTATATCAGTGATGGCGTGTCGCGTATATTTAAAGTGCCTACATGTCTCTACACCTTCTTAAGCCATCAGTCTTATTTTTAAGCAACTACTCAAAGGCAAAAAATACGCATGCGCGATCAAGACTTAAGACTCAGTGAATGTAAACTGTACTTGCTTTAAATCAGTAACGTTTCCCATTTTTTCTACTTAGGCAAATGATTGCCTAGTTGTGCCTGAAGGTCGTTAAAATATTGCGAGGCAACTTCAAACCTTAATTTTTTAACTGAAAAAATCTCACAAATTGTAACAATCCTACGAATTTTCAGAGAGAGGTGTCTAGAAAAATTTGGTCTTGAAAATCAAAATCAACTCTTTTGTTTGCCTATTTCTAATGAATTGAATAAAATTATGCAACCAATTTCTGTATCCCGAGCCAGGTTGAAAGCGCTCATCAGAGAAACTTTATTGTTTCTTAGGATGGACAATATCTCAACAAGTTAATAACGCTTAACTGTTTTAGTGCGAATATTAATTCATTAACCGTACCGACACGAAATTACAACATGGAACCCAAAACATACTTCAGAACATCCTTTTACTCATATTAAACATATCCTATGATGGAAAATTTTCTCAAAGACTTAACTAAAGAAGATAACAGCCACGGTTCCTCTCTCATTTGATCCTGTTCAAGTACCGGAAAACCAAGAGAGCCGCAATCAAACCACTTTCGTTCTGATTAACACTTTAAGAATTCTTTATGGAGTGTTTTGTCATTTCGCCGTGAGAGGAGAACGGAAGTGGTTCGAAGTAAAATATAAACAAGTTAATAAACAAAACAAATGGCAAATAAAAGAGGAAAGTTCAAGAACTCCAAACACTGTTTAAGGGAACGCAACACTTATTATTGTGCATAAAATCACTGATGGACATACGAAAGGTCACAGGCATATTTAAAGTGACCGGTTTAGAAAGCTATCACAGATGTCGTGTAGCAAGAAGTATTTCATGTAAAATGCTTACGATAGTCACGCGTCCAAGATCACTTTTGGGGCTCGTAGTTAAATATATTCATATTTAGTCAAAGAAGTCGAAGGCAACGTATGTCCCAGTGGACATGAAGTCGTGATGTGATCCTTAAGCTCAATTTTGAATACAAGAAACCGCATTATAAACAAACCTCGATCTATCAACACATACCCATTGAAAAAAACGAAACTGTGAAATGGCTGAGTACCGTTAAGATTTCTTGACTTCTCTCCAAACAAACATCATGTTTACAACGTCAACAAGTCGGTAACAGATACTAAAACTTCATTTGAGATTGATAAGATTACATCACATAGAGCTTGAAGACAAGTCAGTCCTGTTTCGTGGTAAAAACAGACGAATTAAGGAGAAAAGATTGTCGTCAACTTACCAAACAAGCTGTTAATCTAACGAAGAACCTTCAAAAGAGTTCAAGCTTGCTGAAAATCGCCTTGAAACATTTCAAACTCCAAAACCACGGTATGCAAGCTTGTCAAACGACAAACAAATTAAACTTCGCGATAGTTGTAAATTGATTTGTTTTCTTGCGCAAAGAAAGAGGTCCAGGACTTTCAGAAGTTTAAACCTGTGATTCACGATAAATCATGTCGAGCTCGAGCGCACATCCTCAGCTTTTTTTCGTAATAGAAGATATTAGAAGGAGTCCTTTTCAGACGCTCGAGTTTCTTTAGTTTTGAATGTTAAGTACTGTTACCTAAGGCCTGCTGGGCTTTCTTTGTGTTCGCAAATGCTTGTCTATTGTTTGACCGCACTATAATCCTTTTCAATGAACAAAGAAATTGATAATTTAATGCGCGATCTACTGGAACAAAAGATCGGTCATTAATTCTAAAGCACATGGGAAATAGATCCAAATAAAAGCTAGAAACGTGAACTCAGGTATGCAGAGATGGACTGAAACCCGCTCCTTTTTCGCCATCAAAGGTAAATACCGGGTAAACAGTTGTCTGGCATCTGCATAATGGAAATCTAGAACCCCTCATTCCCCTTCCCTCTCCACCCCCTTTAGTTGATGAAGAAAGCATAGTAATATCATGAGGAAAATTCATAGACTCAAAAAAACGGGTTTAAAGGTATCTACACAAAAGTTCGGCGTGAATTTGGACAATAAGATCATGGTTTCAATAACTAAAGTTTTCTTACCGAATCGCAAAAGAATTCTAGCCATCTGATTGGCTACTGAGCCGAAATATTCAGGTGAAAAAGCAAATTAGAACAAGGCTAGTCGACATTGCACAAGTCGGCACCGCGAGGTAAAACTTGAGCTGAACCTAAGAATAAGGTAATATTTTTTACAAATAGCTACTGTGACATCATGGAGTACTGTTATGTTGTGTATTAACGAAGTATGAATTCCGCAGTATTCGCAGACAATAGGTGTAATGGTTTCGTGCCTCGATGACGTCATTCACTCGCTTGCAAGGCAGACAGTAACGTCAGAGTAGAAAGCCATGATCCGTCAACGCACTGAAGATGAGTACACTGAACCAAACCCCTTTTTCTAAACAAGTTAAGCTGCAAAAGAAGATTTAATTTCTTTGAAAAGCATCCATCTAGTTCAGTTTGTACATCGACTGCTTACTTCAACACGCCAAGAGAACCTTACTGGCTTGAGTGAAACCATGCATGTAAGCAAGGCCAGTTACAAAGCATGTTACAAAGTCCATGCCATTTTAAGAAGATCACAGATATATATCGCAGAGATTAAAAAACCTACAATTTCAGAACGTCAGAAGTTTTTCAACATACTCAACCCTAAAATTATTATGGAAATAGCCGCGATTAACAATTATGTGCATGTCACTGATTCGCATCGTTAAAGAGATTTCAAGACAAAAGAAATTGGCGGTCCAGACGCCTTCTGGAAGCACGAGAGATAAACATTTGAAGGAATCCGCTCAGTCGACACGATGGCATCCACTTGCCACACGATTATTTCAGTTTAGAGCTACAGGACAAGACTTAATTATAACAATTGTTCAAACTTGCGTTTCTCTATTTTATTCGTGCTTTTTGTTCAATTTCTATATCAGCTTTCCCTGATAAAGACTAGAAATCTTGGCCGAAACGTTGAGAGTTTAAAATAATTTTTGAATATTGTTAGAACTTTTTACCGATGAAACGATTTTTTTGTAGTTACAAAGAAAAAGTCTATGTCTTCATCACTAAGTTGCTCGCAATTTTTATCTTTTGGTTATTCAACGTAACCAAACCTAAAAAAAAACTGCCTTATTGAATTATTACCATGGACTTACATTTAAATGTACTGAATCACAATTGATGAGAGGAAAGAGGGCTTGAGTGCTCTTAAAAAAAAACTAACAAAGATAACCCATACCTTGAGCATAAAAAAAAATGAGTCATTAGTATGATCATTTGCAATATACGCCTTTGAGTTTAATGAATGTGTGTCAAACCGCATTTCCTTCGCCACATTTTGAAGTCCAAGGTGACGCCAAACATAATTTTCTGAATCAAATAGCAGCTTTCATAAGCCTAGAAACTTGACAAAGTTTTTCTAGAAATCAGTTATTGAAAGCTTTTCCAGGCGTTTTGAATATCTGCAAGGTCAATTACTGGTTATTCCTTATAGCCAAAGTTCTGTACAAACCTTGTGCATACTGTACAGACATCGGGCAAGATGGCAGCAGAAAATAGCTCATTGTATCATAAATTTTACATGTCTTTCAGTGTTGCATATCATATTCTTTCCTTTAAAGGTAATCGCATTTGATGAGGACGACTAACTGCTATAATAATCAGCCATAGGCGATACGCTCTGATTAAACCGGACCTGCACTTCAGCTGTGTTTAATAACTGATAGTTCAGTTAGACAAAACTTAAAGGGAAATTCAAACGAACTGGAAGGCAAAGGAAAATTGAAATCACGGAAGCTGATGTAACCTTATCGTTTTCTGTCTATTCAGAAACATTGAAGGAATATTTATTAAAGAAGAGTCAGATACCAAGGATTAGAGAGCGAAAATGATTTGTCTAGACATGCAAGTGTAATTTAAAAGCCACGAACGCTCCGGACGTGAGTCTTTAAGATTGCTCGACTTCAACAATACCTTGTGTACCAAATTCAGCAAAATTGTGTGATTTCGCTGCATTCGTTTGAAAATACGAAAGAAATTTAATTTATACAATATTCCTGTAAATCACGAAAAGAAAGAAAAAAATTGTCGAAGCGAGCACAACCAAACACCTCAGTTTAGACATGCAGGCAACATTAAAGGAAGAAAACAAAAGACAAGTGCTATTGATGCGCAAGTTTATGTCCTCAGTTGACATACTCTTCCAAATTCGGTTAACAGGCCAAAAACAGAGCATTTGTTTGCTACTTTCGAGAAAGACTACTCAAAGTTTTTTTCACCTTACTTACCTTGGAAGATATCTGATGAAGAAGATACAGCCGGATAATGAAATAACTGTTATATGACGATGGCCGAATGAAGATCGCACTAAATCACCTTTGAATCGGATGAGAAACCTCCTGACTGTGACACTGTTTTAACTCTACAACTACTCACTGGCAAGACAAGTTTTTCCTTCGAAAGTTTTGTTCACACGAGGTCTAGCTCGTTAACTACTGCACGCTGGTTAGGTAAATATGTATCTGATAGTTGCCAAAAATCCCTCTCGAATGACCTTTTAGTAAATGAATAGGCGTCCAAATTAATTTTGCCTCGAAGGCACTGTCAAATTTGTCCACAGAAATTTGCTGTTACCAGAATGAAAGCAACGCTAAACTCTGTGTCCTCCACCAGAACAATTTGCTCTCTATCTAGTTAAAAGACATATCTATCTTCGTTCACCGAACACAATATTAACAATTAAACCCTAAGAACCCAAACCATAAATAAAAATTTGTCTCAAACGGTATTCCTGAAAGACTTGACGGATCTAAAGTTTAGTCTTGAAAGACCAGAATAAATGTTGAGGTATGCTTCTATCAAATACAAACAAGTCTCTGTATTGGCTACAGTGAGTTTGGTCTTTCCGTAAAAACCTTGATGGCTTTTGAGTGAAACAGCGCTTTAAACTTAACAGACCGTGCAGTTGTCTAGTTTTTTCATAGTTCTGACGCTTCATGGTTCTGACATTCCATACCTTTTCGGACGCAAAGTTGTTGGAGTGCTCTGGAGCTAGGTACAAATCATCGATAGAAATCCCTGTCAAACAAGATAGGAACATATGTCAACATAATTCAATTATTGATCAATTAATAAGCTCTACTAACAAGAGTTTGTTAATGACACGACTGTGATATGGGAAACTAAACAAGATTAATAGTTTAAACAACGTTTAAAGATCTACATGTCGGTGATACCATACGTATCTTACCAGTCATAAAAACTGACGGCAGCAAAATAAAAGTATTGCATTGCAGTGTTAAATCCGTAAGCAATAACAAAGATCTGATTTGTCCCACATTAAAGTTTAGCTGCAGAACAACTGAGAGCATTCTGAGCTGTATAAGTAGACTGCTTCTCTCGGAGCCTGCGCACAGACCACGGATTGACTTGATAAGACAAGCACAATACATTAAGATTTAACAATACAATAGCTTTGGTATAAGGAGATAAATTCTATAATCAAACGTCTCGCGCCCGTAATTACTAATTTTCTTGCGCAACTAATGTGAGAGAAAGAGTTATCGGAGCGAGACGGAGCAACTGTCAAGAAACGCAAACTTTTTCGACACGGTTATTTGTGATCATCATACACAAAACTTGTACTAATTACAAACTCTCTAATGGAAGACACAGTCTTTGTACTTTGTTAGAGCTATTTTTAGCAGACAATTCAAGTGCAAATCCTTTTAATAGAATACAAAAAAGGCACTGATATTTACGAATGTTTAAAATTATAACTTGACAAATTAAGTTGATATTAGAGAAAACTAAGAACTAGAGAAGATTTTTACTTCCAGGAGCAGCACATCTGAGAGTGATATTCGCAGAAAAAACATTGTGTCACTCAGTAACTAATGCCAAATACTAAGAAAAAGTGGACACAAGACAGAGAAAAACACTTTAGTGCTACTCCAATAAATTTACAAGACAAGTGAGTCGTCTTTTAAACGTTTTCTAACAGATAGACAAACTCTGTGTTGAATATGATATACGCATATAATGCATTAACTCACTTGAACTAAGAAGAGGAGCTGAAAACACAGGCAACCTCACGACAGAGCTGTGTTATCACGAAATCATGTCTTCTCCTCAGACAAAATTCAGTCCTTAAGAGGATATGCATTCGAGACTGTTGGAATGAGACTGTGCAAGTTGTACAACCAAAATAAACCTAAATAACTCAGAGACGTGCAAGAACACTCTTAGCTATTGTTTGAGGCAGGCAAAATGTGAACCTATAGTCCCAAGGGAGAAAGGTTAACCTAAATTAGCAACGACCAAAATGGAGTTATTGTTGTGCAAATCTAAAGATCATATTTGAAACTCGAATACAAAGAGATGTTTGTTAATGATCTAAAACGAAAGTCGTGGGTGTTCAAAGTATCGAAAAAAAATCGTTCTAAAAGTTTCTTTTGTCCTACAATTAACTTCCTGGTTTGTTTTACTTTGTACATGGTCTCTCCACTCAAAGAGAGTCAGGTTATCTCTCGTATCTGATCAATAGAAAGCACTTTCTCATCATGCAGCTTACATGTATTTTGGATAAAAGTTATTTTAACTTTCATTAAAAAAAGGTTGAAATTGCTTTCAAACTTGAGTACCACTCTGTACTCACAAAAAATTGTAGGGTACAAATAAAGGTGATCTAGAAAAGGAGCGCTGGTGTAATCAGTGTTAGGCATTGCGTTGGGTGTGTTTGAAGGATGCTTTAAGTTGGCCTGGTAGCCACCAACAAAGACATACAACAGACATGCAGCGTGGTCTGCTGACTTGTTTCTAGTCTTCTAGACTGGTGCGCGTCAGGGGTGTCATTGCAACGAAACTGACGCAATTACATCGGCCGTGAGTAAGTAAATAAACAGTTCGAGATGAATCCGGCTTTACACAGCCTTCTCGGCCTATTAATATTAATACAGTTATATGCTGAGGGTAGTAAAGGAGGACGTGGGAAGGAGGGTCCTGATTCCGTTTCACGCACGAATTTTCAAAAAATTAACGCGTCACGTGTGTTTTAAATAGTTTTTCACGCGTCACGGATTCAGGGGGGAAAACTTCAAATCTTGACTTACCTTGCCTTTCTGTAAAAATTACGTGTCACGTATTAATTTTGGGCGTAATCCAAACAATAAGAAATTCTCGAACGTGATTGGTTATCACCGGCCCGATTTGAGCTTTAATCATAACTATTACAATTTCCTCAAATATGATTGGTGCATCGGGTACTTCATTTTTTACTAATCATTTTGTACAGTTGTAATCGGACAGTATAATCGGACAGTATAATCGGACAGTTGGCTGTAATCGGACACCCTTAATCGGACAGTTGAAGTAGCCAATCACACTAGGTCCACTCAGCTAAATCCACCAAGCACAGAATTGATCACAATAACCATAGCAACAATTACTTATCCAAAGAAAAACAAGGCAATTTCCAAAATGGAGGAATATTTAACTAAAGACATTGTCTCCACTAGAGATATTTGTTCTAGGTGTATTTGTTTTTTCGGAAATTGAAATGGTTATTGGTAACAGGATTTCTTGTCGTCCAATTCTGTCAGTAATCGTGCTCGTGATGAATAAATCGGACTCTCGCTTTGCGGTCGTCCGATTTTGTTAATCTCTCGTATGATTACCGACCGAATTGGACTCCACTCAGTCCTATTACCATTATTAATAGGGAAGTGCATGTGTCATATGCTTGTAATTGGACAATGTAATAGGAAAGTTGACAAGTCATGCCTGGGTTAGTAAACAGCGCGCGTCATGCGCGCGTGCTGCTGTTGCGCATTTTGCCGAGTTAAATGCTGTTAATATTTTGGTAAAAACGTATTACCAATTTCTAGTTTCTTTCTCAAATTTTGTTATAGTTTTGATTAATAGTAGTAATATGACCAAGTGCATTCCAATTCATTCCGTAATCATACGAATGATTAACTAAAATGAACGACCGCGAAGCGGGAGTCAGATTTGTTAATCACGAGTATGATTTCAGACCGATTTGGACGACTCGAAGTCCTGTTACCATTTTTAATTGGACTCCACCCGGTCCTATTACCGTTATTGACCACGCGTCACGTATAAACCTTGTGCTACCCTCTATAAAATGAAAATTAAATCATTGGGTTTTGTTCTTTCCCTTCTTCTATGTGTCTACGGCGTCCTTCTTTAAATCAGTTGCTGCCTTTAAAGGGTTGTAAGAGGATGCAACATTTACAGGCAAGTCATATCAATATTGCCTCAGAACACCTTGAATTCAAGACCCCTTATCATTAACTTGCAATCATACGAAGAAGTGTTTAAGACTCTCAGCTGAGTTACGTACCGAGCCAAGAGAGCGGAATATGCTTCAATAATGACGGTTTTTAGTTAACAAACCTGTGCTTAGATGCTTGAACTTGATAGTTCCGCTTGGGTTTATGATAACCGTCTCCAAGGAGAGATACGTTGCTACAAGATAAAAATAAAAAAAAAGGGACGCCCGTGCGATTTTGAATGTTTGTCAAAGAAAACTCAAGATTTTTGGGTCTAATTTTACTTTCTGTCATAAAATCATGTATTCTAAATAATATGTAACTTTCATTTGACATTATTCGTTGAACCTGAGGACGATAATTGTGCAATAAAATTCCCTAAGTGCCTATTAGTGCAACTGCCTGAGTGCTTCAGAATCAAAATCACCTCCCAAGGTGTGGTGTAATCATCAACCGATCAGAGAGCGTTTATCTACGTAACCTCTTGCGCAATTAACTATACATGCCACGTGCCGACGTTTCGGCTTGGTCCAAAGTGCTATGTTCTTTTGCTGTGGCCTGTTTGAAGTGAACACTGTCTCTCTTATCTTGCTAAGGTTATTTAAGCTAGGCAAAAAAAAAACCAACAAAAAAACCAACATTTTAACACTTACGCAAACTTCCTAGCGCGTCCAACGTCCGTAAGGTCTTGGAACACTCTTTACAAATGGCGATTAACTCTATTTCAGTCAAACAGGTCGACAATCCAGTCAACAAATCTAGGATGTTTGAAGCCTGCCAAAAGTAAAAAATTGACTTGTGTCACAATTTTCTCAGCTTATTTTCATTTGTTTGTTTCCTTCCTCCCCTCAAGAGAATCAATTTTCCTATCAAAATCAATCTCTCAATGTTTTAGTTAATATTTCCAAGGTGTCTAGGGCAAACAATAATTAATATCACTGAAAAAAAGACATCAGCCTTACACATGTTCCACTTATCGTCAACTTCCTCTGAAATCACTGTTACTTTTGGATATTTTCACCTACCTCTTGTCGCACTGGGGCACGAAGCACTGTGTTTTCCACAAAGGTTCTGATCTTCTCAAACTCTGCCACAGAAGCTGGAATACCCTCATGTCCCGAACATTCCTTAGTATAAACCCTTGATCTTCGTTTCACCACATATGGCACTATGCTTTGTTTTCTTCTTGGCTTCATTTTTCTGTTCATCAGCTTTGCAACGACACTTGTCCTTGTCTTTTGCGTTGGAGTTTCCGGTCGTAAGTCAAGAGGTGTCTTACCGTCGATCAAACAGGAACCTTCCTCAACCTGCGTCTCAGGGACACTGGGCTTGCTGTTATTGTTCAGGTCGATGGAAGCTTTCTTTTCGCTATCATTTATGCAGCTTATTACATTGTCGAAGTCATTACTATTAGTTGCCATGTGGCTCTTATAGATGTCATGTTTCTCGCCATTTTTTGTCTGCTTGTCTTCATCGTTTCCAGTCAGAGTCACCTGCTTTTTAGCCTCTGTTAAGTCACGTGGTTTGTCAGATATGCGATCAACATATTCTTGAACCGTAATATTTTCAACAGTTGTCCAGCATTTTGACTGGATTAACGTGTCTTCCGTATATGGACCAGAATCACTCTCCCCATCAGGTTTGGGGCAAGACTCTGGAGATTTGTTTTTGCCACTCAACGTCTCTTTGGTTTCAGCCTCTGTGAAGTCACGAGGATTTTGAAATACTTGATCAACATATACTTGAACTGGAATACTTTCAACCGTCGTCCAGCATTTCGACTGGGTTAATGTGTCCTCAGTAGATGGACCACTATCATTCTTCTCTACTAGATTGGGGGAGGACTCTGTGGACTTCTTCTTGTCATCATTCCCTCCAATTTTGGCCTTTAAGTTGGCATATCTCTCGCTGAGTGCCGCAAATCTCTCCTCAGTTGGAAGAGAGGCATCAAGAACAGGTCGCTTTGAGGCAACTCCTACTTTACGCACAACTGCGCCACTTCCGCCGTGAACTGTGACTTTTGAGCTCATTGTAACGGTCGAATTTTTCCTGGGTAATGCGCTTTCCTCTGCGTTTTTTATCCTGTTATAGTCTTCGGCTTCCTCTTTACTCAGTGGAAGGAATTGCGAATCGGTTAAGTTTACACCGCTAGGAATTTGAAACTGCGACACTTTTCTATGCACTTCTGTTTTCCCGGCTTTATCCTTTGAAATCACAACAGTAACAGGCGAACGTTTCATCACGTTCACACTGGACTTTCTCTTGGGAACGTGGTAGGCGTCAACGCTTCTTGGTGGAAGTGGAGCGCTTATCTTTCTATTTGGTGTCTTTGCTGAAGGAACATCTTGCTCTGAATTCCCCTGAGGAACATGTTTGTTCGGGCTGCCTACTAGCACCAGCTGCCTGGGAACGGAAGAAGTTGTTTCGTGGTCGACGTTGGCCTTGTTTTCTTCACTTATGTTTTCTTGTGGATTGTGTGTCTGAGGATTAAGTACTTCAGTGTTATTTGCACTATTGCATTGGTTTGTATTTGCAGATTTGTTGTTGTTGTCGTGAATGTGTTTAGAGGTATTTGTGGAAGTCACAGTACCACTGCCGTTGTTCTCTTTTATCATGCTGTTTTTTGTTGCAGTCATAGAGGAGGAGGTGGTGTTAATGACAATGTCTCCCTTTTGTGAAGAGTCTTTGTCAGATGTCTTACCGACGAAAGACTCGTTGTTAGCTGCGCGGTTCCTGTCCTCATTCCACTTTTTTAGGACTGTTTCCATGGTTCCAGTGTGGGGTTCTGTGGAGGCAATGGAGTTACTTCTCCTTCGCTGTATGGCCTGACTATGATTCATCACATGTTGCTGGACGATTGCCAAAAGACCTTTTCCGACACCAGGCTCACAGGTTGCCCTCTCAGCATCTTTCAACTTTGGCATCTCCGGGGAAACAGGCTGGGTCTTCAGCACCAGTTCGTCATGTGTATCGCATTTGATAGTCAGAGGAGATGGCGACGGACACCTCCTGACGGGGTTGGGTGTCAACGTGTTTAGCACGTCTCCAATGGAGCCTCTCCTGGTGAGACACGGACTCTTCATTATTCTACCGAATAAGTCGTCTTTTTCTTTATTTACACTGCTGACTTCGTGCTTCTCTTTTTTAGCTTCAGATCCTAAAGACTTTTTTGTATCGCTAGCTTTAAATGATACACGGTCAGCAATTGAGGACAGTGAGTTAAGAAGGTCTCCGGAAGTCCTTCTTTTCAGTGATACTGGCGAATTATTTGCTTTACCCAATGCATCTGTAATTTTCACGCTAGAGTGCTTCTCATTTACAGACACTTTTGGGGAATATTTTCCGGAGTTCACCGGAAAAAGTGATCTAGACTGATCTTTCATTTGGGTCTCTGCATTTAGTGAAATATACTCTGGCCTGAGCTCTTCATCTTTACCCATTCGTTGCAGACCATTTTCTTTTCTTGTATCAAAGTTTGGTGATAATGACTTCAGAAGATCACTCAAAGACCCCCTTCTCGTTATATGAGGAGATACAAGAATCTTCCCAAGCATTTCTTCTTTTCTTCCGGCAGTCTTTGGGGTTGGGCAGTGCAACCCATCATTTGTCCCTTCATTACCATCGTTAATGTCTGGAAATATTTCCAAGCCATTCTGGCTAGACGATCTACTCGCACGACTACTAGACCGGCTGCTCTCAGTTATGGGAGTCAAGGAAGTGATTCGTTCCATCACTTCTAGATCTTTCATGCTCCCTCGTCTTAATCGTTGAGATACCATAGGTGTGTCGACCTTGCGAAGAATGTCAGACAGAGCCAACTCTTCGTCACTAGTTTCTTTAGAACTCTCTTGGGGGGAAGAAGACCCAGTAGACGTGGGAGACAGATTGTTAACACTACAAAGATTTTCTTGGTCATCTGTGTACGACAAAACGTAGTTGGACACGGCCTCTATCAAATCTTCGCTTTCCTCACGAGAAAGAGATCGCTTAGAACGAGCGGTTTCAAATGAATTTGTTTCTGTCTCATTCACAATCGTAGCAGGTCGGATGCCGCTTTCATTACAGCATGGAGGGTTTGGAGGTTCGCTTGAAGATCGCGGCTTTTCTGTTTTTGCAAAGCTTCCAGTTGAGTGTCGTCGTTCGTCAGCCACGTGTTCCTCTTCGGGTTTCTCCGGAATATCTTGGAGGGTGTGTAGGAAGCGGACATCTGCAATACTATGTCTTCTTCGTCTGGGTCGGGACTTCAGATTGGCGTTGTTTCGAAGGAAGGTTCTTAAATCCATACCGCTACTGCAGCTTTCCACGCGATAAACGGTTGAACTCAGGAGTGTAAAGATACTCTGTTAAATGAAAAAAATTGAATACATTGAGAAAAGTTGTCATTCCTGTTATCACGAATAACAAAAGATTACAAACTGTGTGAATAAACATTTGTCTTTAAAAGGTGCTATTCACTTCGCTTTTCTCCCATAGGGTACAAGGAAGTTTTTGTCGCCAGTTTGAAGAGGAATTTTGGTCTAATATTCGACCAATATTTGTGATACGTTGTGAGCGAGAACACCAAATAACGAAACTCGGCATCTTGCTAATCCCTGCCCAACCTATCTTAATTAAGGACAACTTTAATTATCACATCCAATGCTGTGCAAATTTCTCTTGATGCCTGGAGAATTGCAAAGCTAACGAGTTTACCCCATTTTTGGATCGCCCATCGATTTTTTCAACTATTTCAAGAAGTATTTCTGTCAAGCTAGTATCCGTAGAAGGTACATTTCCTATGATTGCGTAAGATAAGGGATCGTTTGAGATTATCACTGTCAGTCGCGGTCTCACGTGCAGCTTAACTCGAATAACTTATGATTTTTGCACTCACGTGCACGCTGATACAACATTCACTCACATACTCTCCACCAGAGATCTTTCTCTTACTTTTCAGTAAACTACCAGGAGAGATAGTTGTTTCGAGCACAATGCCTTTGATTACCACTGTTCTATTCGCATATTTAAGGTAAGCTTTACACACTTTAGTCAAGGAGGGATTTTAGGTCGCTCGTTTAACATAATCTCAGACAATCTGACAGTCATTGTTTTAACCACACGAAAAGGAGTCTAAGTAAAGGTCAATAGTCCCACATATAAAAGGTACAACTCCACTACTCAATGTTTCAGAGTCAAATCGGTATCAAAACAAAGTTACCTAAACTAGTCAATTTAGTCACATAAATTGGTTAGTGTGTTGAAACTTTTATCAGAAATAGAAATTGAATGATGGTAAATGAGCGAATAAGTTCAACTGATGTCTGAAGAATAAGTTTGGTAACGATGAGAGCACCAAATTTTTTCTTAGAAAATACCGGTTTTTGAGGTACCAAATGTATTGGGTATTTCACCATTGACTTTTCAGTGGACTCGTAACTTTAATGTTTATAAAGTAAACTTCATAGATATCAATGATTTCGAGAAAAACCCCTAAGTACTAATGGTTATCGTTTTTCTTTTATCAAGAACAAAGAAGGTTGCTTCTTTTCATCCCATACATTCCTTTATAATGATTATCAGTTTCATACAATACCGTGGAGAATTTGGCCCCTAGAGATGTTTATGATGCTCACAATCGAAAAAAAAAAAATTATAAGCGCTCAGCTATCTGTAAAAGCTGGAACTCATGTTCACTCAACATTTAGAAAGAAGCAAGCCTGTTCCCCTAGAGATTCAAGGATGAAGTAGAACCAGCTTAAGCTTTGTTTGAGCTGGATAATACACCCTGTGTGCTTTTTTGTAAAGGTTCTTTGTAATTAATGAAAGACCAACAACAGCGTATTGCATTCCTAAATCTTAAAGTTGTTTATTTACATAATGCAGAAAGAACTCAATTTATCAAAACTAAGTATGTTCTCTCTGTTCAACACCGACCTAGCGTCAAAAAGAGAGGCGTTTCTCTAAAGAAATGAACGCTCTACTGCGTTTTACAGTTATTATGTAATCAATGATATAATGAAAGATTGCAAGAAAATTATATAACAGTTAACCTTTGATGTATATAAAAGATTTAATTCAATTTCTGCTTGTAGTACAATCTACTTTTCAATGCTACGTCAAGTAGAAAGAGTTAAATTTTGGTTTGTAGGATTTTTTTCACCAGATTTTACAAACCGATTCTCAATTTGCCAGTAAGCGGAAACATGGTGCTATTAAAAGGTGAAGGGATCGAGGGCATGTCACTGATCATCACGTACACAAGATCAGTCCGTTAGCTTTCGAGTCATTCGTTGATTTAGCAGAAAAATAGGCGAACGTGGTCATATTTCAGAGTCACTCAATACTAAAAGACGATTGGCATAGAAATATTTCACCAAACAGCTAAAGAACTGACTAACCTTTTCTTGCAAAAATTGTTCTAATGATATTAAAGTGCGGCAATTAACAAAGGCTGCAGCGAAAATGACGTGAAAATTTCTTGATAACTTTATTGATTTGGAGAGGCGAATCATACTTTGTGACAAATATGTGAAATTGACGTGTAGCGATGTCTGAATAGAGGCATTGACGGTTTTTTTTCTAAGTTGGAGAACAACAAGCTCGCCAGTCTCAACAAGTTCTTATGGACATACAATGATCGCTTTGAAGACCACAAAACTGCCAAAGGAACCTTTACTCTCTTGGACGAAATAAAATATTGGAATAGAATGGGAAAAAGCTGTTGTTGAGTACAGGAAGGTGAGATAGTCGGCGAAATAGAAGGAGACTGCTCCTATTTTCATCCCAAGTCAAAACACAACAAAACGTAATAATTATAAACAAAAACCGTATGTTGTCAGGTATTAAAAGAAATAAAAAGCAATGTAAAACAGTTGAACACAAAACCTTAAAAAATCGGTTGAGGCAAACAAAATGTCTTGTAAGGGAGTTCAAACGAATTTCTTGAAATATATGAAACTGTAAATTGGTTTTGTCTTGTAAATCATCCAGACTTATATAAATTACGAATTCAATTCATTCGACAAAGATCACACCAGTTTGTCAATACTCCATCTCACATTCAAAAGCAAACCTTCCAATATTGTTGTTGAATTTTCGAATGGTTGGCTCTGAAACTTCTTTTATTTCTCTGGCTCATATGAAATCAGATGTTCTCACTCGTCCTTCACGACAAGCGAGGAGAGCCAAGCTAGTATAAGCGTGAACCTTCAATTTTCAAAATCGCAACTTCAGTAGGAAGTGAAAGTAAATTCGCGCCAGGTCAATAAGCAATATCAGTCTTTTACACCATTTGCACGAAATTTAGCGTTCCTTTTGCGACATTGGAAAGTGAGAGAAAAAATAAATCGCGATCTCAAATATATCATTAATTTGTTACGGTCATTGTAAAACTCTCCATTGAAGCTTTTAAGGCCAAATACTTCGTTTGCGAAGCGATGGTACCAAATAACCATGTCATTTTACACAGTTCTGTTGCTAAACTACATTCTGACAGTGGTAATTACTGCTCTCTATCAATAATGGTTATCGATAGTTTATGTCTATCAAACAGTCGAAGCCTCATGTATTGGCAATATCGACTTGTAGTAAATTAAGCACTTACTTATGAAGTTCTCGTAGAAATCTTCTGGAATCTCTTCCTGGAAACATCCTTCAAGTAAACTGCACGCGCGAAGAGCCACTTTCGCGATTACATCTACGCCGCCAACGAATTATACTATTCCAATATTTAAACTTGTTAACCACAGCAGTACGCCATGTACCTATAGTTAAGCTAATTAATGGCTTCCGTGGACCCACATGGCCCGTGGGAATTGACTGTAAAAGCGTAATGCCTCGAGATTCATTAAGCATGGAATGAATGGTTTAAGTGAGTATAAAACGGAAGTTCATCGTTCACGTCAGCAGTCAAGGAGCCCTCTAGGATCGTGGAGGCTTCTTTGAACATGGCGTCTGTCGCTGGAAATATACATTTCAAGATACTTACAAAGAATTAGATGTGAAAGGAAAGGGTTTATCTTGCCGTGTTGTTTAGTAAGCACTGGAAACAACAAAAGAATTAGGAAACATTGATTGGTAATGGCATTCAATCAAACCAATTTGACAAAGTGATCAGGACGTGACCGGCGCCATTCAAAGAGGCCGATGCCAGTTTTAAGAGTGGTCATTTTAAATCACTACATTCATCGCGTCCGGAACTTAAAACGCAACTGAAAGTTAGATGGCAATTAAAATGAATTAAATTCTTCCACAATATCTATTTCACGCCATAATGAAAGAACTATGGAGTTAAGAGAGAAGTTTCATGTTGCTAGAACGGTTGGGAATATTATGGAAAAAAAGGATTCTCGACGGTGAAAAGAACGAATCAACTTGATTGATATTCGTGTTCCACGGCGACGATCTTTTCTCCAAAATGGAAACGTGTTACTCCGGTATCCAACAAAAAAAATCACAAGTATTAATTCAAGTTTTCACCTTTCGTCAAGTTTTTGTTTGTTTGTTTTTTTTTATAGTCTCTGCCGTAAAATGGCAACGGGAAAAACAGACTTTTACACTTTAAAATACATTTAAACTTACCTTAAAGGCGGATGCCAACTGCAAGCTTACCGATCTCATTTCAAATCTTTTCATTCTGAGTGGAAGAGGCTCCCGCCAACACGACACGTGTTCGTCGTATTATTGAAGTTCCGTAAGTCATCGTCCACCATTTGTTAAGTTTCATTACCTCTTGACCTGTTCTTTTTCTCTTGGGTCTCATTTTGAGCCCACTGACCGCCTGTCATTCTCATAGTCGACGTTCTATCTGTTTCTTGGCAGCTATTTTGTACAGTTTGATGTTTGTCTTCGGGGATGTATACTGCTGCAAAGAGTTGCGGCGGTTCCCATCCCTCCTCGATAAAGTTGTTTGTTCAGCGAAATAAGCTAAGATACCTTATGAGTCATACTTGACTCCATTTAACATCATAAAATAAGCTGAATTACACACGTAATTTGATTGGTTCTTACCTATGATCTATTGGAGAACAAACGCAGGGATGACGTCACCATTTAATATCACTTTGCTTCTTCATAATAATATATAAAACAAATAGACTCCATGTTGCCATGTGTCTGTTCAGCAACAGAGAACAGCAGACGTCAAAATGTGATAGGAACATCAGTGACATACTCAGCTACACCTCGTGTGCCACTTTCTAGTTCTTACCACGTTTTGACGTCATCTGCGATCTGTTACTGAACAGAAGTACGAAAACATGGAATATATTTGTTAATTCAAATACTTTTTAACTGTGAAACACGACATACTTGACAAATGTTGCGCTCCACGTGGTCTCACGTTTCCATTAAGAACATCAACTGTCAGGAATCTACTCCGATTCCCTTCCATGCGGTTCCTTCAACCAAGAGCAGGTATGGCGTGGTCTTCTTCAAAATCTGGTGATACCTTTAGACAGTTCACCTGGTCTGCACTGAAGATACCAGACTCCAGCTTAATATCACTCTCGCTTTCATCTCAAGTACATAGATTTAAAATTTTTGCGTATTTTTTTCAGCTAAATCTGTTCGAGGCTCTTACGGTCAATCTAGATCCATTTTCCCAATACGAGAAGTTTTTTTCATAGTTCTTCCGTTGCTCTCCTACCAAGTTTTTTGTTTTGTTTTGTTTTGTTTTTTTTCGTTTATCTTTTTTCAATCCTAATTCCAGTATTTTTGGGAGGAAAAGAGAAATTGGGGTTAATCATAAACCCAGAAGATGGGAAAATTTGTCACGCAATCTTCAGAGTTTCCCTGATCAGTCAGAGCTTCCATTTCATTAAATTAATAGATATAGCGGCCCCAGAAATTTGAATGTCTTTTCTTGTTCAATATCTTTGCCTTGACGATTTCAACTCAATAAAATCCAAACCACTTGAGCAGTAACTCGATTAAATCACTTAGGCATAAACTATCAGAGCTAAATACAAGCTGTATGATCACATGCAATAGGCCAACAGTCGCTTGCTGTGTACCTGTGCTGTCTATAAATTCACCAAAAACGAAGCGATTTTCGATGTGTTCGATTACCGGAAATTTTCTCATTCATTGGTGGGGAAGAAAGGCAAAAAAAGAGAAAATGTGCTTCGTTCAGGAAGAAATCGTGACCCCGATGGCGACCCCCGAGATACTCACAGACTATACCCACTGAAACCGATAAATATTAATTCTTCAGATATAGCTTCTGTCATTACTGGCTTGGGTTCTCTCTCTTGCTACGATTCTGCTAAAATTTGATTTCAAGCCAGGATCAAACTTTGCTTCATGTCTTTTGTAATTTTTAAATTAGATCCAACTCTTTTCTGATTGAATTTTTCCTCAGAGATTTGTCATCTTTAGCTTAATCTTACTTATTACTTGCATGAGTTTAGCGATAGTTCAGCCCATACCCAGTCCTTTTCAGTCGTTCCAACATATTTCCCGTCATTCCTTGCGAGATGAAGCACGTATTAACTCTGCTGACTCAGTGTTGTGTCAGTGAAGTTGATATGAGAGAAGAAAAACTTCAATAAAACTAAATTAATTCTCGAATGCACTCCTTTCTCTTGACCAAACATGACAGAGAGTCAGGAATGTGATGACCAGATGTTAATCGAGGACGACGGGCTTCGCTGTGTTGTCAAAATGGAACCTGAAACAAGGGAGATTTCAAAGAGAATCATCTTGTTAATAGCGTGCTTGAGTGCTCTGTGTGACTGCCTTCTGTTGTCTGTAATCGGTATTTATGGACAGTTTATTTTTTGGTTATTTTCTACCTCTTTCATCAACTCATTAACGCGTAATTTTGGCGAGCGTGCTTAGTATTTTGATTTTAACGACACTGGTAGGCTGGGGAGAGAAAGAAATTTGTACCGGGGGGGCGGTCGACGGTGAAAAATAAGGAGGGGGGGGGGGGGTGGGGAAGTGAAGATTACCCATGCCTGAAGTCATTGTTATTTTGCAGAACTCTGTTTGTGGGTGAACAAACATGTGTTTTTTTTTTGTCAGAAGACAGTGCTTCCGGTTTTTAATGTAACTCATTTTGATTGGTTTATTGCTAATTTCCAGAAATGCAGTGACGCGCAACTAATTATGGGGTGTTTTGCTTTTCAACAGTCTCTTCAGGCAGGCGTCTTCTTGCCTTTCCTCCACCCCCTACCCCTCCCCCTACTGTCCACTCTAACTCCAAACCAAACATGGCCAGTTGGATAAATGATTGGGAGCTTATAACATTGGCTGGTGCTAATAAGATGCCTGTACTGTAGGCTACTCATAATGCTGAGGAAGGGGTTTGTTCAGCTTACATGTTTCCTTACTTTCCTAATTTTTAATCTGGCCCTCAGAGGTGATTTACATGTAAATTCTCCTTGGGACTCCAATATGTTATTATGTTTAAGGTAATGAGAACAAGTAAGCTTATCATCTAGAGGATGTTCTCTTGATATGATCCCTAATTCCTCTGTCTTACTTAAAAGAAACTTATTTAGCTGTTCCCCAGAGAACACTTAAAGATCACAATAATTTTTTTAAAAAAATTTTTAGTTTTTTGTTAAGTTTAGCCAGTGAGCTACACTTCTGCAAACAGGAAGTTGTATCACACATTGTATTTCTCAAACAGTAAAAAACACATTGCTACTGGTATGAAAAGGTGCAGTTGGTTGTGTTAACAAAACTCCCTAATGAATTGTGTTTTAGTCACACTAACCAGGTAGGAGAAATAAAAAAAGGTTGTACAACTACCTGTTTGCAGAAGTGCAGCTTCTTGGCATAACTTAACAAAAAGTCATTTCTGTGACTCCCAAGAAATAAATTCATAGAAATGTTATCACATAAAGGAAAGGGCATGGTTTTGAATTTGCTTGGCTTTATGGGATTAGGGAGCCTTTCTTGATTTCTGCTGTGGCTTATGCCTTTGAAAAATAACTCGCACTGTTATGAGAAACTCTTTCAAATTTCACACTTTCCTGAGATTGCAAAAATATTTGGATTCATTAATTATGGTTATGTGTTTTGTCTTTCTGCAGTACCAATTATACCAGTATATTTGGATGTAACTGAAATACCAACAACTAGACCACAGATTGCTGCCAACTCAACAAGCAACAAAACATTTGCAACTGTTTCCCCACCAACAGTAATAGATTCATCCATGGATCTCAAAATTGGGGCTCTATTTGCATCCAAAGCCTTTGTTCAGGTTTGTTCTTTCGATTTTAATTGAGGTTGTAAAGAGTACCTTAGCACCTAATCCTTTATCCTGAATATCAACTCTTTTCTATGGTAAATGCTTTCCAAAATAGCAAATTTACTAAATTACAATATGGGATTAAACACAATATTTGTTTTAAATTGTAATGTTTCGGGGTAACCATTAAATAGTCTTCCACACTGTTGCAGCAGTGATCTCAAGATCTCATTGGTAATTCTCTCTACTGTCTGCTGTACAGTTCTTAAAATATTAGTTTGGGGAATGTTGGTATTGGATCAATTAATAATCTCTAATTGATATTTTTCTTTATTCTCATTACTTGTCTGCTTGACAAGGTTTCGATATTATAAGGAGAAATTCTGTCATGGTCACCCACGGGACATTAAGGGTTTAAAGACCCGTATCCATTAAACATGACAAATGCATTTTGAGAACCTCCCTAACATATTGCTGCAGAAAGCCATTCATCCTAAATATTATTTATTATGTGGTGTTATTCTGTGAGACCAAAAAATCAATTTTATTCAATTAGTAACAAGAATGTAAAGTGCAAATCTAAATTTATTTTCTGTCATCTTATGGATGCTATTGATTTAGCTGAATTTAGTAAATAAGATACCATAGATATTAAACAGCATGTTTTGCCAAGAAGATCATCTTGAACCATTCAATAATAATTTTACCTGTACTATCTTACAGATTATGGTGAATCCAGCAGCAGGGCATCTAACAGAAAGGTATAAGGAAACTGGTTAAAAAAATTAATTATGATTTTATTATTAAGTTTCATAATTTTCAATAATGTGATTACATCATGTAGGTATCACCTTACTCACACTTTTGAAAAAAAGTTCAGGTTTTCTCCAAAGCCTGATTGGATTCATTCAATTAACCTCTCAAATGAATTCACTTCTTTTATATGAAAGAAGGTTTCTTCATTCAGAGGTGATAACTGCTCTGTTTCAAAACTGAGAGGAAATTCTTGCACATAATGACTAAAAGTTGTGGAAATGTACACCCTTTGATTCAAATGGTTGATTATGAGTTACCTGTTATAATTTTAATTTGCAGAGTGGGTTACAGCATCCCATTATACAGTGGTTTTTGTGTCTTATTTGTATCAACTCTGGGTAATAACTTTATTCTGGAGTTTTACTTAGTACATGTACTGGCTCATGTGAGCAACCCATCAATATGAATATTAAATGCAAGCAGACATATATCCTAATACCCCATTCTCACTGGCAAAACATGTTTGGTGAAACTGGGTTTGGCTGATCAAGAATCAGAAACAGAGATCTGAAAAACTGAATTTTTCATAGGTTGCAATACATGTAGTCACTGAATTTTATTCCAATGTGTTCAATTTTAAGTCAATCAAGTTCAGTTTAAGGAGCTACTATGAAGAAAATAATTTTTATTTTACTGTGTTTGACAAAAGAGCCTTTAAAAAATGTGTTTACAAGCTTTGATCACTGTATTACACTATTAGCATTTCCTTTTTGTGTGTGGTTTTACATGTACGTGGTGTAAATTCAAATCATTTTGATTGCCAATTTAGTATTTGTCCACCACAGTTAAAGGTAAACTGTCTTATGATCTACTGTAAATGTCTGTTGCGATTTGATTCACTCATTTGGGTTGTGTAGATTTGTCAAAGTATGTATCCCTTGCCATAAGGATTTTTCTTTTGCATTTAGTGTATGGCTTTGCATCAGGATATTGGCTTCTCTTTGTAGCAAGGGCCATTCAGGGGTTAGGATCTTCTTTTGTTCTCATTTCTAGTAAGTGATTGTGTGCGTAAGTAATTTTATTGTCAACTAAAGCAGTAGACTGCACTTTCTATTGGTTTATTGGGCCAGGCTTTATAACCCATGCAGGAGCTTGGGAGAACGCTGTCTAGAAAAGTTTGTTTATCACAAGCAGAAGGCAGGGGATTTACAAACTCTCTTCATGTTGTCTCAACATTCCAAGTGGCTTATTACACTGGTGAACCCATGGAAAGTGCAATCTTGCTCTTCTGAAATACATTTACAACAAAAACCAATTACATTGTAATTTTCTAGGTTTTTGACTAATCCAGTCAGTTGGAGTATATCAGTTATTTCAGAAAAGTTGAAGAAGCTTTGCCAGTAGTAGAAGCAGTTTCCTCACCTTTTTTTGTTGTTTCTTTTTATTGGTCATCAGCACATAATTATTTTCTGATGACTGTGAGTGTTAAAAATTGAAACTGAAAAGTATGTTCCACCTGCTAAAAATGGATATCTGTACAGTACTTTGGCATTATAAAAATAACTAAGAACCTTAATGACAAAGGAAGAGTTTTGTATGAAACTAGTAGGGCTTATCTATGGTTATGAAGCTGTTTGCTTGTCTAAATTTTTGTTTGTTTGACTGATATTTTAAGGTTTAGCAATGCTTGCAGCTGCCCACCCTGATGATAATGAACGTGGGACAGCAATAGGTATAGCAATGGGAGTGACAGGCCTTGGTGTTCTAGGTATGTATTAGTGAACTAGTAAAGCTATCAATTATGTTCTTAAAGATAGTTTCCCTGAAGTTTTCTAAATCATTTCTCTATTAGAGGAATGCTGGTGGACTGTGATGATTTGGGCTTCTTTAATTTTTCTCTCCAGTGTGACAGATTCTTATAAATTAGATGCTTACTCATCTGGTAAACGGTGGTCATGTTGCCATGGTATTATGTAGTAACAGTGTGATCATAGCTAAGCAGTGCACATTGATACAACAACATATTTTTAACTGATATGGGGGATCCTACAAATCTGTCTAAAGCATAAGGAAATATATTAGTACGGCAGTAACCCTTTTACTCCCAAGATTTGATTGACCAAACATTAAATTCTAGGGAACTTGGTGAGTGCTAATAGTCCTAGCTCTTCTTTGGTTTTATGACTGAAAATGTTCTCTTCACATTTGTAGCCGGGCCCCCCTTCGGAGGATTGTTTTACAGTATTGGAGGCAAGGGCCTTCCATTCTTTATACTTGCTGGTTTCATTTTTTTAACATTTGGTTAGTATAATTATGTTTTTATTGATGGTTCCCATCATTTTTTAAATTGTCTTATTATGAACACAACCTAGTTCTGGGAGGGTCACTTTTATAACTTCCCCCTTGTGACAGGTAACCCTTAAATATGAGGAAATTGTTACTCCAAGGTTACAATTTGTGCTAAACAAAATCAAGGCAGTATATAATCACTAAATATCTTATCTATTTGGAAAATTGATATTAGAGTTTGAGACTATTAATGTAAAGGTTGTTTGTATCACTAATAGGTTAGTAAACTTACATTCTGATATAGAAATTTTCTATACTGCATTTTGAATTATCAGCTTAATAGATTATTTACTTATTGATGAAATATGTGTTGTTTGGCTAGGTGTGGGTGGTTAAAGCAGAAGAAATGTTTAGTCTTATCATAATTCAATTTTCATTTGTCACTGTGAGACATATTCTAATTAAATTGAGTATTTTTTATATAGTAAGCAGTACTCTTGAATTTAATCCCAGAAAAAAATAATTTTAAAAAATTAGCAGAGTGGTCTATAAACATCCAATGTTTAGTTCACTTTAATTATTTTCTTTCCTTAGTATTGGTGGCTATTAGTCGGAAGCCAGTTATGCCAAAAGATGTAAGTTATGATGAAATTCATCATTCATGCTGAAGTATTCTTGATAAGGCTTAGTATCTTTAACTACGCATTGAACAGAGCCTGATATAGTTAAATGGTTCTTGGAAATGGATGCTTATGAGGAATATTCAGGACAAAAAAGTAGGGGTTACATTAATCTAATGTATGTGAATGATACCCAAATCTTTAAAAAAAGACTAAGTGATGTGAACTTTTGTTTTATTGTTTGACAAACTCAGTAAAATCCAAAGGACTTCGACCTTTTGATAAATTGGATATTGTAGATTTTTACAAATTATGGAAAAAGCAAAAAAAAAAATTTTTCTAAATTGAAACTGATTAAAAAAACAATATCAATAACATTATTTTCAATGATAGCTGACAAAGCTGTCTTTAACCATGTTTGGAAGTTTCTTAGTGCTGATGTTTCAACAATTATGACAAGTAAATCTTCCTCTCCTGAAACCAAATGCTGAAGTTATTTTACAACAGTAAAAATTTGATTTGAAGTAGATGTTTATTTGTAGACAGTAAAACCCACCCTCAAGGACTTGTTGTCAGATCCTTACATTCTGATTGCCAGTGGTAAGTTGGGTTAAGGAAATGTGTTACTTGTAGTTTGAAGGAGGCCAGCAGGGATTTTTTTTCAAAACTGAGCCTCTGATTGATTAAGAAAACTTCAAAATGCTAGCATCAAGTTTTCACCTCTCCTCACCTACAGTTTTAATTACAACAATCACCATTAAGTTTTGAAATGTGTGACTCACAACACTGAAGTTTAGAATGCATGGGGATAAAGAAATAATGGTAGTTTTATTTTCACTAACTGGCCACAAGAGTTATAAAATAATCTTTTTCTTATTCTATGAGATCTGGAAGCAGTATATCAGTAGCACATAAGTTTGACAGTTTATGTGTCTGCCAAGCAAAGTTTTCTTTCCTCAAATTGTACCAAATGACTCTCTTCATCATATGGACTGGTACATCATTTTGCCAGACTGAGTACTCTTTGCATGTTTTAAAGTATGCTCCCAAAATTCTGAATTGTGTGATTCAGAAAGCAGAGTGTGAGAAGCATACCAGTAGTTTTACTATCACTAACCAGCTGAAAAAGAGTTACCAATCTGTCAGTGACTAATTTTATTCAATGGAATGTGACAGCAGGACATTAAACCTAATACCCCTAAGAGTGAATAGCATCTAATATCTACTTACAGTATCACCACCTAATCCAATATTAAGGTCATGAGAGTAAAGGAAATGGTTGCCAACTAGAGAAGCTCTGGATTATGAAGCAAATTCTCCTCACCAGTACCTTAGGAAATGTATAGGGAACAGTATGAAGAATTTGCATACTGATGTTAGGGTGGGAAGGGATAAAGCACAAAAATTAGTTGTAGACATTTTACATCACTCTACCTTTTAACTGTTGAAGAGTATGCACCCAATTTCTGGATATCAAACTGAGGAACCAAATTGTTTGATCTTAATGACCATTATGTCAAATTTCCCAATTTTAAATATGTAAGATGTTCTTGAGAATTTTTCTGGTCATCTTGAGTAAGGAGAAACATAATGTGATTATGACGTGTTATCTGTTGGTAGGTGCTGTATGTTTCTGCAACATGTCATTTGCTCTGCTAGAACCGACATTACCAATATGGCTGTTAGAAACTATGGATGCCAAGAAATGGCAGATAGGTAAGGAAATGAAGTTACAGTTAACCCCTTCCCTTGCTTGGGGGTGGGGCATATAAATTTCTAGGACCTGCAAATAAGGGGGCTAAAGGAGATGAAGGCTTTTTAGAGATGGGGACTCCTTATTGAGGGAATTTTACCAAGTGCCAAAGTGTGAGACAGTATTCTCCTTCTGCACCGTTACCCAGGTTTTACAAATAACTAGTGCCCATCTTTGGTTTATGTGATCAGAAAAGAAAGTGTGCTATTAAATTTAACAGGTGTAAATTAAGAAGTCTGTTGGAAGAGGGATAAAAGATAGCCCAATATGTCTGAACCTGTGTAGCCCAGCTGCTTTTCTTACTGACTGTCCTTTTATAGCTTGACTTCATCTGCTTGACTTTTTTTTTTCTTTGAATAACACTGCCGAACAGAAGAGTTTTTCCATTGTTGCAAGTAAACTTCATTTAAACTGCGGCCAAGAAAAGGAAGTTTATGGTTTCACATTTTTTTTCCTTGAAAGTTTGCCATTATAACCCTTTATTTCATATACAAGAGCCAGCTCTCCTTAGCTTGGTCCAAAATTTTGTAATATTTGCCACAGGGAATGAATGGAAGTTATGTGTAATCAATCTGAAAATGATCTGTTAAAAAAATTTATGGTTTTTCATTTTACAGGTCTTATTTTCCTGCCCTCTACTGGAGCATACCTTATAGCAACACCACTCTTAGGAAAACTTGGCAATATCATCGGCAGGTCTGTAGGAGTGATGCTATATGTTTTAGATTGCTTTTGTCATAACTTGATTTCAGAAAAAGTTGTTAGGGAGATCAGACTGCTGACTTATAATGGTAATAGGACCCAGTGGAGTCCAATTTGGTCCGTAATCGTAGCAGTGATTAACAAAATTTGATGACAGCTAAGCGGGAGTCTGATTTTTCAATAATGAGTATGACAGAAAGTCCTTTTAGCAATCAATCATAATTGTTACAATTTCCAAAAACAACAAATACTTTTAGGACAAATATGTGCAGTGGAGACAATGTCTAAGTAAAAAATTCCTCAACTTTGGAAATTCTACAATTTTTTTAGGATAAGTGCTTGTTGTTATGGTTATTACTATCAATTCTGTGATTGGAGGATTTGACTGACAGGACTGTCAGCCAACTGTCCGATTACGCTGTCGGATTACAACTCTAGAGAATGATTAGTGAACAATAAAGCAGCTAATGCACCAATCACATTTGAGGAAATTGTAATGGTTATGGTTAATAAATGAACGAGAGTGATATTGGCAGTAATGAACACTACTTAAGCAGCAGTGAACATAAAGCTTCGGGTTCATAGTGAACCAGTTAAATGCCCAGCTTCCAGTTGGTAGAGCACTACACCGGTATCGCAGAGGTCGTGGGTTCAAATCCCGAATTTTTTTTCAGGCTTTATTTACTGCTTAAGTAGAGTTTATTACTGTAAAGATCACCCTCATTCATTTAACATATTTTATTCTGGACGATCACTTGGGTTAAAATGGAAAAATTGTGAGCAGCGGAAAGACAAGTGTTATCCTAACTCAGGAGTGAACTTCTTCTATTTTGTCTATTTTAGGTGGCTTGCATCTCTGATTGGACTTGTGTTGGTTGCTGTTAGTTTATTTGTGGTGAGTATTTCCTTTCCAATTTAATTCAAAGCTTCAAAGTTACCAAGGCATGTTACTATCGCATTTAGCAGCCTGAGCCTTTTTCTGTACTACTTTCAGATGATCCGTACTTTCTGGTTTCTAAATGGTGTACTGAGTATAGGCTTTTCGAATTAAGTAAAGACAAACGTGAGAAGAATCTCACTGAAAAGTGGATATGGCAGGCACAACCTAGCCTTTTTTTTGCCGATCGTGTGGAGTCTTCATCCGAAAAATTCCTGCAGGGAAAAAATCCTGCAAAATAAATCACCACAAAACCTTTACCTCCACCTGCAAACTAGGCAGGGGGTTTTTAGAGAAGTTTTTTGTTCAATTTGTTGTCGGTGTTATTACCCTCTAAGATTGTTAAGCTGGAATTGAGTGATATTTATCTGATGGTTAACGAGCAAGCTCTTTCGCAGGGTGATTCATTCTCTCCTCTCTCCCGTGAGGAGAGTCAGAAGGAAACTCAGAAGCATATAACTCAGAATAGGTTATATACTTCTGGTGGTATAGAGCGTGTTGTAAATCATCAAGTGAAGAAAGGTGATGTGCTGTGCTTCGTTCTTTTTTACTTGTTCATCTTCTTGAACAGAAAGATCGCCAGCAAGTTGCAAGTAGCAGAAATTTCGGTTATTACGACCCGTACACTTTTGTTTCTGCAGAAATCAAAATATCGAACATCCGCTTGATAGCACTCACAAAAGCTTTCGTGCTTCACGATAGTATTGATAAGCGGCGGTTTCCTGTTTCATGGATCGTCGCTTGCGAGACTCCACAATGTCCTGTAGAGTGCCAACACCTTCATTGAGATTAATCATTTCATCAAGGAATTTCCTTAAGTGAGGGCAGATTTTCCTTGTCACGGAATGGACAGTTATTAAGATAAACACATCATTGATGCTTTCCCATCAGCTGTTCTGTATTTTTACACATTGTTCACAGGTTCCGGTTGCGAGGACCCTGGCTGTTCTTGTAGCCCCGCTGTTTGCCCTGGGCTTTTGTATCGGTGAGTTAAGGCCGGATGTGATTCAGTTCATTTTTCACCTTTTATGTTTTCCATGCGCCTTTTCTCATAAGGGAGTTTGTGCGGAAGTTCAAACACGGCAGGTGGTAATATTAGGGACTTCGAAAAAAACACATCTTGCCCTAAAGATATCAAGTTTTACTTCCGAAAGAGAGGGAAACATATGTTTTTTCAGTGCGGTTTGTTTTCAGTCATTAGCAACTTCAATTTTCTTTAAAATTTTTCCCGACATGATACAAATTTAGATAAGGACGTAGAGCAATTTAAAGGTGGACCTACCAGTGAGAGGATCTGTTCTCGATCAATATTCCATCGTGGGTTATTTTTGTACTCAGTTAAACTAATCGCTGTTTTCATTATAGATTTTTATCGCCTTGTGAGCACGAGATATGATATTTTGTCATTAGTTACCATCGTGAAGGGTAATTTAATGGAGGTTAAGTGTGCAGTGAAGTGATTCAAGAGGAACCCGCTGTGATGTGATTCGACCATGGCACGCAACTTTGTGGAGAAGCGGAGAAAACATTAAACTTTCAGTCTTAATAAGGGCAGACTTTTTCGTAACCAAGCACTATTTTATGCAGTGGATTGTAATGGGGTTGCTTCAGTTAGAACCTTCCACTGTGGAGAAGGATTTTTTGCTTAATTTTTGTTGTGATGGGGTTGGCTCAGTGGGTTTCGTGGGTGTCTATTACTAAGTTGTGACACGCAACTAAATCATTCATGACAGTGTATTTCAATTCAACAAAATGAATACTCTCAAGACTATTTAAGATAATTACTGAAGTCAAAGTTGTTATTTCAAGATGTCATAATTTGTGAGTGTGCGTGTAATTGTGTGTGTCAAGCAGAGTAACTTAACAAAGGAGTCTAAACAAAGTATATTATTAGTGTCGTGGCAATGGATGTGAGTTAAGAGAACCGCGGTGGCATCGCCTGGGGCTGGTGCCTTTTAATAGCTTAATTACTGAATAGACAGTACTCTTTTGTAATGTAAACGAAACCTCTTATTACTTGATGGTGTGTAGGAATGGTTGATGCGTCCATGGCTGCCACCTTGGCCTACCTTGTGGACATCAGGTAAGTGTTAATAGGATCGTTAATGATTTCATCTCCTTGTTTTTGTGTGACTGCAAGTAGATACACCGAGAGGGCGATACACTTAAGACTTAGAAGGTCAACTCCTAACGTCTTCCCTCCCGTCCCCCCTACCGCTTTCCCTCCCCTACCCCCTAGCGTTTCCCGCCCCTAATCCCTCCCCCTTCCCTGTAACGCATTCGTGTGCCCCCAAAAAACGAATGAAGAGTATTTCTAAGACATGGCTTTCTTCATGCCTTGGAGAAGTTACTGTGATTTGTTTTCAAACGTTGGTTGTTGAAATGTTTTTTTTCTTTTATTGTCTTGAGCCGTTTGGCCCATGTTTGCAAATTGATGTGCTTTCTTTAGCTACTTACATGATTACTGATACCCTGAGCCATATTTGAGCGACATTTTTAAATCAGGTGCTGATGTAAAGGGCACCATTTTAACCATAAGATAACCTTAACCTCTGTTTCCCCTGACCACATTTGCTAAAGCACCTTTACATTGCCTCTTTAAAGTTACCCACCCGAGATTACTTGCCATTAGGCGATAACTGTACTTTGTGCATACTGAGCGTTTTTTCGGAATGAATTCTAAACCCAGATTTAAATTTTTGTACTTTTATTCCTGAAACTGAACGTCTGTAAACGACTTTTGGTACAGTTCTGTTTTCACTATCACTAAAGACATTGAGTTTTTACCTTAATCAGCAGTGCTATTTTCTCCCCTTCAGACACGCCTCTGTATATGGCGCTGTATTTGCTATTGAAGATTTTGCGGCCTCAGTCGGTTTCGCCTTTGGTATGTGTGTTTAGTTCCTTGCTAAACCAATAAACATGCACTAACATATTGAATGCACTTTTCATCGTCCTGAAGTCCAGGATGATTCTTGTCTCGTATACGAATCTATATATAATTGAAATTTAAGAAGGAGGAAATCCTAAATGATTTTTACCTGTTTTTCATGTGCACTGTTTCCGATTGGCCGTACATCAGGGTTTCAAAAAAATTTGCCATAAGCGGTTGTCGATGTTGTAATGGGCGGTTGTATTCAGGAAAGGGGTCGTAAGACGAAAGCAAAACACAAGAACTTGCTAGTACGCTGAACAGATGGCAGTGAGATGTCATCTAGGCGACGGCAGACCGCCGGTAGTTGGCTTTTGTTGAATCGTCTGCCCTGCATTGACTTTTTTTTACGAGCTTTAACATTTGCATTTGCGTTAGTTCACTGAACGCTGGACAAGTTCGCGTTAGGTTTCGTAAAAGTGTTATCCGTGAAACTTTTTCCTCTTTAGTCAGTTAAGGGTAAGCGTGAGTTGTTTTAACATGTATGTGTTTCATAAAAATGTTATCTATTTTCACTAATGACCTTGAAGTAATCGAAATGTAATTTGATTTTTAGGACCACTTCTTGGAGGAGTAATTGTATCTGAAGGAAGTTTTCAATGGTAGGTAGCTTTTTCAGTTTTAGTGGCGAAATTCTACCGTATTATGTGATCGTAAAAAGCTTAGTTTCCGGTGACTGGGGTTCTGAAAACCACGAATACCTGAACATCATGAACTGCTACCTCCCTCTTTATGAGGACTAAAGAAATAAAGTTAAATGCGAAAAGAAAAAATTATTTTTGCTTTCCTTTTTAAGGCTCCTCACTTACAAAGTCAGACTATTTTCGCTAAACATTATCAGGGAGCCTTACAATTTTCGTTTCTCCGACAGTTCCGAGACGGGTTGTTCACACAATATTCGGGAAACGACTTAAGGTTTCTAAATTCTATGCCAAACTAAACGAAAGCTGTCAATTCTTGTACTAAACCAGTGAGTTAAATTGGGATGTATAGCCAACTGCCCATAACCTACATACTACCTGTTCAAAAAATTATTTATCCCCGAAAAAGTTGACGCTATTTCGTCCTCTGCATCGCGGCTGTTTCTTGTTTCTTGTTTCCCGTTTACTCTGAACCGTGGGCACTGAAATTTTCCAGCGAACTTTGCATTCGCTGCTTCAGGGTCAGACCAAAGCGAAGATGACTGCTTTTACTACCGTTTCGGTGAATGACATGGAAATGAAAAAAGGTAGAGCCCAGGATATATTACACAGAAATACCTCGATTAGTTTATGTTTAGTGTGTCTCTTTTATCGCTTGTTCTTTCAGGCTTCTGCGTGGATTAGCGATTCTGAATCTTTTCTTTGCTCCACTCCTTGTGTTTTTGAGAAACCCACCAGCCAAACATCAATTATTGCAGAATGAGGACACAGAAGGTAGAATTGACAGACATGTTACAATTGTGGTATTTATTGTATCCCAGATGTCGTTTGAAATAACTCGGCAGCGTCTTCCTTGTGGCGTTTTAAGGTATTTTGAGCCGATCATAGAAAATCTCCCTTACCTTGAACGAAGCCTTGAAACAAAAACAAAAAAATGTAACGGAAGAGGCATATCCAAGGATGGTTCAGGATAAAAAAAAAAGGTTAGTACGGATTGCAAATTTTGACTTTTCGAAAATTTTGGCTAATTTGGACCCTAGTCCTTTGAAATCCATGGCCAGAAAACTTTCTGTAGCCATTTGTAGATATTACTCGTTAATTTTCAACTACCAGTTTATAAAGAAGATGTTACTGACTAATTCTGAACTGAGTTACGGAAACTTCTCATGGTTTTTCTTTATTATCATAATTAAAACAGATGTTTAAACACATTACGGATTTAGCAGTCTTTAAGAATTAGACCTTATATCATAATTTACAACGATCATTGGTGGCTAATGGGCTTAACATTTCCAATATCCTTTTTGGATCGTTGCCAACATGATTTACCTTGTTCAGGATAATTTAGTTAACCCAAGTTCAAAATCTGTTCAGTTTTACACTATAGGATGGTTTCGGTTTCAGGTATTGATGAACAAATGGAGCCAGCAGAAATACGAGAGAGCTGTGAATGAGCGTGTGGAGAGATTTGCCAGAAGGTAAGGTTCAGTAGTAGCTTACCTAAAAGTTCCAAATTTTGTTGCGGTTAAACTAATTATAGCCGTCTCTTCTGCTGAAGTGATCTTAGCGTTTTCTTTGCAAAAAATAGAAATCTTTTGAAGTACGGTTCAAGTGTTAGTTAGTGCTTCTGCTGTAAGTTGGGAGAAAGTTCGGGTTGCGCAACACTCGAAAGTCGAATCAGTGAATGAGCACTGATGTGCTATATTTATTTTCCTTCTGCAAGGCTTTCTTTGCTGTTATTTTTAAACCAGTACAAAGGACTTTGGACTTTCCGGGTGCTGAAGTTCAGCGACACGTAGCGGGAGAACAAGTCAACAATTCATCCTGACAAATACATCTTCGAGATCATTTCAGACTATTAATGGCTTTAATTATAAGCGTAACAGATATTATAAACGTCTAATATGCTATCTGCCCCCTTCCTGTTGATCTCAATTTGTTTTCGTGCCTGGTGCTGACTGAGGGGGCAACACGTATCGGAAATTTAGAACGTAATCCATGTAAACAAGGGGAACTAAATTTCCGTGTGAAATTGATCACTGCAGTGTTTTTGAGTTGTTGATATTTGTGATGGCGGTTGATCCAAAGGTAGAACGTTAATTGTTGTTCACGAGCTAAGTGGCCTGTGAGAGAGTACCTCGGTTTGGTACTTCTCTTCCTTTTCCCCCCTCCCCCTCCCCCCTGATGAGATGCTGGTCCACATTAGACCTTTAGCCCATCATCCATATCCCTCAAAGTTTGCGGATCTTCTGGTTGGAGTGAGGCTCTTTAAGATAAAAGGGTCTTACCTAAAAACACGACGCAATCACCTCGGCCAAGATTCTAACATGAATTTTTTTTCTCCGGAATCAACCACGTTGACCATTTTTCCCTTCATTAGTCACTCACCCTTTCACCAATTTAGATATTTGAAGACGTAATCCAGTATATGACAATGACAACCCCCTCCCTCACCCCATCCTTTGCCTTAGATACTGTGATGACTATTTTTTCTCTTGTGTAGAAACCGAGATTGTTCATTCCTACAGAAGAATTGAAAGCCTTATTTACATCGGTGTTCACTTACTTGCAGGAAAAAAATCCGAGAACAAGAACGGGGAAAAGACAGAACTGGCAGCTGGTGCTGTTCCAGCGTTTTAGTCTGGCTCAGATGAAATCTGAGTCGTATTTTTATCAGGAGATTTCTTTCGGTCTGAAGTGGAATTGGATTCGTTCCTTCGCCACGCTTAAGCTGGACATTTGAAAAATATTAAGAAATTTATTTAAATGGTGTTTTTGAGCAAAGAACACTTAAACTAAACGTTCAAAACAATTATCTTAGCTTTTTTAATTATTTTTACTTCAAAACGTAAATTTATTAAACAACAAATTTGAATAATGAAAGGCTTAAAATTGATGTTTGGTTGTTTGCCAGATGCTTGATGGGATGTCGGTTTCTGCTCTACACCAAGCACAACCGAAAGATATTTTTGTTGTCAAGAGGGGATCGATCGTCTGCGGTCGATTGGCCGAAGGCGTTGAAAAAAATTGCACTAATGTGTTTAGAGGATGTCGCGCCCTTCCTTGAAAAGAATCGTTATCAGACCCCCAAATCCGGTGCGAAAGGCCACGGAAACGGGAAAAAACGAAGACAAACTACAGAATCTGCCAAATTAATTCCGTCATTATAGCCACTTCTTAAAGGTCTTTGATGTTGCCTTCATTGCACCTTTTGTAGATTCCAAACAGAATTCTAGATTCATGTTGTCGATGAACGCCAATTTTTCTCCACCTACCCCTTAACATTTCTCAGATCTATAGGACCTTGTTGGCTCTGATGTAGCATACTTCATTCATCTGTTACCTGAGACGTTGATTTCACTTCGAGTCCCACTTGAACATTTGTGGCGGACGTCCGCATGAAAAAAAAAAGTGGTCTCAAAATCTTTATTCCTGCTTGAAATCTGAACGCTAGTTAAGATCTTAAAGATCAGTAAATCTGTATCATTTTAATAGGTTTTTAGGAATTTTTCTTGGGAAAATTCACTTTGAATGACAGGGAAACCTTTAGTCACATTACGCAAGAGGCAATGATGTTTGTGAGCGCATGTAAATAGTGAACTTGTGTTTACATTCTTCTGAATCCAACTCTCGAGTTTGCGAGATCAAATGCAAACATGGAGTCTGCCAAGGGCACAAATGAACCCCGCGGAGAACAAAATTCACGATACCCGCTTCAAAACGAGGATCACTAGATCTACTCAACAATTTATATATTTAAAATTGTTCTTGATAACATTTAAGGGGATTGATTTGGCACAGTTCAAAGGACGATACGTCATCAGTCATTGGCACTCTTAAAATAGCGCCAATTTTGACAACTTTCTTTTTGTGTTTGACGCTTAAGGTGAGCAGATGTTAATCACAAATCACAAACCTGTGATCGCAAGGGGTGGGTTATCTCTGTTTATTTAGTGTCGCAAACAGTTGTATAATGGACGTGATTAGAAACCCTACCACAAAAGAAGGATTTGGATTTCTCGCACAAACTAAGTAATTTGGTGACTTTGATTGAGAACTCGTTAGAATTGTGATGGCTTCCCTTTTCGCTGAGTAGCAAAAGTTTTGTAGTTTTTTACAGAGAGATTAAAACCTGTAACTTAAAAGGTTGGTTTAGGTCTGGAGAACGATTCTTATCAGTTTTGATTTCCAAATCTAGTCACGTCTCAGGCCTTAGGTCAGTTTGTCAATTATGTCCCTTAGATAAGTTCAGTCTGTTCTCAGTTTCTCTCTGATGGGTGTGAAATTAATTATACAGTCCTTACCCGATGTGTTTGATTTCTTGAGGAATGTAAATATTTCGTAACCGTTTGATGTTGTCCAACTCTCACTAAACACGAATTAAGGGACTGAAGATTCCAGTGAACAATACTTTAGATCAACCTGTCAATTTGTTAGGATCATGTTGCTCATTTTTTGCATATTAAAGAGGTAACGATTTCTAGTATTTTAGCATAATTGCTATTCAAATAGACGATATATTTTTATCACGCTTAGAACAAGACTTCCTTAAAATTCTGCATTTTTTAACGATAAACGCAGATGTTGATGACAAATCGCTGTTTTAACTCGACCTGTACCGTGAATTTTGAAATCGCTGGAAAAAATTTTTCGAAAATGCGAGAATACTCCACGGTTGTTGCTTCTCAATTTTCCTTTCTGGAAGCCGGAGGAGCAGGAGTTGGAGTTGGTGGTGGTGGTGGTGGTGATGATGGGGGAGGGGAGGGGGGCTCGGATGTGTTTAACAAACAGCATGAGCACAGATCTCGCATATATCTTGTCAAAAAGAATTCGATGTGATGATTTTTATACTATTAACAGCAATCAATACAACTTTCTGTCATTTTTTTGTGCTTACTTAAAAATCAGCATCTGCATATGGCACCTAGGAGTGACAATGATCTGTGGTGTGACTGATCACTATTTGAAGGAAACTCGTGCGTTCTCCTAAAAAATGTTCTGGGTTTCCGGATGGTATGTCATTTAATATGCACAAAACAATCTCACTAATAAAGTTATGTTATAAGTGAACTACCAACGTGTGAGTAACTAACTTAAGTTCGAGGTTTCGAGAGGACAAATAAAGATTTAAAGGAACTCAAAATTTGGAGATGTTTTGGCGATATTTTCTCACTTGTCACAGGTGATTTTCTGTAAGTTATGGTGATATAATAATACAAATAAGCCGGGCTTCTGATCACTGATCAAATCGTTTCTGTTTTGGGGGGATTCCCGTAATAAAGTTGTTTTCATTATTTTCACTTCATGCGGTGTCGTGTTTTGAATTGCTTTCCAGTCAGAAACCGCATTTAGCCACGATTAAACCCGTTTACAATATCGCCAGGTGTTTTGGGCCTGTAAAATCCAAGGTGTATCAAAAGAAAATGGTTAGCCAAAAATACAACCGCTTCATGCGGTGATAATAACCTTCGTGAAGTCACGCTCGCATTGGACATCAGCAAAAGTTTCCAGGGAACAATAAAACAATATTTTCAAGTTTTGAGGAAGATCGTGGAACGAAGCGCATCGTAAAGAAAGTTCTTTAGTGTGAAAGGAACAGAATTAGGTTGATCAGAAACACTACACGACCCTCATCAATTATCGCGTCTAGTCCGTGTCCATTGTTCACCTCTGACAGCTCACTTGTCAAATTTGGCGCGAGATTACAGACGCCTATACTCTGGTTTCGCGTCTCTGAAGCTTTTCATCTCGAAAAACCCTTACATTTTCAAGATCAAAAATCCATACGCAAAATATCGAAACATTAACACACAGGGACTAATTAAATCTTTCTTCCCTTTTGTGACTCTCCCTAACACTGAAAAATTGAAAGGAAACCGGTTTTTCCGCCCCGGCGAGCCGCGTGCCGCTGCCACACACTAGAATAATACAGCGTGCGAGTGACTAAACGGGACACTCTTGCAAGTTTCGAAATCGAGTCGGCAGCACGTTTTCTTTTCACCAAATACTCAATAACATGGTGAAACAGAGACCACAATTAACAAGATTTGCATTACAATCGCGGATGTGCTTGCGGCTTTCACAGTCTAAGCGTGTATCAATTGTTCTTCTCTGTAATTGCATTTCTGTTTACGAGCTTGATTACTGGTAATTTCCTCTTTATCAAAGGCTTTTGACAGTCGGTGACTTTCTGAATTAATGTTAGCTGTGATTTGCATACTGCGAGCGTTGTCTGTACAATGAAAATCTCAAGTAGTCCTTTGTCGTAATTTTGCTTTGCTCGGTATGATTCACAGCAGTTTATAAAGAAAGAGGCAAAACGGACCTCTAGGATTATTAATTACTTTCTAGTTCCATCGAATACGCTTATTTCTTCGCCACTACTCGGTCACAAATGCGGTGCAAAAATTTCCTGAAAAGTAAACTCGTTTTGAAAGGCCAGCTGCTCTTCTAAGTGACGCAAACAAAGACAACAAAGAGATTTGAGCATGGTTTCAAAAGAAACCTTTCGGTGGTCTTCAAAGGATACGTACCCGTTTGAGAATAGAGCATCAAAATCAAAAGAACCCCTGTGAATGTCTTTGATTCCTGCCCAATCACTGCACGCTTGATTGTTGGTGCAAAAATATAAACGGCTGTGCTTTTTACTCGGCGAGTCGAAAGCACATGGTTTGTTTACTTTGACCTCCAAAAAAATTCCGCTTACACTGAACCATGATAGCGCCATATTATCGCTTTTTCTAAGTCATACCGCTTTCCTTCTGATAAATTACGATCGATCTCGATTGAAATCACTTTAGAAGACTCCAGAGAAGTGTTAATTCACTAAAAATACAGCAAATTCATCAGAGCAGTAAAGCAGAAAGCGCGCCAAACACACGGAACCTTAGTGACTGAGGAATTTGAAAGCAAGGTCATTTTACACGCACACCGAGCAACATAACACATACTCATGAGTAGAAATTGCAAAACGAGGTTTTTATCTTCCTTCTCCTTTCAATAAGCCATACAAAATTTCTCCTCTGATATTAGAATTACGTTTAATATATATAAATACAAATCGTACTCAAAACTTTCTAATGTTAGAATAACGAATGTCGGTTTTAATATTAAAAAACATTTCGTAAACCTTGATTTTTTTCATTTCATCATTTGCAGCCATTATTTAGAACACAGCTGTTAAAAATTAGAATAAAATTCATTCAAAAATCCACCTCTACAACAGGGTAGTATTAAACCTACTTTCAAAGTAGTAAATTTCTACATCGTAAATATCGAATTATTGAAAAACCTCCCTTAGAGAATTGGGAATTATAAAAGCCATTATTAATCATAATTTCTCCATTTCTGAGCCAAATTCATAATCAACACTTTCTTATTAAAATACTTTACACTTACAGGGTGAAAATTCAATATTGGGTTCTGCTACAATTCGAAAATTTTACATAGATACATATTCGATAAGTTAACCTCTAACTAAGAAAGTTGAACCTCTTTAAAGGGAAATACTGTGATTTCCGCAACATTTACACAACATCCTCTATGGGAAGTAAATACTAAAATTTAACAGTGATCTCCATGAAAATTTCTTCCTAAATGCAGATCGCTTCATAATACTTAACGCAACATGGGAAGCCTTATTCGCAAAGAATTTGGAGTCGAAAGCGAAAGAAAATGAATATCATCAATACGAACACACCTTAGATGAAAAGAGCCTTAATGATACGAATGGCAGCAATCTGCACCGTCAATTGTGGGTTTTATTATATAAACGGAATAATAATTTAGTTCGCCGCGATCTTTACGCAGTTCACGCTGTCT